CGCACCCACAAGTGCAACCTCATCCTGGCAATGGGCCGCATCTGCCTGGGGGACCACCTCCCGCAGGACTGCCCGGGTTGACTAGGGGCGCTGACCCCTACCCCCCGGGAGGCCTCAGGTGCCGAGGGCCCTGATAAGGCCCGGGGGGGCGAGAAGGGGCGCAAACGCCCCAAGCAGGCACAGAAGCCCCCTCCTGCAGGTGCCGAGGGCCCTGACACAGGGGGGGGACAGGCCAGGTGGCGGCCATCCTCGGCGGAACAAGGATGGGGACGGCAGAACCAGCGTGCACAACGCCCTCGCCGTGATCAGAACAGCCACACAACCGGCACAACGGCGGCGCCTCAGTCCCGAGCCACAGGTGCCGAGGGCCCTGATATGGCGGGGACGGGACGGTTCCCCGCAGGTGCCGAGGGCCCTGACACGGGGGGCCGCACCCAGAAGGCCCGAGTGCCGGATGACTGGCAGCACACCGCAACGCCAAGGGACACTCCCAGGAAGCAGCCGATCCCACTTCCGGCGCCCAACATCATCAAGCAGGACCCGGTGGTTTTCCACAAGAGCTCGGTGGGGCTGAATGAAGGGGGCCAACGCCTTTCAGCTACCCCCCTGACAAGTCCAACGGAGCCGTCACCGGGATTGGACATCTTCCCGTGGATGGAGAACATCCCTGAGCGTCTGGTACAGCGGCTGAGATGGACACAGGGCACATCGCCCAAAGTTCCATCCAGTGGGCCCATCATTGTCCTGCTCTATGCAGGCAAGGAAGACCCAACTTCCTTGGACAGCTGTCTTCATGCCAACTACCCACACCTTTCCAGCATGGTGGTGGCGGTAGACATCCTACGGTCTGGACCCAAAGGGGACCACGATATGCTCCAACCCGAGCTGTATGGAGCTCTTTGCACGGCAGCAAAGCAGGGCCGAGTGGTCTTCATTGGAGGAGGACCCAACTGCAGGACATGGTCCATCCTGCGCCACATACCAAAACCGGGGGCTCCCACCCCGGTGCGAGGGCGCACTCCAGAGACACTTTGGGGCCTTCCACACCTGGACCAGGCCGCCCAGACTCAACTTGATGATGACAGCATCCTATCACAGAGGAGGGGCAGCTTTGGATGGAGGAGAACTCCTTGACAGCAATCTCCTTCGACCAGTGCCGCCTGCGCCAGCTGGTCAAGAAGGCCACTACGCTGGCCACGGATCTCCCGATCCAGGACTGGGATCAAATGCGGTGCACACATCAGTCACATGTGGGCACCAACGAGTCCTCGACTCTTAGCAGATACCCTTGGGATATGATGGCAGGCCTGGCCAAAGCCATCGCTGTGTCACTCGCAGCGCCGGGGCACATCCGGATCCCCTCACAATTTCCGGGAAACCCCAAGGAACCACCTAAGGGGCGGGGGTCGGACCCCCCGGAAGGCCATTCCCCCCGGGGAAAACGGGGGCCCAGTCAAGGAGGCGGTCCCTCCTCATCACACCAGGGCTCAAAGCCCGGAGGCAAGAACGCCCCGAAGCCCCGCCTGCACGGGCAGTTCCACCCTGAGGCAGACACCGTAAGCCCTCGTGGAACAATGAACCCAGACTTCCCATCTCCCATGCCCCCGATGGCCGGAGATGCGGAACAACTGGGGAAGGAGGGACGGGGGGACCAGGTCCTGGACCGCCCCGAATGCCTGCCCGCTTTCAGGGTCCCACACCTCACTGACCGGGTGGCGATTGTCCAATTGGGTTTCCGCTCACGCCCCCTGAGGGATGGGGGGGGAAAACCTTCCCCAGGGAGGCTCAACCCCCCTTTTCGGAGAATTTCCCCATTGGCTACTTTGGGCGCCCTGATCATGACCCTTACCCGGCCCTGGATTGACAAGGTCCGAATGTCCCTGGCATCAGGTGCCACCACACACCCCTTCCAGGAGGAGCCGCTATCCTAGGACCGAGGCACCTCCATGAACGATGCCCAGGACAACCCTTCCTCCTGGACTTAGTGTCGCACTTGGCATCCCTTTCAGGTGACCCTGATTGGGAGTTCCCCCTAACACTGAAAGAGGGGGTCCCCTTGGGAGTCTCGGACCCTACCTTGACCTCCCCGGGAGTTTGGCCCACTAAGGAGGAGCTTAAGGGAGAAGCCTGGCTGGGGGAAGATCCCCCCCCGCCAGTGGCTCATGATAACTACCCAACGGCTGAACTCTTTGCCAAGGAAATCGAATCAACCTTTTACGAGGAACGAGCCTTGGACATGGTGGACGGGCCCTTCACTCGCTCCGAGGCGGCAGAGAGGTGCCGCTGCAAACCGGAGGAACTTTGCCCGGGCCCCCTTGCAGGGATTGATGAGTCGGACAAGATCAGGACGATCTATGATGGCTCAAAAGGGGGAGCAAACGCACACATCCAGGCTCACACGGAGGAGAAGACCACCGCACCGATGGTTGGAGACTGCCTCCATGCCATCCACTGGCTCAGGACAGCGGCGGACCATCCTCATCTACTCCGAGCCCCATCCTCGGGCACTGATGAGGAACCTCGGGATGTTCACCAGCCGGTGCAGGGGCAGTCCCCAGGTGCCGAGGGCCCTGAGAGGGACCCCCACAGCACCAGCCTGCCCCCAGGTGCCGAGGGCCCTGATAGGGGCAGGCGGATGATGGAGACCTCCGGCGGCCTGGACGTCTCTCCGCGGTCAACACCCTCAGGGAAGGGGCCACTCCCAGGTGCCGAGGGCCCTGATAGGAGGGCCCCATTCCCCCCAACCCCCCCAGGCACGGAACGCCCTGGGGGGAGCAGGGGGGAACCCCTGACGTGGCAGCCGCCGACACAGGGGGAAACCTTCATCATCCTCAAGGCGGATGTCACCAAGGCCCACAGGCGCATAAAAGTGCTCCAGAAAGACTGGAAATACCAGGTGGCCTGCATCCAGAACCGGTGGTGGGTCAATAGAGTGGGCACGTACGGCATGGCCTCGGCACAACTGTACTGGGGAAGAAAGGCATCCTTGGTGCTCAGACTCTTGTACTACATCTTCCCTCAGGTGGACTGGCACTTAGTTTTTGTGGACGACTACTGCTGGGTCCTCAGATGCAGCAGGGCGGACTGGGACGCCACAGCCATCCTGGCCACTCTTCTGGCGCTGGGAGTCCCGCTTTCTTGGAAGAAGACGGCGCTCTCCCCGGTCAATACCTGGTTGGGATTCGTGGTGGACCCAATCACGCCCTGTGTGCTGCTGGCTCCAGTCAAGCACGTCATAATCCTGGCCACTCTCAAACGGCTGGCCCAGGGGGACATCTTTACCAGCAAGGAGGTGGAACAAGCCCTGGGCCGGATTCAATGGGCTACTTCGGCGTGTCCATTGACGAAACCTTTCCTCCAGCCCTTTTGGAGCTGGAAGAAGGCCTGCACCACTTCGGGCAGGCCACCGAAGCTGGTTCGTGCTCTGGCCATCCTTCTGGGGAAGCTCTTCAACCAGAGGTTCCCACTGGCATCTCCATTTGCTCCCACACTTCCATGGACGGGGGCATCTGATGCGGGAGCTGGCAAACAGGCGGACCATGCATGGGTTGGTGGTTGGTGCTCGGACGTGCCCAACCCCGACAAGTCCCGAGTGAAGTGGTTCCAACACAGAATCACACCGGAGGGCGAGCCGTGGGCCTTCACTACTGGGGACCCGCAGCGGGCGATAGCGGCCTTGGAGCTCTTCGGCCTCCTCCTTTTGGTGAGGGCTGTTCTGCTTTGTGCAGCCGGCTCGGCTTCTCACACTAGGATTCTGGTTGCTAGTGATAACCAGGGAAACGTTTTCTCCCTGCTTAACGATTCCACTCGCAGGATGCCCAATGCGGCCATCCTCATGGAAATTGTGTTAACACTGCATGACCACCAGGTCATGTTAGGACCGTCGCATGTGAAGCGCGACTTTAACACATGGGCGGATGAACTTACTCATCCGGACCCGCAATTTCCGACTGAGAACCGGGTCTTCCCCTCAGTCGAAAGCGAATTGATCAAGCTGATCTTCGCTACTTTCCTTCCTCACCCATGATGCCGGGAGGGCATCCGGTGAGGTGGGAGGATTCCTCCCTCGCTGTGGGAGTGGCATCAATTCTACTCCCATCAGCTGCTGAGGGGAGCTGCCCAGTGGAGCTGGGCAATCCTCCCATTTTGGCACTAATCCTTATGCGGCGTAAAGGATGCACCGTTTCGCGATTAAGGTACCAGTAGCACCAATGTGGTGCTTTGAAGAGTCATGGGTACCCACAATGGCCACTTTGGGTAAATGGAACCAGAGACTAAAACCTGCGTAACCCTGGATCTTTAATTTTAAACCAGACCCAAATGTCATGGTGGTCACAGCCAGGGTTGTTCATTCTCCGCGCCTATGTCAGATGTTCATGGTTTTCCTGGTGGTGCACTGCGGATTCTGGATGATAATAATTCCAAAACAGTCCCATGGTCGATCTCCCAAGAACTATTGAAGGTTTTAGGGTGGACTGAGCACGAAACAGAATCAGAACACATTACTTTCTCTGTCCCCATGTTGGCCAAGTTTTGAGCAACCCCAGCCATGCACCGTCTGGTGCGCTGTGCAGCCAGGTGATGTTAAATTGCATGTGTGCCCAACACCATGCTGACCTGTAATTTTAGCAGGTAGTTGAGAGTTTGTGAACTCACCCATGAAAGATACCTGCCGAGTTGTTTTTGGATTAGTTGCTTCAGATTGGCGAATTGTTTCGGTCGGACACACCAGTTGCCGATAGGACACCGGATTGAGGTACGAACAGGTTATCGAGTTATTGCAGTTTGCATTCATTCTCCCAGCCCCTCGACTCAGCATCCCCACCACCTTAAAAGTGGGATAGGGGGAGGGGGTAGCCCTTGGAGATCTCCATGGCAGCCCATGTTCCTTTTCTTTGGGAAGACTAGACAAGTGGAATTGCGTCTCGAACCTGCGAACCCACCCCCTCCCCCTCCATCGGTAGATGACTCATCCAATGCTTTAGCGCTATGCCGTTGAGGCCTGCCGTGGAGCAGACTATCAAAGAGTATGCCTTTTGGCCGCAAAGGTTTGGGGAGGGCTGGGGATGGATGCGGATGGTTCCATTTGTTGAACCAAGCCCGGGGTTGCCTTTGTGGTTGGTACATGACCCCTTTTTTTAAGTCACTTTGCGGGTTGTCCAAAAGTGGAACCCTGGGTGGACTTGTGGTTTTGCGGATTTCGGGCGGGGATGGTGCTGCTGCGGAGCCTCATGAGGAGGAGGCGGAAGATACATGTCGCTTGGAAGTTACGCAACTCGTGCAGCTTGATTTGCTTTGGTGCATTTTGCCAAGGGATGTTAGGATTTTAACTTTTTGCCATCCAATGGATTTTCCATTAAACCACTAAAAGTTAGACTTTTGACAGGGGAGCAATGGGGAGCAGAAAGCAACCGAGTTTGAATCTGACCACCTCCGTTCAAGCACAGCAACAAGCAGAAAGCTGATTATTGAAAGTAGGGAATGGTTGGGTTGAGTCGGGTTGGTGTACTTGCAACCAGGTCCTCCAGATTTGAGAGGTTAGAATAAGTTGGTACCCGTTTGTTTTTGTCTATTTTAGCAGGGGAACCCTCCCCGAAAAAAGGGTAAAGGGGCACTACTGGGGGTAGTTGCTCTGCCTGGTACAAGCCTTGCCATTTTCTGAAATCGTGTGCACATATATACACGCATCATATGGTACGCACACCAAACTGTGATCATGACATGTCGAAGTCTACACCAAATCCGTGAGAAAACCCCAGTGCTTTCACCAGTTTCCGGTGGCAGTTCCAATCCAAATCGGCGAGGACGAAGCCAAGTGGATGGAGCTGATGCAGCAGCTGGGGTCCCAGACTTCGAATGTCGGGGTGGCAAGCGCTGTGCATCCGGCGAGCCTGGCGAACGGCTGCCAGTGCCAGTCAATGTGGCCAGGGGTGGGGGGGGGGGGGGGTTTGGGGGGTGGGGGGCAGCTTTTGTTATTTTGCTTTGGATGTAAGTAAGGTTGACCCCATATTACTCAACCCCAGTTGATGAATGGGGGCAGTCCGATTCTGGGTAAAGTGGAAAATCACCGCTTTGGAGGGGCCCCCACCCCCCTATTCATCAACTGGGGGTAACATAACAGGGAAGCCAAAGGCAGACATTTGCTTGTGGCCAAAGGCAGACATTTGCTTGTGGAAGGCCAATGTGAGACTCCACCCTTCTTGGTTTATGTTCGTTTGGTTGCTTATTTGCTTCTTTTCGTTTCTAGCAGGGGAGGCTACAAGGAGCAACTTATTTGCCAAGCAACACTCAGTTGGGAAGCAGAACCCCCCTCTAGCTCCAATTGATTAGTTCTTTGATGAAAGCTTCCGACAAGAAAGGAACCCCCACTGAAAAGACAGCCCCCTGATTAGTCACGAAATGTTGTTACACAAGTGTTACTGAGACATGTGGACCCAATGCGGTCAAACGGTCGACGGTGGACAAGCAAGCTACAGCTTCACAAGGGAAGGTCATGTATAGCACTGGAGCATAATGCCAGACACCATTTTGCAATTTGGCATGAAAACTTCATTGGGCAATTCTGCATCACTCATGTTGATAGCGGGTCATTGGATTGGTGGACAATCAAAGTGGTGTGGAAAGAACACTTCTCATCAAGCAAAACCAAAGCATCCAAAGCGTCCGTACCACATCCACCTGAACCCCAAAGCAGGTGTTGCAATCCATAGTGCCGGTCGGCCGATCTGCACGGCAGATGCCCGTATTGCATCATATTGCATCTATAAGCCAAACATACGGAAGAAGGAAAGCACAAAGCCATGCTAAGTCATGGTAAATTCTCTGCAGTATTTGGGACATCGGCTCTCAGCGTGCCGCTCATAGAGCTCCCCAAAGGAGTTTCCGGTGAGTGCTTCAGGTTGAAGTCAGTGGGAATCCACAATTTGGGCAGGGGATCCCGCAAAATAAAAAAACTAATATCCTGTCGGTTTCCCATGAGACTCTTTTGAAACCTCAAGTTGAAAGATCGCTTGCCTACTATAGGGGTTTACCATGGAGCCTCAGTGTCAGAGTCTTGAGAGTCACACTGGCAAGATGAATGGATTGAAGCTGGGGATTCCCGTTAAAGGAAACCACCAGTTGGATGGTTTATCTCGGGGTCTTCATTCCATTTCTCATTCCCATCTCTCGCCGATCGCAAGCTGACTGGTGCAGAAAGCACGTGTGTTCTTCTTTTCTTCTCAGGCTCGGGCCTTCGTTCAGGTTTTTGTTTTGGTAGTGTGGAGCCCGGGTTAGGGGTCCCGGGTTCAGGATCAGCATTCCTCCACTTCAATCGTCTCATGTCCCTGAACCCGAGAGAAATGTTTGAATGCGTGAGCCGCTGGTGTGGGCTGGTTTGACCTTTGGACTTTCCAAGGGAAAGCATCATGAGCAAGGTACAGGATAAATAAAGTTCAGCCCTGACCACCGGGTGCCACCAGGCTCCAAAACCAAAGAAGGAGGGAAGTTGATTCTTAGTTTGCATCCAGGTGTTTGTTTCAAGCCACGTAGCGACACTTGGCTTAGGTTCAAGCTGGCATGCTTTTGGCCACTGGTTGCAGGATCGATGACATGCTGGTAAGTATAAGACTGGCAAGGTTAGGGCAGGCCCTTATGTATTTCAATTCACTATGACTTAGACAGCATCCTTCGCTGTTACAGGGCACCAGGGTCCAGTTAGTCTAACAGTTTCGCAACCTGCTGTGATTGTTCTAGTTACTCAGTGGTGCCCTTCTTTCCTTTGTTTCTGATGTGGGAGCCCCCCAACAAAATCAACTCCCAGTGCCTTCCTTTCGGCCAGAAACGCCATAGTAGGTAAGCCTTCGGTATGTGTACCTCCGAACATGGACTCAGTTGTTCAGTGGCACCCTTTTCGCCTTTTTTTGGCTGCCCCACTAAAAATAGTCTTCCCCGAAAACGAGTTCCCTTTTATATTCCAGGGTCACTGAACAACTGAGTGGAGGGTTTGGTCTTGGTTCCCTCTGGCCTTGCCTCTGGCAGCCCTCTCGTGGCCCTCGAAGCCAGGCAGGTGGTTGGCTGCATCGTCCTGGCCTGTATTCATGTGCGGCCGCCGAGAGGACTTGCACGGCTTTTAAGAGCCACTCTAAAGCTCACTCCCTGAGTTTCTAGACTTTCACCTTTTTGACATGTTTCTCACGGCTTGAGTTTCTGGACTTCAACCTTGTATGTATATATATATATATACATATGTGGGGGAAGAGCATTTTAGTGACAAATATAAAAGTTCAGACTTTTGTTGGCCAATCCACTGAGGGAGTGAGAAAGCGAATTTCCTTTGGGTGGGGTGATGTTGAGGGATGTATAGAGTTTGTTTGCCTTTTTGCGATTCCTAACATTTTGCTGGGCAGACGTCTCCGGACTGAGAGTGAGGGATTTGGTTTTGTCCTGCACTGAGCGCTGGACTTTGAAAGAATTTGGACTGCAACCCATGCGGTGCAAACTGGGACCTTGAGGCCTCAGATTCTAGGCCTTACAGTTCAGATACTTGTGCTAATTTTGATGTGGATTGTTTTGGCTGACTGTCTCGCATCGCGCTTTCAATCAATGCATGCGTTTGTTATGTTTCTTATGTGTTGATTTTTGCTTGCCCGAGGAAACATTTTGCGCGCAAGCAGTCACTGTATGTACACATGCACACAAACACACACCCACGCGGGTTCGCTTAGCTGCTTCCCCAACGAGATATTTGCCCAAAGAGGCCCATCTAACTTCGTTTCAAAAGAGGTTTCTGGCTTGGATCGTGTTTTTTGGGCATAAATTGGGAAGTTCTGGATCTGGGTTGGTGCCTTTGTGGGTGCATTTCTGCAAGTGAAGGATGTGCATACGTCACGAGTCGGGGGATTTTTGCGATTGGAACTCAGCCCCCCCCCAACTCAACTTCCCCAATGAACGAAACAGGCAGACACGCACACACACACACACACACACATACCAAGCCTCACCACCCTCCCATCGCCCACGCAAAACCCCACACCCCAACACAAGGCCCCCCCAAAAAAAAACCGCGCCAGGCGCATTGGGGCTACGTCGTACCGCTGGCCATCCAGACAGCCACTGCGCCTCTGCAGCTGCTGGAGGTGCGCCGGATCGGAGTCACCGTGGATTTTTGGTGGCGGAAAGGGGAGAAATTCCTCGACGTTTTTGCTGCACAAGGGACACCAAGGTGAACATCGGTGGTTGTGGTTGTTTTGGTGGAAAAATGGATGGCGATTCCTGGTTTGCCTGGTGGTTCAATCATCAACCAGGGCCATCTATTTGACCTAAAAGGACACCTGTGGTTGTGAATTGCAAGGGTCATGTTGAGTTGATATGAATCAACCAACCAGTTTATTGCTAAAGGGGGTGGTTTTTGGCCCTCCAAATTTTCGATTTTACCATTTTTACTTCCGTGAATAAATGTATTGATAGGATTTTCCTTTGTTGGTTTTACAGGGAAAACCTATCTCTCTTGGCATATTTTGTCAGGGGACTTAAGCAAATGGAAGTTTAAGGTTGGTATCAAAGGGACAGAAGAACACCGCGCATTTTGTGGGGCCACCCAATGACGCCATTGCAGTTGATAGTTCTACTACTTGGTTTAACTGGGGGTTTGAGAACTGCTCACTTGTGTTTGTCCTTTCTGAGCGTTCGGGAACCCTTCTACTATGATGAGGGGCACGCCCCCCTAGACAAATGGTAGGTTTCGGTGAAGAGAATGGAAAATTGACCCTTAGATCCACGCCATTTGAACTGATTGCTATATGGGGGTTGATCCAAAGGTCCATTACATGGGAACGCCATTGGGTCAAACCGCTAAAAATATTGGATATGTTCATGGGAAAACTTCCCCACATGCCTACATTTTATAGGGATTATAGATCAACCCGTTTTTTTTGCCTGTTACTCTGGAGTTGATATGATCCGCAGTTTTGCACCTTCGTGGCTGAGCTTGAGCTCAAGTTTCAAGGTGCGGGGCCAGAATTGGTGTTCACCCTTTTCCTCTCACCGATTCTCAGCCGAAACAAAAATGGGGGGGACCGTGCGCCCGGATGCGAGTCTCTTGTTTTTGGAGGACCCTTCCCAGGAGCTGGTAACCCTTCGGCATGCTTACCTGTAGGGTTTGCCATGGACGGTTTCCTCTGGTTACGGTCTTGCTAATACAATGATATATTATATATACCCTGGGATTCAAAAGACCATTAAAACAATGGTTGGGCTCATACCACCATGGTTTACCCAAGGATTGTCATCGTCCAAATCGTGTAAACTTTTCTTTCCATGGGGGTGGAACCCTAGGGCCTAGGTAGCTGGGCTCGCAAGATAAGCCACGACTCCATGTGGTTTTTGGCGCGGCAGCTTGCATCCGAGAAGATGGGGTTCTAGACGCCCCCATCAAAAGAATAGCCTTAATGTACCGAATTTGGATAATGACAATCGTTAGGTAAACAATGGTGATTATATTAACCCCCATTGTTTTAATGGTGATCATTGAACCTCAGGGTGGGTGTTTCCAGAAAAAACAACACCGATGCCATGACACTGGTTTCCGCTTATCTTTTGCCATCCGAAAAGGGGGGTTCCACTTATGGAACCTTCACTGATGGCCATGTTTTTAGGTTTTCTGTTGTTTGCTTCTGTTCATTTTTAGGGGGCTGCAAAAATCATGGTCTTTTATTGCCATACCAAGGGTTGTAAAGGAACTCTCCAGAAGCAATTGATAGTTGCTTTGTCTGCGCTCGGGATGTGGTGGGAAACCATTCGCAGTGCCTCTGAAAACCTGCCACCAGGTATAGCTGAAGTAACGTTGCCATCCCCTTTTAGCGGATTTTAGAGGAACATGCCCCCCTGCAGGTCAGGCTTTATGCTAGCGGATGTGAGCGTGTGAGGGTATCTGGTGAGTGGAGGTTCACGAGGGTAGATACCTAGGTCTTCCATTTGGTCACTTTTTGGGGCTCTGGGCATTGTTTTTGCTCGTTTCAGATTTTGAGCCAGAAAAACGATAAATGAGCAGAAACCTCGATTTGGCACAATTTGCCCAGTTTTTTCGCGTAAAATGAGCGGAACTCGGCGGGAAATGAGCGGACTTCAGCGAAATGCGCGGAAATTTGCGGACACACACGCCAGAACATGTTTCCAATTGAGTGTGCTTTTTTATTTGAGCGTTCTTGGGTGAAATGAGCGTGATTTTTGCTCGAAACGGAAAATACACAACAAAGTGCCCACGGCTTCACGTCCATTCAACATACCCTCCCACCAATAAGCTCAGGTGATATCCCCAACTGCATGCGGTTCTCTTTCTAGTGCTCGCACCACCCCGCAGCCCTCGCAGAACCTCGTGGATCCCTCGTGGAATGCTGGTGGAACCCCGGTGGAGCCCTGGTGGAACCCTCATAGAACCTTACCTCAGCGCCGCCCCGGACCACCCCGGAGCCTATCTGGGCTGAGACCCCAAAGCGTTCAGCTGTTGGGGAAGTACCATGGAACCTGACGTTCAAAATTCCCTTTTAAAGGAAAATTGTCCAAACGAGTCTTCCAGGACCCCCCCGGACATCAGGTTCCATGTTAGCTGGGAAGGTAAGGTTCCTTTAAAAATTGCAAGCAATGGCAGGAATTGGAAGCCCACTGCTTGAAGCCCTTTCTGCCCTCACCCCCCCCAACCACATATCTGCATAATTTATGGCGAGCTCACCATGATCTTCAGGTCCTTAACCTAACCAAATCCCTTAGTTCAGCTTTTGGAATGATACAAAAACAAAAAATAATGCCGGATGGTTCCCCTCCCCTCCCCCACTTTCGGCGCCACATCTCCCGGCTTTCCCCCGGACTTCCAGCGCTTTGGTCTTTCCGGCGACGCGCCTCCCGCGCCAGTCACCCCTGGCCAAGATCCACGCCCTTGGGAAGCCCGCACAGGGCTCTCTGAAAAGGCGCCTTGGTTGCCCCAAGCGAGTCGACCGGATCTGAGCTTTGGGTTTCTCCAATTTTGGTCCAAGTCATGGCCCCAAAATTCTCCTTTTTGGTCCTTTTGTCCTGGCCCCAAGAAATAAACCTTTTTTATGTCTGGGCCCTTTGGGCAAGTGAGTTGGCCGATCTTGGCGTCCGCGGTTCCCTCACAAACTTGCTGGTGCTCGGTAGGGATGAAGGAATGGCCCACATAAAGGGAATGGTCCATCCAACTTGTATCTTTCTTTAAGGGAACTGCTGGGTTCATTGCCTCATTCCCTACTTATCGCACCAGCAAGAAAATGGAATTGGGGGAGGATGGTGACACCTGGAGATCTCCATTTATGGCAACCCATTTTCCCTTTTGTGGGGAGGCCGAAAAGTGACGTGCCTCCCTCAAACTACCCCATAAGATGTGGGAAGGGCAATAACTTAAGCTATTCATGGGTAGTTTGAGTGTCCAGGTGGGTTTCCGGATGCTTCTCTTGAACCCCACAACGGATGTTGTAGGGGCTCAAAACACCAGTACCCAAATGGAACCCTGGAAAGTGGAAACATGGACCAAAACCTGCGTAACCCCTCCTGTTTAATTTTGAGCCACACCCATGTTGTAGGGGTTCAACAACACCAAGCTTTGGCGCACTAGTAACCTCATGGCGCGAGACAACGGGTTTACAGGTGATTGGCTGAGCAGAACCAGGAGGGACATCTGCCCGAAGGCTTGGCAACTAGCTTTTATGCACCGGAAGCTGCCAAGCATGTTGATCTTTATCTCAGCCCGAAGGCCCCAGAAGAAAACAAAACGGTTCGGCTTATGTAACCTCGACTAATTTTGGACCAACTTTTATTGGACAACCACAATTCATGAGGTCGAGTCACTTTGGAGAACCGAGATCTCCCAAAGGAGAGAATCGACTTGGAACCAATCACCCGCAACGGAAAACGGGTCAGTGCAGGACGTTTTCGCAAAGTCAAAAAGTCGAAGCGTCGGCACGCTCCAGGCCCTTCCCGGCCCCGAATCCTTTTGGCCTGCCGTCCATGCCCGAAGCCACGCACCCAGAGAGGAGCTAAGCGGCTTCAATGGCTTCCAGACCCCCCTTAGCTTTTTAGTTGTTTTTTTGTTGGTTTAGTGGTAGTTTCCATTTCCTCTAAGAGAACACTTGGTGGCTCCCGAAGGCCATCCGGTTCAAATTCGCTTCTTACTTGTCCTTAGTTGGTTTAGTGGTGTAGTTTCCATTGAACCCGCCAAGAGTTATTCACTTTTAGCTGGGGATCTGAGGGCAGCCCAGAATTCCAAGAGGAGGTTGCTTACACAAAGTTGGATGTGGGTCGAAAATAACACATCCCAAAATGGGTTGCCCTGGGAAATGGAAACAAGGACAAAAACCAGCGGTACATATCCTGGTGGTTTAATTTTTGATCCAACCCGGTTGGTTGAACATGTTGAACGGATTATTTTTCAACGTCCCAAGAAGGGAACCATGAGGAAATAGCACGCTCGAGTTGGCGTACCTCTTTTCTCAGAGTGCCTCTGTGTAGAGTGGAACCAACCGTTTTGTGAATGAGATTTGCAACACTGAGGCGCCAAAGGAAAAGAAGGAGGCCAAGAAGGACAAAGCGGCCAAGAAGAGCAAGTGAAGCTTGCAAAAGAGTGGCTCGCGCTTGTCACATGCTGAATCAGAGGTCACTCGCAAGAGGAGCCATTATTCAAGAGTTTTTGAAAAGCGATCCAGGTAGAACCTGCGACGTGTCTTGCATGGGAGAGAGAGGGTCGCAACTGATTCCTCACTTTGAAAACCACGGCAAAGCTTAAGAGTCGCTTGGGTGTTTGAGCAACTGATCGACAGGTGAGCGCGTTCTTGGCTTCTTTCTGTTGCCCTACCCTATTCTAGCTGGCCCCTACTGGAGAACACGCCTCACTTGCCCAAGGCCGACCTTTTGACCTTCTGGTTTCCTTGGTTTGGTCCAATTTTAGTACAGGTCCCCCTGTTATTCCAGGGTCCTTTGGGCAACTGAGAAGTTGTACACTTCCAGGAACCCCTTTGAACCGTGCAGCAACACGGGTCCTCTTTCAGGGGGTGAAGGCCATGGACACCCATCGTTTGCTTGCCAAGCGCTAGAAATGTCGCCAGCCATCTGCACTCAATCAGCACATCTCGCTGGCCGTACAGGCGGGGCGATTTGTTTATCATTTTCTGTTTTGCTGGCAGACTTGGTTTCACCGCAAAAACTTGCGGTTTGCACTCTGCAGTGAACGTGAACGCAGGGCCATGGTCTGCAAAGTTGACTTTGCCGGAATCTAATTGCCCTGGAGAGGATTCTGAAGCTACAACTTCGTGTTGCCCCCTTTGCATGTTTTGGCGCATGGACACCCCTTTTTCGGCCCAACCCTATTCCCTGCCCAAAACTAATTGCTTCCCGCTCACTTACTACACTTCAGGGGTTCGATTTTTTAGAAATTCCCTCCTGCAGATTGATAAAAGGATCGAGGTTCAACATCACTTGCCATTTCTGCAGTGATTCGATTCCGTGTTTTGGCATTTGCTTTTTTTTTGGTTTTGTTTGTCGCCTTTTTTTTCTTCCCGTTTTCCATGTCAGTTTTTCTCCAGCGGCGGGGGGGGGGGAGGGGGCAATTCCAAAAATCCAGCTGGCCAGGCCCTCTCAGACATGTCGACCTTTGTCTCAATGGCTTCGATCTTAGCCGGCGCGCGAAAGGCGCGCAATGCATGGCGCCTTGGGCGGCGGTTCTATGGTCTGAATCACCGGCCCTCCATGGGCCCTGGGGGTCCTTGCCCCCAGACTGGTTGACCCAGACCCAGGTGGTTGTATTGGCCCCTTGGTTTTGATGGGTCCAACTGACCTCCGGGGAGTCATTCGGTTTTGTTTGGCTGGGAGGTATTGAGGGCGGAAAAGGTTTCGATGCTCGGAACCTCTCTCAATGACCAAACCCGGTGGGCCGCTGAAGCCTTGGGATCCGATTTTGGTTGGGACAGGGTCTGGCACTTTTGCACCCCGGAGGTGTGTCGTTTAGTTGATTCCACTTGGTGAAACCCTGCCAAACTAGACAAAGGGTACCCTCAACACAAAGACCCCTCCATATGCGGTTACTTCCCTGACTGTGTTTCAGGCCGATTGCTCCCTTCAATCTCGTTCACCCGAATGAAAAAGCGCACACCGCTATAGATCCATGTAGGGCGCTCGTGTTTAATCAGAATCGTATCCCTTTTGGTTCACCTTAAACTTTAACCTCCTTAGTTTGTTGTTTAAGACTTCCATGTTGCAGTTATGATTAAATAGATTTGAGTGTCAATTGGGGGGGAACACCCCAAAATGCTGGTTTTCCTTTTGGTCTCCCTTCCAACAACGACAAATAACAATGTACCCTCAAAAAATTCGACACAGCCAGATGGCTCCTTGGGCATCCCGGCCCCACTCAACGGCTTCTGAGGCCTTGGACTTGGACTTTGTTGGCTCCGAGATCTTCGCCTGTCCGGGACCCCTGACGTCCGGAACTGTCGCCGGGAGGTGTTTGTTTCGGTGCGGTTTGTGTCGGGTTGCCCACTTCCTGAGTTCCGAAACCGGACCTTAAGCCCTCCATTTGTTTAAGACTTGTTTTTCCCTGTTGGTTTTAAATGGAATTCATCACTACTGGAAATATATATTTTTTATTTTTGTTCTGGGGCCTAAACTGGGCCTAAACCAAATGGAAGACATTTTGTTAGAAAGACTTCTTCAGTAAAGAGGAAGTTTGAATTTGTTGGCCAATCCGCTCAGGAAGTGAGAGTTTATCCGTGCGGGGCCCGTGTCGTGTTGAGAGCCCCGGTTGCCAGAAGCAACCATCATGGGTAACCCTTCGATCCATGTTCGTTGTGGTTAGGGTGGGTGCCATGGTTACCTATACAGGTGAATGGAATCACTGGATTTACCTTAAAATCAGAATCCGCAGGTTCATTCCATTTCTCATTCCCTCATTCCCAGCCAGCAGTCGATGGGTTCAAGCAGTCGAGATCTGGGCTCCGCCGTAACCCAGCCACTAAAGATGCGAAGACAAATGTTGATAAGACTAGCGATTCGTTTTTGGGGGAGGGTTCCCCTACTAAAATAGACCACAGAATAAATCGGGTAATATCTAACCTCTGTACCGGAGGACCTAGTTGTTGGCAGGAGCCAAAGTTTCCTTTGGGTCTCTTTGGGTTTTTATTCTGATCCAGCCAACGGGTCCGAGCTCAAGTCCGAGGTCCGAAAGCTGGCATAGCAAACACCAGAGAGGCTTTGAGTGAATTTGTTGTGGACAAGGTCCCCCAGCCAGGTGCCAACTTTTACCGTTGCTTTGTTGGGGCAGGGTTCCAAACTACTAAAATTGAAATTAGCCTTATTCTATCCTCTCTACTGGAGGACCTAGACAAAGTTGCCTACCCAGTAGTCCCAGCAAAACCAAATCGGAATTTCACAAGTTCCGCCCAAATCGGCGGCAGTTTTGTCCTGTAATGTTGCCCGCATGTTAATCATCCCCACTACGTACACCCAGAATCGGACACCCCCCTATTAATAAACTGGTTGGTTGATGAATCTGGGGTCAACATTATGGACCCTTCAAAAGAGCTTCGTCCAGGGTCGACTCGAGTTTGTCATGGCACCCATAGCTGCGCCTTTATTCAGGATTTGGACCCCAACATGGCTCACCAAACAAGGGGTACCCTCAAAAAAGTCACCCATCCAAGGGAAGGACCCCGATTTCTAGTGGTTCCCTTGCCAAGGGTCCCAAGTTTGCGCTACGGGCTTTACCAAAACTCAAGAGCTTTGGTGCCTCGATGTTCGGTTGCTTGTCAATTGGATCAGACCCCGTTGCCTGCTTAATTTGTTAATGACTGTTTGCTGAGCTAGCCGTGAATGGCGACCCATGTCTCCTCTCTCTCCGTGACCATGAGTTCCCGGACTGCACACTTTTTGGCAACACCATGTTAGACGCACCACTCACCAAAATGCTTAATATGTTCGGCCAATCAACGAAAGAGCAAAGCTTCCGTGATCACGCCTCTCGTGCCTGCGGAAAGCGACGCAGGCGACGCGTCCGCTTTGAGCATGAAGAGCCAGAAGGACAAGAGCAAATGCATGTGCGAGCCGATGCGCACCTCGGCCGTCGCTTGATCTCTCTCCGCCAGTCACTCCGTCGCCGAGGAATTTGCTCAGGCCGCCGGGTTTTTCAAGGGTTCTTTCTAGGGGTCCCCGTGATTCCACGTCCCCTGGAGTTCAAACCACCATTACAACAACGGGGGAGAATGTCGAGTGAATGTAGCCACTGTTTACCTAAGGATGTTCCGCCAAATCGGGTCCTTGCCACTCTTTTGGGGCTAAGGAACCGGGTTTTTCTGGTTTAGGCAAACCAATAGAACCCTGCGGAAGGCGAAGAGTTATCTATCTAGTCAGCCGGGATCCACTAGTTGGATTGTCCTGTTGGGTGACCCCTGGAAAGAGTGCCCATCAGAATGTCAGCAGAGCAACCTGCCAGAGGTGTCCTACTTGGCGCCCTTGGAATGGATTTGAACATATACGGCAGCCACCGAACCAAGAGGGGGCCTGGAAGCCAATGAGCACCCACTTTCGGGTATTAATATCGTGCTCACATCAGCCAGCCCGTTGGAATTTGAGTTTAGGGACGATGAGGGAGGAGAACACCCACCCAAACGTCCAGCACCAGGGACAATCCAATCTGTCCATATGTGCTCTTCTGTGCGTGGATCATGAGTAGCAATGTGGCCGGGTTTGGAAGGGGGGGGAAGCATAACATGGTTTGAGATTGCGAGGTAGCCAAATCATTGGCAGGGCTAGTTGTTTGGGAGTGCTGTCCAACGTCCATGTTCAATTCGCTGGCAGCTAAGGAGCTGGGTGTGCCCAAACTAGCTAAGGAGCTGCCAGGAGTTCTGTTATGGCATGGTAGTCAACCGCAAAGGGGATGGGCATCCCAAATAAAGCATCGGGGAAAAAGATGCGATTTGGGCGATTTCTAGCGTCCTCAAGCCCACGTCTTTGGTACGGATTGTCTTGCCGCCACCAGCTGAGCAAGCGAGTCTTGGGAGGTTTTCCCTTAAGGAGAAATCGAGTTGTCGTCTTGTAGCCAGAGCCACCTGCCTAGCCAAGGAATGCCAATGTGGATGCGGATGATGCCGATGTGAAGGACGGGGTGCGTTCCTTCTCTTCCGTGCCATGAGGAGACAACCTTTAACACTGGCAAGAACTGTAAGAACCCCCCAGTCATGTAAAGAAAGGGGGGGGCGTCATATCTGGAAAGGGACTCTTCAAGATGCTTTCTGTTGCAAGTGCGCGGGACATGTCACAAAGGAGTGCGGGAGGTCCCAGTTTTGTGTTTTAGGCGAAAGGCGTATGGGTTGTTTTAAGGACTCACAGCCACTGCCACAAAGAGAAAAACATGGGTATCTGAGGCAAGCGGCAAAAGGACTTCGATTAGCTGCCGTCAATAATCATGCCATCGGTAATGAGTTGGTCGTTGGAATCACCAGGATTGCTCAGAGCTGGCTTCATCTCACCTGGTTTTAGGGGTAGGAGCCTCGGCCCACGAAAAAAAACATGGATCTCAGCCTAAGTTCCCTTCATGGGTGACAGTTGTTCAGTAACCAAGATACTGTGAATGGACAAATTGCTTAATAGTTGCAAGGAAATCATCATTTCAGGGTTTCTTAGGTGGTGCGAAACCGATTTCGCAACCATTCACTGCAGGACTGCCAAGGGATGTGGAATCCGTGCTTTTCCCCATGGCTTGCCTTGCCAGGAATGGCCAGCGGCCAAATGAAGCGAACTGGCTGTGTATGTATGGCTTCTCGCAAAGCTCCGGTGCAGGGCTTACGGAGACGGCTTTGGGCATATGCCATTGGCAAAACGCCACGGGCTTGGACAGTTGCCGGGCTTTGTGTCAACTTGTTGAGAAGATCATTTCAGGGTAAACCAAAAGTCTGAACTTGTTCTCACCAATCCTCTCTGAAGGAGAGCTGGTTCGGTAGAGATAATCATCAAACCCTTGAGTGATAGACAACAAATGGGGGGAGTTCAATTAAGACAACCACTATCAACGGTCCAATACCGTTTCACCATGCAAACACAATGCGGAGCACACTGTAGGTACCGGTGGTGCCAGTGACCAGTGGCACTTGTTTGTGTTGTTGTCCAGCGCTTTCGATGGATTTCTGGCACAGTTGGGCGAAGATCGCCCAACTCCCCCGTGCTTTAACCACCCCAGAAGTGTCTGAAAATTGGGTATCCCCCTAAAACCGTTTCTTCACGTTCTTTCCCGGCATCTCGAAGAACCCCAAAACAGGCAGCCTCAAAAAAGGAGGAGCGGCTCACCCAAACAACTATTCTTAGCTGGTGTGCCCAAATTTGCCTTTTGACTAGCCCCCAAAGGGCCGATTCCTTTTTTCTGCTTGAACACTTGTCATTTCCTTTTTGTGGGTAGCTTACTTCCTGGCAGATTTCTCCCCTCGCCCGAGGCGTACCTCGGAGCAGGCGGTTGGGTACCGCACGTTTTTGGTCGGGAGGTTCCCTATGTCAAGGCGTGCCGAGGCGGCCTTTAGGGGAGGTCCATGTTGCATGCCCTGTACATTTGTTTGGTACCTTAGGATATTGTTGTCACTCTTGTCGGCTCCGTGTTTTTGTTTGAGACGCGGAACCCTTTTAAAGGTTGTTTTAACAGGAAGCCAAAGATGAAATCGACATCCGAAATACCTTGTTGGCCCCTCAAGTACATCCTCGGAAACCTCGTGGAAAGGGGGAATGAAGGGTCCTATAGTGATGTACACCTTGAACTCCTGAGCTGAAGGTTGGTCCAACAAGAAACTGTTCAATGCGTTGGACATTGACATTAACCTTTGGAACTGTGAGTCGAGTTTCTCTGTTTCCCAGATTACTCATGTCAACCGCAAGGTCTTCGCTTCTTCGTGTCTTCGTGACATCGCCACGAAGCATCTCTGATCACAGGAGGGCCTTATTTTCTGGTTGGTAAATTCTGCTATCCTCCCTCCAACAAACATGGAAGCTGACAGCAGGGTGTGGGGTGACGAAAGCTTTCCTTTGGGGAAGCCCCTGGTCGACCTCCACGACTGTTGGAGGGAGGGCAGTTCCCTTCCCTAAACTCCATAGGGGCTTTGAGGAACTTATTGGAAGGCTAGTGGCAAGGCCAATGTTGAAGTAAGACGCGGGTTGGCTCTTTGTTCCAGGTTTGTTTGGAGTGAGAGGTTGAACCACCCGGAACCCGAGAAACAAACTGGGTGGTGTTGGCGGAGGGATTTTTGCCACCGTCCAGGTTGCTGCCAATGTGAGCCGCGCATGGATTGGACCTCAGCATGTGCTGGATTCCCTGGTCATTCGCCCACTCGCTGGGCTTTGGTGTCACCGAATCGCCCCAAAAGAATTTTTGGAAACACAGTTGGCTGTGGGTCAAAACCCTGTACCCCTGGTGAACATCAAAATAGGTTGCAAATGGATGTTCATCCACCCCAAAATGGAGCCATAGGTTGTGCCCCATGGCGAGTTGGTGAAACCTGCGAAAATTGTTGGTGATTCGACCTTGAGCTCGTTATGAGGGGGTCTGTATATCGGGTGGTTCCCTTGGATACCAAATATGCATGGAAATGAACTCGCCGGGCAAGGGTAGAACCAATCGGTGCACGGTGCTTTTTGCCGGAGAGCAATTTGCTGGTCATAGGCCCGTTGGTGTCCTTTGAGGATGGTGAAACTTCGGGCTTGACATGGGTAAATCCGTGTAGGTAGGGGACCCCTTCTGGATTGTTTTTTCTCAACCAGCTCAACAGTGAGGGTCTTCCCTTTCATGGTTTCAGAGAACCAACAATTGTCCTCTTGGTCTTAGGGCTAATAGTAGGGTGGTTTCCTTGGTTACTTCCCCCAGTGCTTCCAGGTAACCGCCGGCATGTTTACCTCCAAGTTCATGGACGGTTTCCTCTCTTCCAGTTGCCACTATAGGTAACCCTCGGGCATGTTTATCTCTAGGTTTGCCGTAGACGGTTTCCTCTTACCTACTACCTGGACTCTCCTTGTAACCCTTTAAACATGGGCTCATGACCCGAATCTTTATTTTGGGTAATGACCAACCATTTTTGAGTCGGGTCAGATCCGGAGACTCCAGGTATGGCTCGCCTTAAAACAAAATAACATAAAAAAAGTAAATCAAAAAAACAAAACACAACTCCAGGTATGGCTCGCCTTTCAAAAACAAATACAAATAACTAAAAAAAAAAGAAAGAAAAAAACAACCTGCAGGTACGGCCCGCCGAGAAAAAACACACACACACACACACACCGCGGGTATGTGTTGCATCTCCGGGACTTCAGGCCGCCCGAAGCCCAGCGAGCGCGAGCCGAGCCCGCGCCTCGAGAGCCCACGGCCTCAAAAAAGGCGGCGGAATCAAGACTCGTTGGCTTGAAGCCCAAAGTGGCGCAAGCCCTGGCAAATGGAATCACACATAGTTGGGGAATTCCCCAAAATGGGGAATCAAAGATATCCAAAAAGAGCTGGTAACCCCAAAATGGAGGCCCCGAAATTCCAGGGGACACTTCCACATTCGTTCTAGGGATCCGGATCTTTCTAGAAAACCTCCGGAATGCTACTGAAAACGGATCCAATTTTTGGAAAGAACGATGATTGAAAAGAATGGGGAATCAACCCTTAGAAAAATGGCGCGCAAGCCCTGGTAAATGGACACAATGACTAAAACCAGTGGTTTATTTGTTTGATGGTTTCATTTTCACCCATACCCATTTGGGTAGAAGGCAATGGGATATTCCCAGCCAGAAATAGCTGCGGATATCCGTCTTGTTGTTTTTCTTGCCTGGTTCTGGGTAGACCATTTTAATACCGGGTTTTGATTATGACCCAAATGGTGCAAGACATCCTGAGTTAATTTCCCCCAATGTACCAGGGCTTTGGGTGTGGCTTGTGCACTTGCTATATTCCGTACTCGCTTGATATTTACTTACCCAGTTTCTGGACATACATTTTGGGAGAAGCCTGTTAACAGCAACACGTTTAGATCTGTTTTGGCCAATCTACGCAAGTGAGATGTTCATGACAACCCCCCAACAATTTAAAATAATCAGAACCTCCTTTGAAACCCTTTTTGTTTCACCATTGTGGTGGGCAACACGAGGCGGCATTCACTGAACGGTAAGTGTCCAGCACCTAAGATGGACCCAACGGGTTTATGCCAGGGGATCAGAGTGCTTCCAGTTGCCGCCCGCGAACCCCTCGATATGTTTACGGCCCCTAGGCTTTATGGTCAGTTTCTTCTGACCTGTAATGGTACTCTGATGTTTACGTTGAAAAATGAAACAGAGGGTTGTGAGGGAAAATCGTCTTAAACATAGACCCTTCAGTGAGTTTCCATGTTGACGTATGAAAGCACTGGGAAAGGCTTGGGTGCTTGCGGGCTTGCTGGCCCTTCCCATGCCCCCTGGCACTGAAGGAGTGTGCAGAGTTCAGGTTCCCCATGAGGAAAACGCATGCGTCTAAAAAGGGGTAGCCCGACTTGTTGATTGTCTAGGTGCCCCAGCTAGGTGCCCTTTTACCAAACTTGTTTGTGGACAAAATAAATCTGGTACCCTTTTGTTTAACCTCTCTATGCTGGAAAACCTAGGACTTGGCCTTTAAACGGTGCACTGGGTACCCCTCAAACAAACCAAAAGCCCCGGATCGTTTCGGTTGCGCGCTCCTAACCCGTCGGGCGCGGCTGGCGCTCAGGACCGCTTGCCCTTGCAACGGGATCTGGCGCGCTTGCAGGCGACGTGGGAGTGTCCAAGTATTTTAGGGGACACTTCCACATTCTTTCCAGGGATCCTTCTTTTCAGACTCTGAGAGAACCATCAGAACCCCAGGGGAAACAGCTAAATTTGAAAAGAACGATGGTTGAAATGAATGGGGAATCAACCTCTATAGAAGCATAGTCTACCCGGGCTAGCCGGGCTACACGCAGAGGCAACTTCTGATTCCTTTGGGGGGATCCGACCAGTCAGAGGAATCCCCCATAGATGATGTCCTTACTAAAAAGGAGCAACCTGTTAGTATGGTCCACCGGATTAATCCGAAGTCAACATTAGTACACCTACCGCTTTTGTAGGGGTGGGTTCCTCCCCGTCGGTCGACTCTTTTTTTAACAGGAGCACTGAATCAACTTGGGGGCAGTTGATCCGTGTTCAATATTGCGGATGCTCGAAATATGGCAAGTACCCCAAGTTTTTTGACACACAAAACATTGCATAATCCTCTACACCTTCCTTGGCCTGCACGGCTTAGCCAATATCTGGCTGACCTTGCCCCTACCAAATTTAACCCCATTACACAGCACACACTGCTTCTTGCCAGGTGTGATGCAAGAAAGGGTATGGGTAAAATGCACTTTGGCTTCCTCAACATTGCCAATGCCTTGTAACCCTGTACAAGCAAGAGTGAGTCCACTCTCAATGGTAGCCAAGGCATGATAAGGTTTAAGACTGTGCTGGCACTTAGTGCGCAACATTCCCTTTCCAAAGGGTTTCCAGCAGTGGCCATTCAAAGGGCTTGCAAGCGCCCCAGTTGAAAGATCAGCCTACCTGACTTTGGGCTGCTTAGCAGCCTTGGGCATGTTGACTGTTAACCAGAGTTTCACCCTTTCTGCCAGACATTTGTTGAGCTTCCAAGCCCTGCTATCAATCCAATCCACAATACCAGGATGTATATGCTGAGCTGCATAGTCACCTGCAACTGCTGTGCATACTACATCTGCTGCTTCTTTTGCCTTCCATACGCACAGAAGGTCCTGTTCCTCTGTTTGCAGAAAAGCTGCTTCTTCCTGGTGGGATTTCACTTTGGTAATCTTGACATCTCTGTGTCCGTGTTCCCAAATGTCCCTCCAAAGGTCATGGTTTGCCAAGGCATCCAGCTGCACACGGTGTGGATGTTGGATGTTCCACCAGCCCTTGCAAACATATTTGGCATCAACTGCAACCTCGATCTCATTGGAAGTGGCCTGCAATAAAGCCAAGAACGCCCTGGCTTCAGCACGTGGTACAGTATGCTGGTTTGCAGTACCAGTCAACATTCCAGAAAGAGATCCAACAACTTGCAATTGGGAATCCAGTGCAACAACACTCCAAGCACATCTTCTCATCCTAGGGTCATTGGAATGTGGTCCACCACTCCCATCAGTGCCAAACCAGTATAGACTACCATCCAGGTCAGCCTGAGTAAACACCCCAGTAGCTTGTACTTCTTCTGTAGGTAGGGCCTGCTGGGTCCATTTCAACGGTACCAGGCCTCTCAACCAAAAGTGCTGTTGCTCCACATCCAAGTGAAAAGGCCACCACATTGCTGGTGCTGCTCCATGAGCTGCAATGATCCATTCACATTCATAAAGAATATGCAGCAAAGTAAAGGGCCTTCCACATTTTGGGCATGTTTTGTGAGCACTGTTGCCCTCATGCTGCAATGCTCCCTGCCACAAAACCTGTGCATAGGCTTCCAACCCTTTCTTTTGTGCATACTTCAGGAATTTGCCATGGAAGGTTTTGTCAATGCCCTGCTCCGAGTGCTGTCCAGCCTGCTGCTTGGAAATTGCTGCAACCTGTGCCCTCTCAAGGTAGTCAGCAAACACATCCTTGAGTTCTGCCACAGCCCAAGGGTCCTCAAAGTCCAATTTCCATCTGGAAGAATCAGGAGCTTGCCATTCATTCCATGTAGGGGCTTTCCAGCCCATGTCAATAAGAGAAGCCTGTGTGGCAGCCAAAGGACCTTTTGCAACCATCCAAGGGACTGATTTCCCAAGGCCCTCTTTATTGCTGCACATCCTGCTTTCCCAATAATCCTGACCAGCTGGCACCACATAGTAATCTGCCCCAGTCTCACCTTGTATAAAGGGTCATCCTGCTTCTTTGCACACATTGCCATAGCTAGCTCAACTGAGCCATGTCCCTTCACCCAGTTGTTGGTTTTTGCAATAGCCAATCTGAGTCGATGAAGAGCATTGGTTGGGATACCTTGAGCTTCTTGTCCCCAAAGTCCTGCTGCTTGAGCTGACATGTTGACATATCTCTTTCTCTGCCCTTTGGGCAACTGCTGGATTGCTTTCAATCGAGCTCTGGCCTTTGTCAATCTCCCATTTCTGGTTCCAACCCTTCTCTTCCTTCCCAGTGTATTGTCAATACCCAGGTCCTTGATGATCTCCTTGACCTTTGGCCCTAGGAATGGATGATGAAATGTTGGGCTGTACGCAAGCCATAAGGAAATATGACCCCGCAGACGCCGCAAGGGGCCTTATAGAGAACTCACCCCTGAGTCAGTCTCAAGGCATGAAATCGGGAAACGGGTTGCGAAACAAGGAACACTTGTGACTTACCGCGCTTCCCGATTTGTTTTGGTTGGAGGTGGGGTGCACTTGCGAGTTTTTAGGGCGTCCACTGCATCAGCGGGGTTGCTCTGTTGTAAAAGAAGATCAACCGGACCCGCAGGTACCTTGACCCCCAAGCTACCCATGCAAATGGGAAATAGTTTGAGGGTCCAGGAATATAATCTCTCAACGATGTTGTAGGGTACTCGAGAGTTAAAGTTTGTAAAACATGCGACATATGCACATGTCCTCAGGTTTGCTCATATTTGGCACAGACACCCTCCGGCGGTTTCCTGCTATCTGTGGGGGACAATATGTTCTCATGAGAGAGGGCTAACCCACCACAGCCATCGAAAAAGAGTGCCAAGGGTCAAGGTACCTGAGGGTCAAGGTACCTGCGGGTGCGGTTGATCTTGTTTTACAACAGAGCAACCCTGCTGATGCAGTGGACGCCCTAAAAACCCGGTTGGAAGAAACATTTAGCCCCGCATAAACCAAGGCGTCTATTTTGCCACCTCCCTCTTTAGGGTATTGGTTTAGCGTGCTTGGCTGCAACGTACCTGGACCCTCAACCTACCCACTAAAATGCGCAACTGTTTCTGGGTAGTTTGAGGGTGGTAGGCTCATGGGTATGGGTCAAAATTAAGCCACCAGGAAATGGACCGCAGGTTGTAATCCATGTTTCCACTTACCAGGGTCCCATTTTGGGGTTACCCTATTTTTGACAACCACAGCCCAATCGCCGCATGCCTCGCTCGCCAAACGACTCCGAGGGCTACCTGGCGGCCCTGAGCCGGGACCAGCGCCGCGCGGTGGCCGAGATGCTCTCGGAGGACTCGCTGCCGTTGAACGCTTCGATGGGAAACGTGGCTTCGGTTTTCTCAAAGCTAGTGCTTCCATTTGGTTAAGAATGTTTTTTTTTTTCTTTTTTCCCCCCTGTTGGTTTTAAAGGGAATCTATCACTTTTTTGTTGTTGTTTGTTTCCGGGGGGCTTAAGCAAATGGAGGTTCAAACCTACTGTGGATGGTTGCGAAATCCGTTTCGCACCAAATTGAAACCATGGGAGACCATTGTTTGTTGGCATTTACCAGGGAATCATCATTCCAGGCTGTCTTGGGTGGTGCAGGATTTTGTCCATCCACAGCAGCGCCACCACTTGATTGTTCTTGGGTCAAGTTGGTTGTTTTGTTGGTTTTGTGGGTTCGGTTCATTTTTAGGTTCGGCTGCAAAAAACAAAGTGTTTTGCTACCCTACCGAGGGTTGTCAAGTCCAGGCAACCCACTGGCGTATTTGGCCGTACACAGGCCGTATTTGTTCAACAACCTGTTGACAAACAATACCGTAAATGAGTGGCCCAAGCCGTGTGGACAGAAAAATATGTCAAATACGTATTTTTATTTTTGTTTTTCTCATGACGGTTTCCCTGGTTGCCTACTGTAGTGGCAGCTGGAAGCACTGGGAATGGTTCTTGGGATGGTGTTAAATTTGTTGGTTGAAGTGTTTGTTTTGGGTGAAAGGCGCCAACTTTGGCACTTGATGCCGACTAACCACGTTCAGGGACCCATAACTGGGAAGCCAGTGCGTCGTTTTTTGCGAAAAGAAGACCGAGGTTTAGGCATGTACATGGTTGTTGTTGGGAAACATTTTACATGTTTGCTTATTGTGGTTTGGTGGTTAAACTCCAACCACTTAACTGCTAAAAACTATTTTTGTTGCTCCCCTTCCAACGTCAACCAAGTGTAGGCTGTTGGTCTTGTTGTTCTTGGATGGTTTAAAGGGGTACTTGACAGGCGAAGACGCCAGCGAATCAGGCAACTCTCGCAGAAGACTAGCGCTAGGTATGTTGTTTGGCATTTTGGCTAGTTTCCTGTGGCTGGGTTATATGAAGCAGGAAATCTATCATTGGCTTACGTTGGGAGGGTCCTAGCTTCACAGCTCTTAACAAATTGTTCCTCTAGCTTCATTTAGAATGGTGAGAGGGGTGACAGGGGGGGCAAAGAAAACCAATGGGTTGTGGTCATCGCCTGTTTTAGGAGAACCACATCATGTGTTTGTGTTTGCTAAACAGCATCCTTCTGTAGTCTGCTTTTTTGGGGTGGGGAGTGCGGGGGCGGGGTGGAATCGCAAACTCACCTGAGCCATAGTCAAAACCCGGCTAGATGGAATGGCGAGTCCACACTATAGGTGCGGATATCCGGCCTTTTGCATGCTTAACATCTCCCGGTACCTGGACCCTCAAACTACCCAGAAAGCAAGGAAATTGCGCCAACATGGGGTGATGTCCCATGTTGATGGGTAGCTTGAGGTTACAGTATTGTTGTGGTTCACCCCTTTCAGGGAAACCAATTAGCAGGGATACAGGGAGCACCAGGGATACGGGAGGATTCCCCCTAAGTTTATGGGAAATGGCGCCAATGGAATCCCCCCCATATCCCCGGTTTCTGCGTATCCCCGCTGGTTCGTTTGTCCAACCCTTTTGGTCATCCCTTTGTACTTTCCTTGGGCAACAGGGGAATTCACGGAGACCCAGCGAGTCTTAGCTCGCGGAGGAGCTGAAAGCGGCGCTCATCCGCCAGGGCGAGGCAATCTGGCTGCAGCACTTTTTGCTCTCTGGCGGTGTGTTCCTGGCCCCCAAAAGTCCATTTGAGTCACGTGCTCAAAACCCGGGTAGATGAAGGTTCAGGTTAGCAAGGGGCAGTCCCAGCCAGAAATAGTTGCGGATATCCGCCTTCTTAATTCTTTACATGGTTCTGGGTGGACCATTTTAACACCGGGTTTTGATTGTGACTCATTTCTTTGCCTTTGACCCATAAAAAAGGGGGTACAACGGCAGAAAAGCGAGGCCGCTTGGGGGTCCAGGTTGTTTTCAGGGTACTGCGGTGTGTTGGTTTCAGGGTACCTGGAGTCTCCTTCTGACCCTTATCGGATAGGACAGGATCACTACCCAAAATGAAGGGGTCATGACTATGCCCCCCGTTTTTGGAGGGTGGAGACTCCAGGTACTCCGGTACTCCTTGTCTTGTCTCCCAACTGGCTGTGGGTCAAACATGCATACCCAGAACGGAACCCTGGTGAATGGAACCAAGGACTAAACCCTGCGGTTTAATTTTGACTCATGCCGAACTGGAAAACCAAAAAGAAAAGCCACTATTTTGGTAGGTTCTAAAAAATGACACCCAGTTGACTGTGTGTTGGTATCATGGTACCTTTTTTGGGGTTGCTGTCGAAATGGAAGCCAAAGGAAAATCCAACCTATTTTGACACGCAGACCAATCTTTTTCTCTGGGGTCTCCTCCAAAACATATGTCATATACCTGGACCTTCCTGCTGTGCTGAAATTTCCCGTCTGTGCCGCAAATCTTTCCGTCAGCGGACTGTCCCAAACGGATCTAGGCGGAGCGTCCCCAAAAAAGTGCCGACGGAAAGTCCAGGTATTTGTTGTTGGGATCGACGAAACACGAAGCAGACCCTGATGCTTTGTTTGGAGTCTGCTCCCAACTCATGTTCGGCTCGAATTCGATCCCTGGGTCTCATTTGGCTCGAAGTCGGCAGGCGACTCGCTGGAGGGAAGCGACGACGGCGACGAAAGGCGGAAGATCTTTTGCGGTACTGGGTTCTACTGGGTATCAAAGGCAAATCAAAGGGAAACGGCCCATGTTCAGGGGGGGGGGTTCTCTATTTTATTGTTGCAACCCGTTTAGGTTGTAGTAAAAGCAAGATCAAAGGGAAACCAGCAATGGTGGGGGGGGCGCCTTCTCTATTTTGAAACCAACCCAATCCCCTTTTCCAGCCGGATGTTTTTTTTGTAAAAACAAACAACTTTTGGGCCACTTTTAGGTACAGGAGGCGACCGCAGGCCACCTGATGTTCAAGGAGGAAATATAATTGGAGTCCTTGCTCGTTGGGGGAGGTTTCCCTTCTAAAATAGACCACAGAAAAAAGAATCGGTGCCCTTATTCAAACCTCTCAAATCTGGAGGACCTGGGGAGAATTCAGGTGCCGCATGCCCTGAAAATGGTCCAACGAGTTGACCTGAAAACAAAATCCCCAGCCCGAGGCGTTGCCAAGATCGCAGGCCTCCAGACCCTGCGCTGGCCTCAAAACCTCAGTTGAAAGCGGTCCGGGCCTTTGGATCTCCCTCAGTTGAGAGGATCTCCTTCTTTTCCCAACTTCTTTTTTGGTGGCCCAACTCAAAATGGTCGGAGTCCAAGCCCCAAAAAGGGCTCTAATCCTTTTTTCCCAGGGTCACTGAACAACTGAGCCCCCAAAGCTACGGGTCTGGATTCCCCGTGCAGATCCCAGATCCCAGAAGAACCTAAACAGGCAACCCTTTGCCCACAGTAACTTCGTTGACAAAAGGGCGGTTTGCACCTGTGCAAGAAAACGGAATCACCGGGATGGCTTTTTTGGAGTTCAATGATTCTTTGAGCATTTGTGAAACCCGGATGCAGGCACTTAGCGGCTTCATAAAAAAAAGAAGTTCATTTCCAAGTGATCTGGATTCCCTCTACATTGAATCCACCCCCCAACTCATCAATCATGGTTTTATTGCTCCCGGGTTTCGATTAGGTTCTTTTCTGGCTAGACAAACCATGATTTCTCCCTTCAAACAGATGCAAGCAGGGATTGATGTGTAAGTCTCGAAGCTTGGTAGCACAATATGTTGTCACGAATTTCTATATCTGGGTTGAACCACACCCGAGATCCGGGTCGAAGGATAGGGCACAATGTCAAGCACAAAAATCGGTGCGGCCGTCCATTGGCTCTGGGAACTTGACAAGGGGTGACACGAAGGGTAGGATACCCTAAAGTCCCCCTAACGCAAGGACAAGCTATAGAGCTAGGCTTTTTGAAGCTACCTTTCGTGATTTCGAGTTGCAAGGGCTACTGCTTATATGAATCTCCATAGAAAAAGGCCCTCAGAAATGGTTGGTGGACGGAAATCCTCATGCAACTGCCGCATTGCCGATGTTTACCGCTTTCAACTCGTGGGTTCAAAAGCGGAGTGCCCCTTAGTGCTAAACAAGCGCCATGCGTGAAGTGTCCAAACAGTGACCCACGGAATCGGAAGCCATAAAAGCAGCTAGGGGAGCTCTCATAGCCCTCAGCTCTGGAAATAAGTGATCACCTTTTGGCACTCATAAACCAAGGGAAACCAAAAGGTTAGATTTGGTTGATTCGCCTTTGCCAGTCCCAGACATTCCATGTGTAATAAAGGGAACCACCCTATCTAACAGCCAAGATGAATATGGAGGAGGCTTACCTACTACAGTTGTATCTGGGCACTGGGAGTGAGACCACCCAAAGGGTCCGATCGATGGAATATGGCCCTTTGACAGCCCTAAAGCTCGGGTGAGGTACGGGGACCAGGTGACCAGGTCCCCGGGTTCATACCAAGCCCGATCGGACCCTTAGGGCATAAACATTCACCTCGATCCCGCTTTCGATCTCCGCCCATGTCGTGAGTCATGTCAAGTTGGTGCCAACCTGACTGCCTGTTTTAAGGGAAACCAACCGGAAAACCACCATGTTCTGAAGTCCCAATAGAACAAAAATCGCCCAAATTGAACCTCGTGGTTCGCCCTGCCTGTCTCCATGAAACCAGAAACCATCGAACGCTGGTGCTCCAGGGGCTTGCAATGGAAGACCAGGCCCCTCCATTAGACTCATTAGACACCCCGGGAATCGCTGGTTGGGACCCACTCTCAAAACCAGGTTGTAAGGCCCACCAAATCACTCGATTTGGAGCCTCTGGGTTAAGAGAAACACCCAGCCCTGGCCCCGACCGCTCGACCGCTCGACCGCTCGACCGAGGCCCGGGCTTCAACCCCCCAAGCCTTGCCGGCCGACAGCCGCCGATCCGAAGCCGGGCCGTGCGCGGGCTCGGAACGGAGCGGTGTCCGCCATCCGCGCCCGGCGCCAAGAGCGCGCACGCTGAGCGCCCAGCGCTCACCACTTGCTTTGCTGCAGCAATCAGACTCAACCTGGCGTCTTCAGTTTGTTTTTTTGAGTTGTTTGAGTTGGTTTAGTGGTAGGTGTCCATTTCCTCAGAGAAAACTTGGTGGCTCTCCAAAACCCAGCTGGTACTTGTTACTTGGCTTCTTACTTGTTTTTGTTTGATTTTTCGTGGCTGGATTGCCGTTTAATCCACTGAAAGTTATTCACTTTTGGAAGGGGATCCGAGGGCAGCCCAAACCAGCTCGTTTGGAGTGTTGGTTCGGAGCCCTGTTTTTCTGTGGGGGGCTGAATTACTTCACTTTAATTGTTGGTTTTGATTGGTGGGTTTGGGGATTTGGACCCCTTGTTCTTCAAGGCTATTGTGCTTCCAGGCCAACTAACTTGCTTTATTGTTCAGCAAGTCGGCTCAAAGTCCTTAGTTGGTTGGTGGTTTGGTTCCGAGGTTACGCCGAGTTGTTATAGAGGGTAAATTGGAAACCACCCCACACCAAACCATCAATCCAAAGTACAAGTTAGTTTTAGCGAAAGCAATGACGATTGTCCTTTTCTGAAAGATATCTGGTTCAGGGTTTTGAAAATTGTTATAAAACTCGCGGATGCATGATTGGCCAAAACATATGTGCATATTTGACAGAGCGATTCCACAGATTCGGTGGGGTAAACTGAGTCAAAGCCATGATCAGCATTTTTCACGTATAGGGATATTGTAAAAAAACAGAAGAGGTCAAAACAACAGCAGACCATATGAATTTGAGCACATAAAAATAAACAAAAATCCGGTGCCCAGTACGGTGACCGTAAGTTTGACCGTACCCTTGTGAAACGACCCGGGCTGCCAAGAACGTTGGCTAGGGCCCCGGGTGATTACCTACATGGATTGTGTGGGAATGTTTGAAAAAATATAGTGGTTGAGCATAGTGGGAATGCCCGAAGGTAGACATGGGGTTGACTGGTTGACTTGCACTGTGGCAATAACAACTGGCTCTGGTGAAAGTTCTCCATGTCATGTTCAACGTTCTATGGAGCCAACATCAAGGAGCCTTGCTGTTGGAGAGGCCCTCGGAGGGGAAGCATGAACTTGGAATGGAATTCAATCAAAACCTCCGCCTCATGTGCCTATTTTTCTTGTTTCTGGGGGTTTTCCTTTCACATCCGCTGCCAAAACCCAAGGCCACTGGGGGTTCCAGTCAACAAGTAAGGTCCTGAGGTCGATTAATGGTTGGGGGAACCTGCATACCTTTCGGCTTCGAAAGGAAGCCAAAGACCATATTGACTTCTTTATGTTTTTTTTTTTGGGGGGGGGTGCCCCTTGGCATATTTGTTTATTAGTTGGTTTGTTGTTGTTGTTTTTTGTGGGGCGGGTGTTGCCCCTTTGGCGGCTGGCGCGCGCGTATTTCTGTGGGCAGCAAAGCGTTTTCATGGCTGCCTCGTTTCACGAGGTTGGCCGGCACATGGGCTACATGGCCCGCATCACCCTCTGCGGCATTTCGGTGAACTCCAGGCCCAGCGGCCGAGCCGAGAAGCTGAGCGGACTTTGGGGCTGCCTGCCTGCCTGCGGGTACCTGACTGCTGACTGGTGGTTGTTTGTTCGTATGTTCGTAGTTTTGTATTTGTATGTTTGTATAGTTGAGTATGTTTGTATGTTTGTATGTTTGAATGTTTGAATGTTTGTATGTGTGTATGTTTGTATGTTGTATGTTTGCATGTTTGTATGTTTGCATGGTTGATTGTATGTTTGCGTGTTTGTTTTTTGATTGTTTGTTTGTTTGTTTCCTTGGTTGTTTGTTTGTTTGGGCAAATCCCGACCAAAGCTTGCCTATGATGATTCCCCGTGGGGATTCCTTGCTGTGGATGGTTGCGAAGTCCTCTTCTCGCGCCAAATAGGAAACCCTGAAGTTTGATGATTCCCCTGTAAATACCAACAACCATGGTGACTCATTTCATGGTGCGAGAAGCGGATTTCGTCCAACCACAGTACGATGCAAGGCAATGGAATCACTAGGATGTGAAAATGCCCAGTCGTCCGATGGATACCTCGCTTTTGGTGACGAGGTCCCTTAAAGGGAAGCTCTTCAGTGGCGCCCTTGTTCCCCCTTTTTTGGGTGGCTGCCCCACTAAAACTGGTCCAAGCCCCAAAACGGGCTCCCTTTTTTTTCCAGGGTCGCTGAACAACTGAGCAAAGGGAAGAAGTGATGGTGTTGCCTACCCCATCTTTGTTGGGAGGGTCTAACTCTGCCCTCGCCATTCGGACCGAGTTTGGCCTTTCGGAAGTTCCCTTCGCCGGGTTTTTGTCGCTTCCTGAGTTCCGGTTCGGAGCGTGAACCACTTTTGGGCTCGGTGGCCTTTTTTCTTTACTGGTAAACAAACAGTTAGGGCCTTGTTTCGGGACATTTACTCAGGAAGTGAGGGGTTTGCCAAAGACCATTTTGTGGGTTGTAGGGGTGTTTGTGATCTGATGGACCCGTGGCCTTTTTTGCCAGGTGCAACCGGACCTTCCAGCGCGCCGAGCGCTTGAGGCAGCGACGGAATACTTTTGTTGGTCCATCGGGTCGAGACTCGTCAAATGTGGGTATGGGTCAAAAAGAAACCAAGAATCGGACCGCTGGTGTTCAGTCCATGTTTCCAAGAAACCAGGCCAGCCCATTTTGCGCTTATCCTGGTTTTGAATCACAGCACAGCCGTTTGAGCACTGGGGCGGTGTGTGATGGGCTTTGCAGGTTGACCGGCATCGCTCCAGAGCGGTCTGCTGTAGGTTTGCAGGTTGATTGGTGTCGGTCTTGGTTGCCTTGCATGTTGATGTTGTTGGTAACGATCTGAGGAGCAGGGCTGTGTATTTGTTTGCAGTCCCCCTTTTGGGGGTTGGTTTTGATGGGAAACCAAGGAAGCCAACCACATGGATGGGGTCCGGTAATTTTTTTCTTATTTTTGAACTGGGGAGACGAGAGCAAATTGCGACCCCACCCAAACCAAGAGGCCCGGGCCCCAAGATGTTCATGTCCTGTTAGGGAGGCCGTAGTCCTCCATTTGCTTAAGCATATTTCTGATTTTCCCTTGTTGGCTTTAAAAGGAACTCATCAGTACCGGAACATGTGTTCTTTTGTTTATTTAATTATTTTCTGGGGCCTGGACCAACTGGACGTATTTTGTTATCCGAGGCTTTCACTTGTTCAATCCGTCCGCTCCAGGCAGTTGCTCGCCGAGTTGCGCGGCACTCTGGAGGCCGCTTGAGAACTCGATGGCGGCAAGCTTTAACACCTAGGTGTTTTTCAGTAGTGCCCTTTGACCGTTTCTTTTTTGGTTGGGAGGGTTCCCAACTACTAAAATAGACTACAGGAAAACACAATCGGGCACCAACCTATTCTAAGCTCGCTACTGGAGAACCTAGACACTGTCTCGGTTTGGGTGTCCTCCATTTGCTGATTCGTCCCGTGGGAAAAATGAGAAAATGTGTCCAGTAGTGATAGATTCCCTTTAAAACCAACAGGGGAACATAGAAAAGATTCTTAACCAACTGGAAGAAAGGTGTGTAACGACTTTTGAGAGTACCCTTTTTGGGGTTGGTTTAAAGGGAAACCAACAATGAACAACATAATTAGAGAGTACCCCAATTTCGAAGATGACGCAAGCAGTAGGAACACCCAGTGTTTCCTGCGTTTCGCCACTGGCAAGCCTTCAGTACCCAGAGTCTCCATGACCCCTAGCAAAAAAGGTCATAACCCCATACTTTTGGGTAATGACCAAGAATTTTGAAAGGGTCAGAAGGAGATGTTGTATCCTTTTTTTCCCATGTGGAGCTTCACTGTTGTATCCTTTTTTCCCCAAGTTCCTCAGGAAGCTGTGGGCCTTTGGGCAGCGGCCATGCGTTCATAGCCGATGTTGACTTGCCTTCCCGTGGAGACTGGTCTGTTCCAGCCTCGGCTTGGACGGGGCCGAGTTTTTTTTGAGGCCACGCCCGAGTTCGACCAGATCTTGCGCGCCGCGTTCTCGCCCGGCAAAACGGGTCCGGCGCCCGGCCAAACGGGCCCAGGCCATTGAAGCGAGCAAGCGGCACCCGCAAGTCTTTTGCGCTTGAATGGAATGTCAGGCCCAAGAAATAATCAAAGCATGTCAAAGCCTTTCCCAAAAGACTCAGTTCTTAGGATGGGCTTGTGCTCCCGAGCCCCGGTGGTGCCCTTTTCGCTTGGGCTTTCCCTTGAAACTCAAGCACTCGAAAAGAAGTTATTTTATCCCACTAGAAAAGGACGCATCCCCAAAGGATGGAATGGTGGCACAACTGCTGGCAGGAGTTTGCGCAGGCGGCTCCTTTTTCCATCTGAAGGGTCCCAATGGCATGTGGAAGTGTTTTGGAAGTGAGTTTTGCCTGAACCAATCCTCTTTGGTATACTATATCTCTATATATACATATACCATGGGAGGCCGAGTCAACGTATTAGTAGTCCACTGTCAATTTGGGAGGGGCATGGGGGGGGGGGGAAGCACTAAATGTTCTGCAAACTCCCCGGGGTCTTACTGTAAATCTTCCGTTGGAACTGCATAATTCGGCCGTGCATCAGGTTCCTTCAGAGGGCACCTTTTTTCTAAATGCATGTTTTTACGCACCCTGAATGTACGACACATCCGTCTGGTTCGTTTGAGGACTACATGGAAGGAATATTTGCATTATCAGATTCCTGCAACAGCTGTGGGCACACCGTTGAACCTGGTTCAAAACGCCACCTAAGGTTTGTTTTGGAGGGCGTCTCGAGGAATTGGAGGGCCCCTGGATCTGAGGAGTCATGATCCTTGATTTGAGGGTACCCACGAGCAGCACCCTGGCGTCAGGCCGGACCACTCTTCCGGTTCCGCCTGTCCTACAACTGCAGGCGGGTGTCGGACTGCAAGCCGAGGGAGTCTTGCCACAGCCCCAGTGATGCCCCTTGCTTTTCTTTGGGTTTATCAATTCTTGTCTTGGGGTCCCCCCAACAAATGTTGATTTCCCGAAAAATACAACATCCAAATAGGGTACCCTCAAAAGAGTCGTCCCTTTGGAGTCCTTTGGAGTTGGAGGGAAACCCGCATTCTCTGGGGATGTGTTCATGGGTTTTTAAGCTGAGCAACAACTGAAGGAGTCTTGTTCTCCTCAGGTTTCTGGAAGATGATCCAATCCGGGAGCTGATCTTGAACAGCTCGGTTTCTTGCCAACCACCTTTGGTCAAGGAGCAATTCCGGTGGCCTGGTGCTCAGAAGCCAAAAACAAATGTCTTGGCGCATTGGGATTCGCGCAATCCATGTAGGCAACATAATGCAGTACTCAGCACACCAACACGTTACCCAATTTGTCGGGTAAATGCGGGTAATTCATGGTGCGTACATTTAAGGAGTGTTTGGGCTTGAACAAAGGAGCGGGTTTTGTCTTAGCTTCGTGTCCTTTGAGAAACTATATATATATGGGTCTGTCAGAAAGGAACCAGCTGACTTGCAGATCCGATTTTTCTAGATTGCAAAGGCAAAGAAAGGGAGGCAACAAGTTCGTGGTTCAGAATTGTTGTGTCATTAGTGCCACTTTGTTTGATTGCAATCCCAGACAATTCATGTAGGTAATATATATATATATACACATGTACCAACTCCAAAGGCGTCAAGTGTTGGTACACATTGCCTACATGGATTGTTTGGGAATTCTCAGGCTCACCAAGAGGGACGCTAAAGCCCAAGGGTTGCTTTCCGAATGACGAAACCGGTGGAAAGCCGATCGGAGAGAAAGCAATCCGAACGGCTTCAATTTCACCACCAGACCCAAGTTCTCAAGGGGCCCACCGGATCAAACGGGCCCAACCCTGCATCCCCGGCCCGTGATAACAGTCCCAGTTGTCACAGAAGAGGGCCATTTCCCACCACCATACCCCACTTTTTGGTTCGAACCAATCGCAAGGAGATGGCGACGCGTTTTGTTTTTGGGGCGGCGGGTCGCCGCGGAGTTTCCGGCGGGCCCCAAAAATCGCCGGGCGAACCCGCTCGCCAGGCCATGCGCGAGGACTGGAAATTTCAAGTGAGGGCCTGGCCCTCGGGCTTGAGCGCGACGTGGGAGCGCAAGATGACACAAAGATGTGTCTTGGTTTTACTGTTTTACTCACTTCCTGAGTTCCGTTTTGGAATTTGGTCACGTTTGGGAAGCCCATTTTAGAGGTAAACAGAAAGTGTGCACTTTTTGCGGCTCATCCAGTCAGGAGGTAAGGTAAAGGGAACCTGCAGTAGCACCACTGAGTTGGCCATTTGCACGCATGCATCAGTCATCACATGCAGTTGGACTCATCCGCGGAACCCCCTTTTGATGGTTTGGTTTTGACGACGAACTAATAGGAAACCCACCATTTCTGGGGTGTCCCCTAAAAAAGTTTCTCAAACGGATCCCTAGAAATAGCTTGTATCTCAAACGGATCCCTAGAAATAGCTTGTATCCTTTCCGTTTCGATTGGCTACGGCCTCAAAAGGGGGCTCGCCATATGGAGAAGCTGCCAGGTAGAACATTAAGCGGTCACGTTGTGTGAAGTTTGTCCGACGATTGTTCGGCCATCCCTCCCTTGTGTGTGCCTTTTGCGGGACGCCTCATTGTTTTTTGCTGCAAGATATCGTTACGAAACGCAAGAGAGTACTTCGAAACCGCTTGGACAAGACTAACGCGTTCATTGAAGGGGCATCGCTGCATGAAACGAATCCCTTCCTGAAAGAAAGGAAGCTGTACTCACGACCCACTGGTAGTATCAATCCAGGTCTTCGCGTGAACAAATCGACCTGGAGGGCGCACGGCTGGTCTTCGCACGTCACTGCCATTTGAAACGCGGGGCTCCTTCAAGGGCCTCGATGTGTTTCTTCCAGCAGCTCATGTCGCAGGTGTTTGTGCCTTGACGTGCTTTGTTTTTCGTTCCATGCCTTGAGATGTTAAAGCAGTGGAGTTCCCAACCCAATTCCATTTACCCATGACAACCAATGGCTTGCCACAATTAGAACCCCCCCAAAGGAACATAGGTTACCTAGTACACACACAGGCAACTGGGATCCGCTGCGTAAGGTTGCTTCCTTCCTCACCTCCCCAAGCCATGCTCGACTGCCGGAAGTCCAGCTTCAATTGGGAACCTCTTCATCAAGCTAGCGGGTTGAGAGGTTTCACTGGAAAATTTATTGGTTCCATTTTCCCCTACCCTCCCCCAATGGATTAATTTATGGATTTTCACTGGATATTTATGGATGTATTTTCCAGTAAAGTCCCTTTTATTGGGCAGATTCATCTACTTTTCCCCCACCCTCCCTCTACAGCAGGGTTGCCATGGGCCCGTTGCTGGCTCGCCCTTAGAAACCCCGAGGTGGATGCCCGCACCTGGGCGGGGCGCATGCTCACCTCTCGAAGCCTCAGCTCCATCGATGAGGCGAAAAGCAAAAAGCGGAGAGGTGAGATCATGTTGACACTAGAAATGCAGTCTGCATATTCTTTTTGGATACATTTGCATGTATAGTTGCGTGCTTTGTTTATATACATATATGTGTATATACATCATGACATCATTTGCATGTATATATATATAGATATATGTGTACACGGTCCCCCCCATATATATATATATATATATATATGTATATGTATGCATGTACATAACACTGCCTTTATGCCGGCGACCCTTGCAAATCGTCAGGCCAATTGTAGCACTGTAGGACCCCAGCAACAATAATGAGCGAGGCATAAGTGCAACTCCACACCAGCGGTGTCATTCGACACCTGCCAGAGCAACAAACACAACACTGGAGTCCGTTCACAAATTCTGCTTTGCTTAGCCTCCCCAAAACAAACGCGCAACCTGCACAGTGGGGTTCCTGGAAGACCGTTTTCCTTTTAAAGAGACACCTATGCAGGCTCCACGTGTGGTTTTGGCAGAGTAGAGTTCAGATCAGCTGGGTCCGCATAGGTGTCCTTTTTGGTTGTTTTTGTCAAAAAATAGATGTCGATTCCTGGTTTACCTGGTGGTTTAATCATTTACCAGGGAAACCCATCTATTTTCAACCTAAAAGGACACCTATGTGGGTCTTCTGGGGGACTCGTTTGAGACCTTGCGGCGCTTGCGCCAGGCGCTGCGGCTCCGACACGAGGCGCAGTGCGCACGGGAGCGCGGGTGGCCGGCTCTGCGGGCCCTTTGGGGCAGGCGGGGCCGAGTCGCCGAGTCGAGTTGCGCGAAGCGCCGAAGCGAGTGGAGTCGAGGGACGGGCAGGAAGGAATCTGGGGCTGGGTTCGCTGCATGGCATGTGAAAAGGATCAAAACAGGAACCCAGGAAACAGAACGCCCTGGTTGTTTGACACTGGGTGTTGAATTGTGGAGGATCTTTTGCTTTGGAACTGGTGAGGTCTGGATCTGCCTTGGAAGTGATACTGAGGCTGAACAATATACGAGAAAATCACCACCCCTGATTTTAAGTATCGCTCCATTGGAGGGGTCTGGATCAGCAGAATGGCAAGGCACCTCAAAGCGGAAGTCCCATTTTGAGGCACCTAGATTTATAAATATGTGCAGCGGATTTGAAGGATTGTAACGCAGGTGGCTTTTGGTTGCATCCTTTTGTCAACTGACACTCGGGGCGGCTGTGGGAGCTGCAGGAAAGCGCAAATTCGAGCCGGCACAACGTTTGTTTTCTTTTGGCTCAGGGTGGCCACGTTACTGGTGAACTCACTTCCTGAGTTCCGCTTCGGACCTTTGTCACTTTTTAGGTTTGGACCAGTTTTGGTAAACGATCAGTTTGAGAGTTTGTTTTGAGCCATCCACTCAGGAAGTGAGTGTACTATGGATTGTTTGGGGAGGCACCTTCCGATGTCCCAAACCAGGGGCACCGACAAACCTTTTGGTGTGCTCTTGGCTCTTGGGGTAATCAAGTAATATCGTCCGATGCACTTTCCTTTCTGGCTATGTTGTTTTTACCGGGGAAAGTCCTCATACGTGGTTGGAGGCAACAAATGTCTAGAGAACCAATGGCCAGCACAGGGCGTCCAAGTAAATAAGTAAAGTTCGCACCCTTGTAGTTGTTGTTTGCCTCACTTCCTGAGTTCCTGGAGCTTAAACTTTGTGGGAAGCCCACAGTAGTGGTAAACGAACAGTTTGCTTTTTTGGGGCCACCCACTCAGAAAGTGAGTTGCAGCTGATGTGAAGTGCGTTGGGTTAAATATGCTTTGACTTGTGTTGTTCTGACCTTTGGTTTTTCAAGTTTCCAGATGTCATGGTCTCAAAGGGTTAGCGAGGCAGTCGTGGATCCTTTTTCCCCTTCTCAAGATTCTGGACGTCTGGACGTCTGGGGGGTTGTGTGTGTGTGTGACTTTGCGGATTGGTGCAGAGTTGCATGCAAACATAGATGGGGATTGCAGTTGAAGACCTACTGAGGGCAAGTTAGTGGGATAGTTCTGGTGACAACGGCCAGGTGCATGTCACTTCGACGTGGGCAAGTTCCATCCCGCCCGACACTGACGGATGCATAGTGGGAACGTTTTGGGTAGACATCGCCGAAAGGGGTGTCCTTTTTTTTGTGTAGCCTCCCTCATCCAGTGATTCCAATTGCCTCAAAAGCAGGGAACCGGCTGAGTTTATGACTTTTTGTCCTGGTTCCCTAGCATGAAGGTAACTGGAAGCACTGGGTCAGGCTAGAAGGAAGCTCGGGGCACGGTGTTCCTTCTCGTTTTCGGCACCAAGTTGCCATCTTCTCCTGAGGCTATGTTGGACTTAGGATCTATCAACCCCTTTTGCTGGGGTTCAACCCCTTTCCCTGGGGCTCCAGACGGCCCCGTTAGAAGCATGGACCCAAGGAAACCCAATTTGGATGAGGACTCTGAAGGGCAAACAACGGTGGTTATGATAACCCAACCATCGTTTCAATGGTGGCAACTGAACCTTAATGGCTTTGCTGGTAGCAAGCTTGGGGCAGATCGGACATCTTCCATCAGATCTGCACAGCTTGCATATTTCTCACTTGCAAGGTCTTGGTGGCAAGCCCAGCCATCCGGTTCAACTTAGCTTTTTAGATCTTTTTAGTCGGTGGATTTCCATTTAACCCACCAACAGTGAGTGATATGAGTGGTTGAGTTCCATTTAGCCCGCTAGAAGTTAGTCACTTTGAGCGGGGGATCTGAGGGCAGCCCAGTCTTGAAACAACCAGTTTGGCCCCTTTTCAGCGGGCCAACCGCGTAGAACTGAGGAGGTCCGTTCGAGCCAAAGATCCTTTGCGGGGGCGAATTCCGGGGACTCCCTAAGTATCCAACTCAGCGCATCCAGGCAAGCCACTATAGTTGGTAGCCAGGGGAAACCCTCATGTAAAGCTTAAAGACATGCCGGGCGACCAAGTATAGTGGTGACTGGAAGCGCAGGTAAAGGTTTCTGACTTGGGCCCTTTGTCCCCGAAATGAGTCCGGATGGGCACTCAAATCTTTGGGTAGCAAGCGAGGGAATGCCTGGTGTTCCACTTAAACATCCACCCTGGGGCTTAACCCCCATTCAAAGAATCAAACTGTCCCGATTTGGATGATGAAATTCCCTATGCCAGGCAACAAATGGTGGTTATATGAACCCCCTTCGGATTAATGGTGGTTTGAACCCCAGGGTCATCCAACATGGAGATACCATGCCCACCTTCGACCCATTCGCTGGACGTTAGGTTTGGCCCATTTGGACAGCAGCAGAGAGAAGTACTCGCGCAGAAAGTCGCAAGTGGGGCACTCAGCTGTTGGGCCCTTGGTCGTGGCTGCTGTGAGTGGGTGTTTGTTTTTAAGACTGGTTTGCTTTTGGTTTCCTTTTGCAGCCACAAAGAGGGGGGGTACCAAAAAGACACAGCCTTGTCTTGTTTGATGGGGTTGCCTTTGAACTGTTTGATGGTGAACAAAGTCCTCAATGTTTCGACCGAAAAGCGCCTCATGAGGTGTTGTTGGAGATTCGCTGTTTTGAGATGTATGATTTATCAGGAACTGAAAGCTCGCAACATGCAACTAGCTTCATTTATGTTCCTGGGACATTGCCAACACACAAGCAAACCTATGGTACAAAGAGGGGATCTAGGGAAACTCTTGGATAATCTGAGAAGCACAAAAGTCGAGGCTGGTTGAACACCGTTTGCCAGGAGTTCGATGGAAGCCTTTTTTCACGGCCGTTCTGAGTTAGCCACCGGAATCTTTTTCAGGAGGAGAGTTCAGACAGGCCAATTTACACCGGAAGTCTTGGTACTGCAAGTACTCGGCGGGTTTTTGCTCCACCCAGATTAACATCGGGCAGGCCTTAAGGGAATTGCTCCACCCAAGATGCTCGTTTGGCTTCCATGTAAATCAGGGGAGGGGACAAGGGAAGCACTGGGTGAGGGAGAGCATGGTACCTCCCCAAAAACAAACATAGAACCTGCACCGGGGTTGGACCATTCTCCTCTTCAGGGCACTGCCGGTTCTGGAGGACCTAGTTATTTGGGTGTGGGTCAAAATTAAGCTACCAACAAAAGGCCTGTTTTAGTCATGGGCTCCATTTGCCAGGGCAAGCCATTTTGGGGTTACCCCATTTTTGACAACCACAGCCATTTGAAGCCTTATCTCAGTTGTTCAGTGGTGGCTGCCCCACTAAAAATGGTCCAAGCTCCAAAAAGGGTTCCCTTTTTTGTCCAGGGTCACTGAACTACTGAGTTATTTGAAGCAGGTCGCCGCACCTTCACTGGACGTGGGGCCCGAGTCCCGAGTCGAGGTGCAGATCCATCGAAGGATCCAGCGCTTGGTGGTGCGCCTGGGGCCCCGGTTTTGGAGCGCTTGCTGGCGAGTTTTCCTTGAGCGAGCTCGCTGGTCCGGGGGTAAAGCAAAAAAAAGAGGTACCCTCACATATGGATCAAGGCTTTTTTTGAGGGAACACTTGAAACCTCACATCCGGGGGGAAAGCGACCGTTTGGAGCTCGCTGATCCGGGCGAGCTCGCCTTTGTCCACTTTGTGTTTCAATATACACACACACATCCATAGATTGGGAGTGTTTTTTTCTTTGGCGCATTTTGCCAAGGGATGTTAGGACTGAATAGCTTGTTGCTTCAATTCATGGGTGTTCCGTATTAAACCCACTAAAAGTTAACAATTTTGTTGCAGGGGAGCAGAAAGCCACCGAGAACCTGCGATGTATCCCAATTCTGTCGCTTGAAACCATGGGCTGGTTCAGGTGCAACTGACATATTGTAAAACATGTCAATGCAGATTTAACCCCAAGCTCCAGTGATGCTCTACTTTGATTCTGTGGGTTTGGCTTTTCCTCGAGGAGGAACCGGCTCCCTTCAAAACAGGTACAGTACAAAGATGCCCTTTGCTTGCTATGGCACCGGGGCCAACGAGCCCCTTCCCGGAATGTGCACATCATGCTGAATTGGGCCCAAGGTGCACTCGTGATTGCTCAAATCGTGTGGTATCCTGACCCAGAGGTTGGAGTTCCCAATTGATCTGCTCTAGTGACTATAGGTCGCAACCTGAAAACAAAGCACCCCCCAGGCCCAATTCACGTTGAACTTGACCCGGGTGGTTGTTGGCAAACGACCTTAAGTACTGCAGGGAGAAAAGCATGCCTGCAAAAGTTGAGGGCCTCTCCTTCTGGGCCCAGGGTAGTTTCGAACACCATCCGAGGCCAAATTGAACATATGCTGATATTTGCTGGAGTCATGTCAGGATGGATTTTGGTGCTTGGTTTGGGGCTTTACTGATCTGTGTACTGAGGATTGGAGAGACGCTTGGTAGTCGGCAGCTTAGATTCTCTGGTCTCTGACGCGGTTTTCGCTGATTACCCCCTAGTTTCGCCTGGTCTACTACAACTCACTCCCCGAACTTCCAGGGAAGACCGTTTTAGCAGGGCTCCTTAAAAGAGATTCATTTTGCAACCATTTGAAACATGTTGCTTTTTCAACACCAAAATAGAAGGAAACCACCATTTACAAGTTGCAATGTTCAGGTCAGGTGTATAATGCATCCGGATCCCTGTTTAGTTAGCTTCTAACTTGAGTTCCTGGGCTTTCAACTTAAGGAAGGACCATTTGGTGATAAAATCGCCCAGGAACACACTTGGTTTTGGTCGATTCACTGAAGAAGCGAGGCGTTCATGATCCTTGTATCCCACGAAGATGACCGAAGATGACCAAAGGGAAACCCAGGTTTCCTTTCACCCCAAAAAGGTTCTCAGCCGGTCAGGTCTTGGAGCCGTTTTAATAGGTGGTTAGGTTACCCTTTTTAGCTTGGGTTGTTTGAAAGCTCAGATTACCCTACTGTAAATGGACGAAATCCATTTCGCACCACTTTCAAGCTATGAAACACCCTAGTTTGTTTGTAGTTACAGGGGACTCATCGTTCTAGGGTTTCTGAGATGGTGCAGGATTTCGTCCATCCACAGTATGGGTAGAGCCAAATAGATCTAACAACGGCTGCTCATGTGCGATTTGCCGAGGCCACGGCGAGATGCAAGCGTCCTTCGTCATGCAAAACCGTCGCTGCTCGATTGCAGGGCCTGCGCATCACCGGGTTTGTTGTGAGCACATGATGCAGGTCCCTGAATTATGCCGGGGGAGTTTCTTATTTGGTTGTGTCTTGCCTTAAGGGTATCCCCCCAAACAACAATAATCATGGTTTTACCCTCAACGAAAATACATTTTCATTGTCAGTTTGTGAAATGGGCATGTGTCAAGACTCTCAGGACAATTGTTGGGGCCCAAAACATGATGGTTTCTTTTTGTGTTGCCGTTTAAGCTTCTCCTACTTGCAACACTTCGAGCGTCAGCCACAAATAACAATTTGCCCAGAATCTGGGTAATTGGCTGCCTGGAAACACGCGATGCCACGGGAGAAAGGACTCCTCTCGACTCGAGCATTTGCAAATGCTAAATTCACATCCCGGGCGTTTCATGCTTTTCCCTTGCCTTTTTTTTTCTTGGGGGGACTGCTCGCACCGAGGGAAACCATCCATAAAGCAACAGCTGGCTATCACTCAAAGTGGCTTGCTTGCAGAGCTAAGGATCCCGCTGAGCCGAGCGATGAAAAGGAACCCGTGCGAAAAGCGCAGCGTCAGTCGACCTACTCGCACGGGTTCCGATGAAATCTTGAGCCTTTCCGGCACACTAAGTGGCATGTGGGTGTATCTGAAATTGGGAGATGTGAAACATCGATCCCAGACAATCCATTGTAGATACTCGGAATGCATGCTTACGTAACTGACCCATTTGGAGTTGGTGTTCTTGTGGGTATATATTACCTACAGTTGGATTGTCTGGGGATGTTCCCTGTCAGGGATTTGCCATTGCTGAGACACCCACGTGCAACTAGTTGGACCCCACGTGGCAGAGGATGCCGGGTGCCCAGTGGTCCAGCAGAAGTGACATACGCGCGGTGGAAACCCGACTGGGAAGGGGTTTTGACGGGTCTCCGGAGGTGAGAACTCCAGCAGATACGTAAAAGGTGGCGCTGTGAGTCTTGCGAATGCGAGAAACTTTGCATGTGCATTGGCAATGCATCTATGAGCCGTCAATGAGGTAATGAGGTTGTGTGAGAGTCATGCTGCACCTAGGTTCAAGCAAAATAGTGCCAGAATCCTGAGGTTCATTTGCAAAATAGTGCCAAAATCCTGAGGTTCAAGCAAGATACTTCCAGAATCCAGAGGCTCATTTGCAAAATACTGCCCCACTCCTTACAGCCAGTTGCGCGCGCCATAAATTCAAGTTTGATCTGCAAGCTTTTGGGCAGCAACGGGGACCAGAGCACTTGGCAGCCCGCTGCTGGATGTATGCCCTCTAGGCCCGGAGTGTTCGGCTGCCAGCACGGCTCGGTGCCAATCCCCACCCCTTTACGGAATTGGGGGAGGGGGGATTTCGAGCCCTGGAAATCCAGTTCTGGCAACGTTTTCAGTTTGATTGGGAAGACTAGATCAATGGAATTGGGGGCTTTTCCCCCACCCCCCGTCCCCCCTACAGCAGGGGGGATCCAAGTACTCCTTTAAGGCACGTCCCGAAAGGTCGGAGCTATGACCCGAGACGAATCATGTGAGTCATGGGTCAAGAATATGTAACCAAACATGTGTTGCCCTGGTAAATGGACGAATCGTGTGGCTGTGGGTCAAAAATATGTAACAAAAATGGAGCCCTGGTAAATGGAACCAAGGACTAAAATCTGCGGACTGATGGCTTGATTTTGCCTCATACCCATGGTGAGTCATGGTCGAAACCCGGGAAAGGGAAGGAGGGACATTCCCGACCATGAGGTGCGGATATGCGCCTTTGTAGTTCCTTACCATTGGTTTGGATGGACCAGTTTATCGCCAGGGTTTGATTGTGACTTATGTGGCGAATTCCTTATGTGTGTTCCGCTTGTGCCAGGGCAAGCTGTACTTAGCAGCGGGGGCTTGGGAGGGGCAGGTCTGCCATTTTGTGTTTCAAGGCGATGCAGTCGATCAGAAGTCCATTTGATCCAGTTTCTCTTGTTAGACAGCATGAAGTTTGAGACCCCACTGGATGCCGCTCGTGAAAGGCAGGGAGCCAAGGGGTGAAACAAGCTTCCCTCTGCCACACGCCCCTTACTCGATTTTCCTGTACTTGCGCTTTGTGATTTAATACAGTCAGCTTCACAGTCTGCTTGATTATAGGGCCGGTTTCATAACCACTAGGAATTCGGCCTGCTGCGGAGTTGATTCAAGGGAACCATGGGCCGAGTGGTTTTAAAACACTCCTGGATTGGTGTTCGAGTGCGAATGCCCGGATCCTTTTTCTGAACCTGTCTTCTGTTCAAACTCTTTCTCCCAGGTTTCTGGACTTTAAACTTTTAGGGAAAATACTTGTCGTGATCAAGTGAAAGCTGCGACTTTGTTTGGGCAATCCAATCAGGAAGTGAGAATTCAGATGCCCGTTTGAATACCGATCACGTACAACAACTCATGGGTGTGTCTGTAACTAGGGGACCCCGGAATGGTTGGTGTCCCCTGAAAACCACTCCGACGAGGTACCTCTTGGAAGAAGCCACACCCATACATACATGCATGCATGCATGCATGCCTACCTACCTACCTACCTAGCTACCTACATGCATACATGCATACATGCATACACACACACACATACAGACACATACAGACACATACATGCATGCATGCATACATGCACATACACACATACATACATACATACACACATACACACATACACACACATACATACATACATACATACATACATACATACATACATACATACATACATACATACATACATACATACATACATACATACATGCATGCATACATACATACATACATACATCCATACATACATACATGCATACAGACAGACAGACATACATGCATACATACACACACAGACATACACACAGACATACATACATACATACATACATACATACATACATACATACATACATACATACATACATACATACATACATACATACATACATACATACATACATACATACATACATACACACATACATACACACATACATACATACATACAGACATACATACCTGCATACCTGCATACATACACACATACACACATACATACATACATACATACATACATACATACCTACATACCTACATACCTACATACCTACATACCTACATGCCTACCTACCCACCTACGTACGTACGTACATACATACACACACACACTCTGTGCTTTGTATAGCCACAGGTCCTTGCCCATGCCCTGGACATGCGAAGGTCATGGAGACTCTTTCTTCTGGCGCTGCAGTGCTTGCCGGGGCGGAGTTCTTGGACTGAGCTTTTGCTGCAGGGAGTTGCTATGGGAGGTTCGGATCGCCAAAGGACAGATCACAATTTGGATGGATGACCCAATTTGGATGAACGAAGGCTGTTGCTTTGAATGCCTTGGTGGTTTGGGACCCAAGCTTTGATTTGGCAGTGTTTCTTCATGTTGGGAATCCTGATACTAAGTGATCTCCCTTTGGTTTCCCTTTCAACCAATTCCCGACCAGGGTTCCAACTCCAAAAGAAAGGCAACCACGCCCATTGATGTCCATGAGTGTGACTGTTATCAAGGTCCGAAACCGGAGTTTGTTTCTGGGGTTCAACCCCCATTAAAAGAATGGTTGACCCAATTTGGACGATGAACATCCTTAGGTAAATGCTGGTTATGTGAATGGTGGCCTGTGATGGTGGCCTGCCCGAACCCCAGGGCATGGCAAGTCGCTGGGTATATTTGCCAGGGCAAGCCATTTGGGGTAACCCTCTTGTTGACCCACAACCATTTGGCTGTGGGTCAAAACCAATGGTACCATTTTGGGGTAGGTGAATTCACCACCAATTTTAGAACCTATTTTAGTGGGGATTGGGATGTTCACTGGAGGTACAGGATTTTGACCCGTTCCCTCCTGGAGTCTCCTTCAGACCCTTTGATCATGGGGTCATGACCCTTTGTTTTTGGGTAATTACTGAGTTTTTAAGGGTCAGACTCCAGGTACCCTCCCACCAATTAACATGGAACCTGACGTTCGGGACCCGGTCCCTTTGAAGGAAAATGGTTTTCACACTTCCCTGTCAGGTTCCAGCAGGCTACGGGATCCATAAGAATCCATTTCATTCGGGAAACCCGCAACGAAAAGCAGAGCTTCACGTATCATTATGGGAACTGGTTGGATGAGAAGTTGACCTGGGCGATGGTATGGGTCTCCTATTTGCCTCATCGCCGAAAAGGTCCTTTTTTGTGCCTGAGATGGCAGCAACCCTGTGCAAACCACTCACCTCGGAACTAAAGTGCCCCAAACTTTGTGATACAGAGGAATCCCCTGTAGCCTTTAGTCTTATTTCCTACAACTCTCAGTGTGTTTCCGTTTTCGTCAGGGTTTCAAAATGGATCAGCCTCAACACTGGATGATAACATAGATGGCAATGCTGTGCCCATTGGGGTTTCTTTACTGTTTCGAATTGCGCCACCACGTCCTTAGTGATTTTAGGCCACCACGTCCTTAGTGATTTTCGGACGGCTGTTCGTCTTTCCCGTCGGCGTGTGTCAACACATGGTGGATTTTTTGTTGCAATGCAAGGCAACACGGCTACCCTCGAAAAAACACACGTTACCTTGCAAGAATGGAGAAAGCCTTTATCTCTTGTGAGAATGGTCAATCCTTTTTGTTGCAGCCAAATAGTTGGAATTGGAATTTGGGAGTTGGCTTCCATTTGCTGAAATCAACTCATTTATCCGCTAATTTATCCATTAATTTACCTCCTTTGCTTCCATTTGCTTCCATTTGTTTCCATTTGCTTCCAGTTTTTCTTTCTTAAGTTACTTTCTCCCTCGGCCCGCTGAGTTCTCGAACACGCGATTCCACGGGAAAAGATGGCCGGAGCCGAGGAGAAGTTAGACCATGGAAGTGTACAAGGCTATCCGAGCTATGACGAGGCGGGCCAACAAGCTGCCGAGACAATCCGACTGTATACCAACATAGCCCACCCCTTTGGAGTTGGTACATGTGGGTATGAGATGGTATTATATGTATTGCCTACATGATCTACCTGGATTGTTTGGGGACGGGTATTATATTTCTAGGTCTCCCAGCCAGGTGCCCTTTCTCTACCAGCTTTGTTGGTTGAGAGGGTTCCCAAAATTGGTACCCTTATTCTAACCTCTCTACTGGAGGACCTAGATATGTATTGCCTACATGATCTTCTTGGATTGTTTGGGGATGTGAAGCCGATACCTGTTTTGGTGGTTTTGGGCTGCCCCCATTGAGAGACAAACCTAAATATGAAGCAGTTCAATCGAAATCTGCAAGAACCTTCCGTTGGGTTTTGCCCATTACCGAGATTGACGGCATTGTTCGACGCTCACTTGGTTGACATTCAGGGGACTTTCACTAATTGTTTGTGTCTGTACTTGTTAGTTGGTCCAGGCGTGATGATGCGCCAAGTTTGTGTCAAATTGTTGTGTGGATGTGTGTGTGTGTGTGTGTGCGCGCGTGTGCGCGCGTACGTGTGCGTGTGCATGTGCTTGTTTGTGCGTGTTTGTGCGTGTGCGTTAGCTTGTCTTGCCAGTGTTGCTTTTGTGTTACCGCATATTTACCCTTCGGTTCAAACCACCATATGAACAGATCAATTTATTAACCGCTGTTCATTAAAGTCCCCAAGGATTTCTTCCTCATCCAAATTGGGTTCTTGCCCTTCTTTTTTCATCGGGGCGCCTGGGACCTCCGGGTTTCGATCTTGCCTCGAGCTTCATCGATCACACCTGCCTTGAGGATCCAGGTCCTTGCCCAGGCCGATTCAATGGGATTCAGACCGGTGGCCATTTGAAGACAGACAAAAACTCGGTGCCGCAAATGACCAGCTAAGATACTGTGGATGGTTGCGAAGTCCTCTTCTCGCAGCTAAGAAATTAACCCTGGTTTCTGATTAACCGATTCCCCGGTGAATGAATCTAACGAACAATGGTTTCAATCATGGTTCATTCCGTGGTGCAAGAAGCAGATTTTGCAACCATCCACAGTAGGTTGCGTCTAGGATCCTTGTTGGCTCTTTCACTAGGGGCAAACGAATGCCGGTGGTTTGAATGCCTTGCTGGTTTGGGACCCAAGCTTTGATTTGGCAGTGTTTCTTCATGTTGGGAATCCTGATACTGTGTGATCTCCCTTTGGTTTCCCTTTTAACCAATTTCCGACAAGGGTTCCAACTCCAAAAGAAAGGTAATCACACCCATTGATGTCCATGAGTGTGACTGTTATCAAGCTCCGAAACCGGAGTTTGTTTCCGGGGTTCAACCCCCCCAGTAAAAGAATGGTTGACACAATTTGGACGATGAACATCCTTAAGAATTGGTGGTTATGTTAATTCAACCATTGTTGTAATGGTGGCCTGCCCGAACCCCAGGGCATAGCAAGTCGTTGGGTATGGGTCAAAATTAAAGCGAGAGGGCCGCAGGTTTAGTCCTTGTTTCCATTTGCCAGGGCAAGCCATTTGGGGTAACCCTCTTGTTGACCCACAACCATTTGGCTGTGGGTCAAAACAAACTCACCTCGATGCTTTGCTTCTTTCAGTTCGCCAGGCCACTCAGCTGCTGCAGCAGTTCCTGGCCGAATCTCCGCAGCTCAGGCAGCTGCAGTCCGAGTCTCAGTGGGCGCGGTTCGTGGTTCGTGGTTCGCGACCCGCCGTTTAACGTGGAGTCGTTCGTTCCACCGGTTTTTTGGATGGGAGGAGGCGTTTTTTTTTTGAGACTCCCTGGACCCTCGAACTACCCACAACAATTCCTCCATTTGCTTCAGAATATGTTTTTGTTTTTCTCCCCCCTTGTTGGGTTTTAAAAGGGTTTATCACCACTGGAACTATGTTTTTTCCTGGGGCCTTTTCCAAATGGAAGAATTGGTAAGTGCCGCAAAACTATGGGCGCGATGTCCCATGTTGTTGTTTGTGCCATCCACTCAGGAAGCGAGATTGCCCGGGTTGCGATACAGCTGTGTGCAGCTTTATTTTGGAAGGCCTTGGATCAGAGCCTCTAAAAGCTTGCAAGAACCATAGGTGTCCTTTTTAGGCTAATTAGTTTGGTTAAAGATAGATGGGTTCCATTGGTTTCTGGGGTTTATTCCATTTACCAGTGCCACCTATTTTTCCAAAAGGCCGCCTATGGCAAGAACCTTTCCTGGGCTGGGGGCTGGGGCTGTTTGTCTTGGGTTTTTTTGTCCTAGCCAAACGAAACACATTCAGCGACGCCCTGGGCAGGCTGATGGAAAGGCCAAGGACGAGTAGGGCAAAGTGTTCCCTTTCCACGCCACGGGCGTCAATGAACGTGGTTAACTTTGGTGCGGTTTGCTTGGATGTTAGGACTTTAACTTTTCGCCAACTATAATAGGTTTTCCGTATTAAACCATTAAAAGTTAGTCACTTTTAGCAGGGGAGCAGAACAGGTTTTTTCGCTCCACATGTCAACGCTCCGATCTTCTCAAGAACCGTACCCAAGGAATGCATTGGACACACAACACATCACACAATTTGGTGCTTGGGTCTCAAAAGCGCAGATTCCAATCTCTAAGTCCTGGTGCCTTATCCGCAGGCCCCAGGACTTGCGTGAAATGCTGGCGTCGTTTCATTCGTCGTTTCGGCCTTGGTCACAAAGACAAGGGGTCATGACCTAGTCATGGGGGCCGGGGGGAGGGAGAAGAGGGGGAGGGAGCCCAAGTAAAGCCTTTCTTCAGGTTTTTCATAAGGCCTTGTTGGGGCTCCCCCCCCCCCTCCCCCAGTCCCCATGACCCAGCGTGTCCCTTTAATGCCATCTTGGGGGCATGTCCGCGATCCTAGGATCGGCAACAGCTACGAGAAGCGGCACGGGGCCCAGGCTTTTAATGGGAGAATCATCGCAATTTTGCAGCCTCGCATTTGCAACATACCCTACTCACTCCCTGAGTTCCTGGACTTTAAACTTTTTGGGGTTGGACCATTTTAGTGGTAAATATAAAGTTTGGACTTTTTTTGGCCCATCAACTCAGGAAGTGAGCCTAGGGCTCAAACCACCAAAGCAATGGGTTCGTATGTAGCCACCATTATTTACCTAAGGATGCGCGTCATCCAAATTTTCGGTCCCAAGGCCATTCTTGGGGGCAAGGATCCCCAGGGCATACCTTTGATCCAGACAATCCATGCAAGGAATACTAATATACCCACATTTACCAACTCCAAATGGGTTAGGTATGCATCGGGAAAAAATATTGCCTACAGTCGGATTGTTTGGGTGGTCAACTCGTAAGGCTGATACAAACCTGTATCACCTTAAGGGAGAAGGGTCAATGCTTTTTGTTGCAGCCAAATAGTTGGAAGGGGAATTTGGGACTCACCAAATTACTTGCGATGGCTTCCATTTGCCGAAAAGATGATTTTATTTCTTGATTTATTTTATTTTCCCTTGTTGGTTTGAAAGGGAATAGGTTTCAATGCTGATTCTCAGGCCCATCTACGCGTACATTCTGGGAGCAAGGCACTGGCTCGAGAGACTGTGCGGGTTTTCTCACCGACAATGAGTGGGTTGAACAAGACAATTTCCTGTGGGCAAACAACGGGTGTTGTCCAAAGCAAAGCAAGTCGCCAATTGTGCCATCTTGCACGCAACAGTATTTTAGTGGGGTTTCGAAATAGGGGACTCCCCTTTTTGGATAGTTTCAACAGAAAGCCAGAAGGTCACCACCTTGAGTCCCCAATTTCGAGAAGCCCATTTAGTCGGAAAAGCTTTTTGTTTGAAATTCCGCTAAGGTAAAACAATTCGGACATATCCCAGAGACTCCTGCGAAAAGGGTTCGGATGGTTTGGAGTCCGAAGGAGAATTCGAGTGCACGAGCTGCCCAGGACTCATTCCGAAGGAAACAAAAAGCGACGCCCCGAGGTAGTCTTCCAGTTTCTCATAAGAATCTACCGGATCAGGGAAACCAACTAGCAACAGGGGGAACCAGTTTGATACGGGAGGATTCCCCCGTTTGATGCACCTTGACTAAGTTTGATATGGGAAATGGGGCCAAGTTGGAATCCCCCCATCTCCCCGCCCCCTCCGTATTTCCGTGGAAGTTTGTTTGTCCAAACCGAAGGCCCTCAAAACACTTCCCACAAAACCCATAGAAATTCGGGAGATGACCTGTGAGGCCATTTTACCAACTTTTAGCTTGAGGGTCCAGGAAAATTGGTTAAAGGGGACTTGAGCAACTGGGGTGTTTCAACAGCTTTTGCCGATGCCATCAAGACGGCTCTCCTGCGCTTCCAGCAGGTTTCCGCTCACCTCTCAAGCAAATGAATGGCAAGTTGGGCCCGTCGCAGCATCTTAGATGTCACTTGGCTCACTGTCAACCCCGGGGTTCCTTGCCCTGAAACAAATTGCAAGAGCCCAACTTGGAAGATTCAATTCCTTGGGTAAATACTGGTGGTCATATCAACCCAACCTTTGTTTTAATGGTGGTTTAAACCCCAGGGTCAATGTTTGTTCCGGATACAACCTCAGCAAATCCAGGCAGGTGAAGCGGTAAAAGACGGAATTGGTTGGACTGCTGACCACGAGTGGGCAAATAATATCGAACAATATTATGGACCTCCCGCCACAGGAGATTCTAATCAAACCAGCAGGAGGTTCTACAGGAGTTTTCCCAATCACCCTTCGAACATCAATCAGTTCAGTCAGGGCCTCCCTGTAGTTCTAAGTGGGTGTGTCTTTTTATGGGACGCCCAAAATGGTGGTTCTACTATTGGCGTCCCTTTAGCCGCCAAAAAGGGGTAGTTTCCAAAAAAGATACGGTTGCCTGATCTGGAACAAGGGATTTGCCGACTTTGCTCGTGACATTTGAGGCGGACGTATTGGTCTGTGTCACAAAGAAACCGTCCCATGGTTTATATTTTCCTGGGAAGTTTTGTCGGATCCCGATAGACTTGAACCCAGGGGTTGCCATTCCTATCAGAGCTCAAAGGCTGAAGTACCCCCGAACCTTGCGGGAAGAATGGGCTGGCCTGCCAAACTCTCCAAACTCTCTCTCTCTCTCTCTCCTCTCCTTCTCTCGTGGAATTTGCTTTTTTGAAGGCAGAATCAGGTGCCGCAAGTGCTCTTGACGTCCTTGACCCATGCGCGGGAGCCGCTTCCTCAGTTGACCAACCCGCGACATGTGACAAGCGACAGGCGAAGCAGAATTGGCTGCAAACACGCTGTCACGGGGGTCTTCTTGCCACCTTTTCTGGACAATTGATCGACCCCCTCGTAGTGAAGGATTCCTTTTTGAGGGGGTCGGCAATTTTCTCACAAATTGGTGGCAAAAGAGACCCCTGCACTGTCAGGCAAGTTTTTCTGAGCGCTTGCTTCAGCAGATCCAGGGTGTGCAACCCATAGTTGAACGTGCCATCCTGCTGCGTAGCCGGCTGGATTGAGTTGATCGTTCAGGAAGCCCCCCAACTGGTTTCCGCGGAAACGACGGGGGGAGTATTCTTTGTGTACTCGGGGCTGGCAAACCTTGGTTTTGTCCAACTTTTTGGGGAAACCACACAAAAGGTTACCAGGCGCTGCCCCCTTTGTCCGGATCCTTTTTCAAGTGCCCAGCTTGGCGGCTACATCAGAAGCCCTTAACTTTATAAGCAATCCCCAAAACCACGGTGAATCACGGTAAATTAGAGAATCTGGCTGTGAATATGCCCCTACTTGCAATATGACCATTCCGAGATCGGAAATCCGTGCAGGCAACAAGTCTGTACCTTTTCTTGCTGGTGCTCAGACTCAGGGAATGAGAAATGCAATGACCCCGAGATGAACCATCCAATTGGTGGAACCCATTGCTGGTTCCTTTATTCGGGGACCAAAGCTTGGGGTCATTCCCACATTCCCTACCTGTCGCGGCAAGTGATCCGCTGAGGCCGGCTGGCTTAACGGTGTTGCTCTACTTCCTTGGGCACTTGTTGGAGAAGTCCCGGCAGGGTGATGCTGATGCTTTGGACTTGGAGTCTTACTTACCCTCCCACCAATTCACATGGAACCTGACAGGGGGGTGTTGGCAGACCATTCTCCTTTAAAGGGACCCCCTGTCAGGTTCCCTGTTAATTGGTGACCTCAGACCATGGGGCCACGGGCCACGAATCGAGCACATGAACTTCCCATGGCTCCATTATGGCTTTCACATCCTGAATTGGACTTTGATTGGTCAATATAAAGGAGCCCTACGCTAAACCAAACAAACCACAAACACCAGAACGGGTGGAATCCACTCGGTACCCCCTGATTCGTTCCTATCAGAAGTTTGCAATGGCTTTCCACGCGATGACAGGTGTGCGACTTGCAGCCGAAAAACGGGGCACAAGCAACTTCTCTTGGTTTTCTTTGCACTACCCAAAAGGGTGAAAGCCTGAATCAAGGTTTTTTCCGGCATTGCCACTTCGCTTGCAAGGGAGCTTGGTCTTTTCCTATGAGTCGTCAAGCTGGCCCTCAGCGCGTCGCGTCGCGGGGCATCTCACCAGCTTTCATGCAGGGCTCTGCACGTGAGGCGGGGGTTCAACAGACCCTCTGCCACAATGGCTTTCTCCTGTGTCTGTGCATCTCTGTGTGTCTGTGCTTGTGTGTCTGTGTGTGTCAGCGCGTCAATGTGTTTGTGGGTCAAGATTAAACCACCAGGGGCCCGCAGGTTTTAGTCCACGTTGATGTTTGACCCACAGGCATGTGTTTGTGTGTGTGTTTTGTTTGGAGAGAAGCTGTGAGTCCAGGGCCTTTGGTTCCCTGCTTATTACCCTGCTTTTGGGGCACCTCCATTTCAAGACAGCCCCACCTTCAAACATTGCATTTTTGGGTTTCTTCGGGGGGCGGGGGCGGTAGAAAGCTTGACCTCGAGCCTCCATGACCTTCCAAGTCATGGTCCCATTTTGAAAGGGTCCGAGGAGACTCAATCCTGTACCCGAAGTGGACAACAATATCACCAAGTCTCAGGCCCGATACGTCATCGAGAACCGGGAGATTTGGTTCGTGCCCTTTGTGAATCCTGACAGCTACATCGCGAATCAGGCGAAATCGGAGTGTGTGTCCAGGCCCTGTGCTCGTAACCCTGTTACATCTAAAATCTCAAAACATATTCGGGGGGCAGGTTTCAAAGTAGTGACCACACAAAATCAGAAACACAATTGTTCCGCCGTGAAGGGTTCTTTGGAAAATGGGCTGCTCTGCGCAGCCCAGCTTCGACAAGCCAAACTCTACCCAGCCTATCTCTTGCTCTTAGCCGATGAACCCTCTGTGGGAATCGAGTGTGCCGGATCGCTGCTCCCGCCGCCCCTTTCGAATTTTCTGCACGGCCGACGAACCCTCTGCAAGGATCGTGCATGTCGAAGCGCTGTGGCTGTGGCGCCGTGCCAAATTTGAAGCTGGTCGACGAACCCTGTGCATAGCGCGCGCGTCTAAGCGCTCACACTGCGGCGCCATGCCAAAACTTGGCTGCCTGGCTACAGTCTCGTGGTTCACCTTAGGGCATCTTAGGGGTCGGGTGACCACCCGCGCTTCCCCTCTGGCTTGCCGTCGGGAACCGCCTTGCGCATATCTGCTATGTCGCAGCTGTGCTTTGCGCAGAAGCACTGCTCTGCACAGCTCTGCTTCACAATCCAGCACACTGCGTTTCAAAATGGCCTTGCTTCGGGCACAGCCCATCTCAACATAGCCTGGTCTGTGCTAAGTGTGGCAAGGCGAATGAGTCAAGCGCTCCCGGAAACACAGACTCCAGCCCCAGCGTTTTGGCAGGCAGTTTTTCTTGGCCAGCCTGCTGGGACATGGTGCCGTTTTAAGACTAAGGCTGAGCTGCAACTCCCGGCGGAAAAGTGCACGGCACAATGTGCACGCAAGTATGGCTTCATGCAGTTCCAAGACTGCTGCCAGACCCCTTGGAGGGATTCGTAGGACCCCAGAAGTATTTCGCCTCGCATGTCTTGCATGCCCATTGTGAACACACTTCACGCCCTTCCCCCAACCGTCGGATCCTAAAAGGCATTGCCCCCGCACGCTAGTGACGTCCAAGATGCGCTGTGTGCGTTCGCAGTGCGTGACGCAGTTGTGCGTGAGCGCCGTCTCCCTTGACAATCCTTTCAGGGCCATAAAGTAACATCATGTTGTGTGCCAAACGCATGGCAAACAATGGCGTGCAGCTCAGGCTCTGTGTGGGTCGTTTAGTTGGCGCACTTTAGTGTATTTGCTTTTGTTGCTGCGACTTAGTGCGCTTTGGCCCTCAGGCTTGACAGCGTTCTGGGCATTTTTGCGCGCAACGTTCGCGCCGCGCTTGAGGAGCCGGGTTACCCGTCTCAGCTTTTAGATGGCAGCCTTTGGCAGAGAAACAGAGCGCGCGCAGTGAGATCTTCGTGTCCCTTTCTTTCAGCGTGCTGTTTTTCTTTGGCCACATTGTAGTGAGACTGGAGGGTACGCTCGAGAATAAACATCAGAATGTCAAGTTTGTACCTGACTAGACTTTTCCACCGAGAGGACCTGACTTTGGTTTGGCTGCCATCTTGGATGACTTTGTGACCGGCAACCCTGGTATTGAGGGTAACTGCAAGCACCCTTTCCAGCCACGGCTTTGTCGACACGGCTGAACCCTCAAGGTTGGTGTCTCGTTTCCGCACTAAAGGACGAGGGGGGGCTTCCAATCCCCAAGAGAAGGCTCCACTTCTTTCTGTTCTTTCTCTGCCTGTGTTGCCAACCGATTTCTGTTGTTCAAAGGGCTCCGGACCCATTAAAACTCACGCCCATTTGCGCTCGAACAAAGTACCAGAGCTCCGCCAGGGTCTCAGAGACAAGGCCGGAGAGCAGATCGATGGTCGGGGTTGGTCGCGAAGCCTTGAAAAATGGCTGTTTCCCCGAAGTTGATTGGACCCATGCGTTAAGCCCCACCAATTTGGGTCCATCGGCGCAACGCCCAACACGGTCCAAGAGTAACCCATCACCACCCCCACGCCAGAGACTTTGGGCTCGGGCCAAGTGCGAGGCACAGATATGGGGGTTGATGAAAAGGCACCATTGGTTGCAAAACAAGTTGACAAATGTGTTTCACACATGGGAAAAGTTACCCACGGTCATTGGTCATTTGGGCCTCCCCCCATTCCAGAAACATGCATAGAGCAGGGGGGACCTAGGAACCATGCCTGGCATGTTGAAGGCTTTGCCTGGGATGTTGAAAGCTTTGCCTGGGTCATCGGTTGCTGCGCCTGGGCTGTTGATTGCCTGGACTGTTCTGGGATGGTGGTAGCGGAGTCTTGGCAATTGAAGGCTTGGCCTGGGCTGAAAGTGATGTTTGGGGTTTTGACGGCAGTGGCTGGGAGGTTGCTCGTTGTGGTTGGGCGGTTGCCTGCTGCGCATAGGATGTTGAAAGCTGCGCCCAAGCTGTTGGCAGCTGTGCCTGGGATGTGGACAAAAGTTGCGCCTTGGATGTTGACACTGTGGCTGGGCAGGCAGTTCTCTGCTGTGCCTCGGATGTCGAAAGCTGTGCCCGCGCTTGTTTTTGACAGCCGCGCGTGTTGTGGGTTTGCAAGCCCATTGGTGGATTTTTGCTTGCGCGGCTTGTAATCCGCGGAGCATATGGGTTTGTCTTTTTTGTTGTTGTGTTAAGTTGCTTCAAAAGCAGAAGGCGGGACCTCCCCGAATCATACCCCCAAATCATCCCCCTTAAAACGTTTGCTGCAAGATGCTTCCCTTTTTTCCTACAGGTTGTGATGTTTACTGCCTCCACAACAACCACCACCAGCGCTACCTACTACGACTGCTACTAACGCTACAACGACTACTACTGTCACTGCCACCGCTACTACCGCTGCTACTATATTATACTGCTTCTACTTCTGCTTCTACCCCTTCTCCTCCTCCTCCTACTACTACTACCACTACCACTACCACTACGACTACTACTACTACTACTACTACTACTATTACTACTACTACTACTACTACTACTACTACTACTACTACTACTACTACTACTACTACTACTACGGCTACTACCTTTACTACTTCTACAACTACTACTGCTGCTATTACTACCACCACTACTACTACATTCATCATTCTGAGATTTTAATTTGTTCCGTTTTACAACTAGCCGAATCGTACCCGCGAATCATACCCGAATCATACCCGGACAATGAGTTTCCCTTGCCAAGGCTAGCGCGAAGTCTTTTACAAAGCTCCGCACCACTACAGCTGCTGCTGCTTCTGCGACTACTACTACTACTACTACTACTACTACTACTACTACTACTACTACTACTACTACTACTACTACTACTAGGCTGGAGAGTCCCAGAAAGACATTGCGCACCAAGCAAGCGGAGCAACGACACAAGACCTAATCCGAAGGTAACTTGGAAAACTTGGGCCATGAGTGAACCTGGCACAGAGAACGTGCAAGCCATCCCCGGAAAAAGCGCATGGCAGACCTGAGGCGGGTGCCTGTTTGCCTTTGGGCAACAACAAAACCACCCCCCCCCAAACCCCGGAAAGAGCGCATGGCAGACCTGAGGCGGGTGCCTGCTTGCCTTCGAGCAACCCAAAATCCCTGGGGTCGCAAGTGTGGTCGCAAGCTAAAACAAGTAGAAATAATGATTTTGACGGCGTTTTTGGGGAACTCTTTCGGACGGCCCGCGCAAAAGCACCAACAGGCGAAACGTGCTACAAGCTCATTGATTTTTGCTGGAATTATGCAAAACTGCGCAGTTGCAAATTGCAAAACCTGTCAGCAAGCTGCTTCGTGAATTATCTCTCGCTCTTCTGCAAGGAAGCTTTCGCGCAAGCCGCTTGTTTCTTATATGAAGTTGGTCTCTGCCCGTCTTCGTCCGGTAAGCAGGATTTTTGGGCGGCAGGCCTTTCTGAAGTTGCCTTCTGACACGGGTGCATCGCGGCACATTCCAACAGACCACACGGAACGAATGTGCCTTGACATGTTGTTAATGGCAGGCAACTGGAACACAAAACCGTGGCCACAAAGAAAAGAGCGCAGGGAGAAAGAGGGAAGGCTACTTCTGACTGCGGGTTTGGGGACTGAGAGGCGGTGCCGCTGGGAGCCTTGCAGTTCTCAGGCATGCAGTTCGCAAATCCGCAAACTGCGCTGCGCTGCACTCAGCAATTTTGGCCTATAAGCCAGCTCCACAAATTATGAAAATATGTGTGTTTATCGGGCTTTGTCTACTGCACATCACTGTTGTTGTAGTACTGCCCAGATTCACGTCTCAGCCGCGCAGAAACATGAAACAACTACACAACAAAGCTCAGAAGCTTCAAAATCAACACGCTTTATGAAACGTGGCCCGAGAAGCTTATGTTCTCACAAACTCACGCCTTTGGCACTTCTTTTTCTAGCTACTACTTTTACCAGAACGCCAAATCTTCGGATATCTGAAATAACTAAAACAATTAAAATAAGTAAGCTGATAGGTGCAGTAAACTGTTGCTAACTGCAATAGTAGACTATGTCTCTTCACTGTTTACGAACCCAGGTTGTAGCTGATCGCGGCTGGATCGTGAGTGGATCGCGGCCTGACGGCGGCCGGATCGCGACCGGCTTGCCCGGATCGCGGCAGGATGGTGCTCGAGACCGCAGGATTCGGATGTCTTTCTCGGTACGCGTACAGTATGATACAGTGTGTTCGGGACCCTTGTTTGCGTTGGCGAGCTTGAAGCATTGCGTGGGACACATGCGGACAAAACAACTGCCCATGAGCATCTTTCAGGGCACAAATGGAGCGGGGGGACCTCGAAAGCGCACATGTGTGTTTTCCAGGTCGCCCCCAACCCCCCCCCCCCCCCCATGAGTGGGGGATTTTTGGGGGGGGCCCTAAAGGAAATATTGATCACCCCCCCCCCAAAAAACAAACAAACAGGTTTTCAAGGTGAACCACCCGGCTTGCAAAAATCCCCACCTGCTGAATGGGAAGGGGAGTCGGAAGTTGCCCAAGTTTTTCGCCCACTCCCCAAAAACTTCCACTTGCTGAAATGAACATAATCTTCCCTTGTTGGCTTTAAGGAGAGCGGGGCGAAGGCGAAGGCGGGGTATTCAGCCCAAGATGTGTTCTGTTTTTCGATGGCACCCCGCAAACGATGTCAGGTCATCCGCAAGAACCGGCGACCGACCTGCACGTCATCCATCAATGGAGGGGTTGACATCAACAGGAGAGGCGTCGTAAAGCCTTGGCAGTTCCTGTTGCTTCTTGTCAGTCATCTTGTTTGCTGCTTTTGTTCGGGGGGTGGTTCTGTTGATGCTTATCGGGCCACCCAGAAATAGAGGATGTTCTCACTACCTCACAAGGGCCTGGAGCTGTGGCTGCCAGGCCAATTTGGCAATGTTTGGGTTGCTCCAAATTGTTGGTGTCACTTTGACTTCCTTTAAACGTGGTCCAAACATGGATCCTAGCTTGACGCAGACACGGAGATACAGACACACAAACAGACACACACACACACATGTGGCCTTTTTTGTAGAAGGTACCCGCAAAAGAGGGTGCCCAATTTCAACATGTGCGAAGATTTGATCCTATTTGCAATCGGTGTTTATTGTGAGCCAAAAATGGATGCGGGTATGAATATTCATTGGGGACCCCTTGCTGGACATCATCAAATCATGGAATTTATGTCGAGCCTTCCTTTCGGAGTTGGTGTTCAAACCATTAAACTTATAGCTATGTGGTCTTGCCTGAAATTAGCTGGAACTCCAAAACAGGATATCGTGGTTTTCCATTGACGTACTCAAGCTCAAAAAGGGGTGATGGGCAAGGCAACCAAAGGAAAGCACACAATGTGTTTTTCTTGGCTCACGAAGGCCATCCGGTTCCTCAGCTTGTGTTTGTTTGGTGTTTAGTGGTTGGATTTCCATTTCACCCACAATAAAATAGTCACTTTTAGCGGGGGATCTGAAAACTGACAGCAACCAGTTTTGTGGGTGTAGGCCTAAGCAAACTGAATCTGCGGGTCCGCCTAGTGCGCAGGAACTTTGACCTCCACTGGTCAAATGGATTCCCTGGCTGCGATGAAGAACACGGTGGCACGTGCTTTGGTTGAGTTTTCTCTATTTGTGTGGGTGTTGTCGCATGTGTTTGGAGCATGTGCGCTTGATACCCGGGCAATCAATTGTACATCTGTGTATTCTTGCAGCTTACAAGCAACTTTGCAGAAGCGCACAGACACACATACACAAAAACAAAACACGTGGGTTTCCGTCCAGTATGGTAGCTGCATCTTCCGACTGGATGCATGTGTTCAATGGCCGCATGTATGAAGCCTGTTGGGAACTGGTGTGAACGGTGCAGAGTGCATAGGGGCTCATACCAGGTTCGTACGGGGTAACAACGGAGCCCACCTCGAAGTTGAAATACGCCCGATGCTGAGAGCCCCTTGGAAATTCCTTGTGGATGGTTACGAAATCATTTTCTCGCACCAACGAAGAAACCCTGATGTCTGATGATTCCCCTGTAAATGAATACCAACAAGCGTTATGGTGTCAATCATGGCTTGATGTCGTGGTGCGAAATGGGCTCGCCTCTCCACAATATGTTCGGTTTGTGAGTGCTTGTTGTCCGGCGCATTTGGTTTCATGGCAGGGGTTCTGTTTGGGGTTGTCCGTTTTTTCTTTTTGGCCAATCTGGGCCCATGTGACGCCACCACGAGGTTTGGACGACATCCATCAGGGCAGCACATTCCATCCCCAAATGCTCACTCCCTAAGTTCCTACACTTTGATTTGGACTTTTTTGGCCAATCCTCTCAGTGAGTGTCACCTCGCGATTCTGACTTTACAGAAGTTGGTGTGCAAACATCGTGTGACGGCTCCTGTTTCTCGGGATCTCCATTCAAGGCAAGTGCGTGGAAAGGGCTGTTGAACTGCAAGGGGTTTCCGTGCCTTGTTCAGGCTACACCGATCGGTGGCCAAACGGAATCTTTGGTTTCCAGCTTGGTGTGTTCCATTCGTCCAGCCTGCGCCCTGTGGCTAAACAACTAAGAAGAGAGGGCCGCATCGGTTTTCCTCCACGAAGTCTGGGGATATCCATTTGGGTGTCTCTTAAAAAGTTGGACCCCCAAAATGAATTTCGGTTTTCCTCTTGGTTCTCCTTGTAAAACCAACCAACAAAGGGATCCAACTCAAAAAAGAGAGACCCCTTGCGGAAAAAAATGGGGGGATGTGCTATTTTTCTGGGTGTAGGTCCTCCGGGTTCCCCTACTATCATAGACTACAGAAAACGGGTACCCTTATTCTAACCTCTCTACTGGAGGACCTAGTCAAGGTCAAGGCTCCCAAATTCAACTTCCCCCCCTTCGCTTCCGGCCGAGGAAGCCCTTCTCGGAGCCAGAGACACAGGCGCTCAAGAAGATCTGCGAGGCGGCGCCGTTTTTTTTTTTTGGGGGGGGGGGCGCGGAGAAAAAAACCCCATGGCACTCGCAAGCCCAATTTTTGGAGTTGGTGAATGTTGGTTGAATTGTTCACAAACAGACCGGGCAAAAGAAAAAAATAATCTCCGTTTTCGCAATACTTCCGGGGGGCGAAGGGAAAAAGCAACTTTTCCGCAATTCTTCCCGGGGTGGGTAGAAAGTCCTACCGGGAGTCCCTTAAACATTGGTCATTACCCAAAATAAAGATTCGCCTGTTTTTGATTTGGGTCAGAAAGAGACTCCAGGTATCCATGTCGGAGTTGGTACACTTGCAATGGTTGATACTTTCACAATGATTGGGTATTTTTTTACCCAGTGGCGCCCCCAGGGCAACAAAAACAAGGTTTCCTTCTGGGTTCAAAAAGGTGGTTCCCTTAGTTACCTGCTGTGCAGGTACATGGAGGGATATCAAGGACACTCCCTCATTGCCATGTCTGACTCCGAATTGAGAAAACAGGTGATAATTGGCCACGCAGTCTCTTCCTGAACAAGTTGTCATGGTGTACCGCTGGCACTGCGGCCGAGAGGGCCGTCAAGTTGGTCATGATCTGAGCAAGTTCTACGTGCTGGCTTGCTGCTTGTGTCAAATACACCATCAACTCTTTGGTGCATTTTGCTTGGCTGTTAGGACTTTAACTTTTTGCCAACTCATGGGTTTTCCGTATTAAACCACCAAAAGTTAAACTTTTAGCAGGGGAGCAGAAAGCAACCGAGAACTGTTCTGTGACCTGGAGCTTCCACGGTTGAGCGTAGACTTTTGGACTGCCAAAATGTGCAGACCGATCGTTTGGCGCTATCCGCGCTATATGTTGTGCGTACTTGCAAGGACTTTGCAAGGCCAGCTTTGCCGTCAACTCTACAAACTCGTTGACCGCACCCAACCCTCCCCGCCATCCATCCCTTGACCTGTCCTCTCCATGCCTGGTCATCGAAGAGAAACGGTCAAACTTGCTGCAACGACTGCGGTAGAAGTGCTCGCGCAAGCGATGCAACAACAAATCATGTGCAGTCTTGCACATCGTTGCATCATTCGGTGGACAATGCGGACACTTGTCTAGGTGAGTGTGCGGCGCTTACATGCAACCTGATGCTATCTGAATTCGGGTACGCACCACATACGCAACAATCATACGGTCTTGCGCCGACCTGGTGCAACGGTAAGTGCTTGGACAATCCTGCCCCTGGCTCAATCTGCCGTGAGCAATGTGGGCAGTCCAAACCCTGTGAACCCGCAATACATGACCAGCGAGAGGACCTTTTGTCTCAAATCGCGTCCCCAAGACATTGAGCATTCTCATCCCTGGCAACAATTTGTTGGCCCAATGTCTGTTGATTGTCTAGCCGGCTCAGCGATGGGCTCAGGAACAGCTTCCGTATCGACCACATAGAACGCCGGCGTCCTTGCTTTCTTGCCTATTAAATGACGTCGCACTGGCTTTGTGCTAACTTGTGCTAGTAGTTTCCATGATTTCGTCCTCCTGGGAGCCAGTTGTTGCCAACTGTTGTGCCTCAAACGTTGTGCGCACTGCGTTTGGGCAAGTCATTGGAGGTCCATGACGTCCGAAATCCCGACGGGGTTCCACCCCCCCAAAGCTCCGCGCCCCCTCCGCTCTGGATGGGCGCAATACGAAATCAGCCATCCTGCGAAGGACACCATAGCTTTTGGTATTTACCAGGGAATCGAATCAGAATCCAGTCTGAACGGTGGTGCGAAGCAGCAGGAAAGTAACAGAAGCCCTTCTTCAGAGGGCTGGAGAGTGCCAGGTAAGGGAGAGACTGGCGAGTGGCCAGGTAGGGGGGGGAATGTACTCTTTCTGAGCTTATCAAGCCTTGAACTTTTTTAGACATGTAATACGTCAGTTGAGATGTTTGCGGCTAGCAGTTGTTGTTTCGGACAGGCAGCCAACTTGAAACTATGCAATTGAATCCGTGTTGGCAACTGCCTTGTAGCTGCAATGTTTGCTTTGTTCAACTTAAAAAAGGAAACAAATCAATTAACAATGGAGATGTCACACACCGAACGCTGAGGGGTCATTTAGCAATACCTTATGGGTGCCCTTAAAGTGGTATTGCCTGGCAGTCGGCTGGAACAAGGGCACGGGGGGATTATTTGTCAGGTGAAGACATGATTCATTGTGCGATCACTCGCATGGGCGTATCATAGATAGAACGTCAAGTTTTTGTTGCAGGCCTAACTTGTGGTGGATGTAGCTGTTTCTCTTGAGCATACCAAGGAGCCAAGCGGTTTTCAAATGGCAACTGGGCTCTCAGGAGAACAGCTTCAAGACCGCCATGAACTTTCACGCCTACGGCAGCATGTTGACACATCCGCCACTCAACTCGATGGCAAATAGGACCAACCCCGCCTCACGGCTACTCAAATGGCCATGGGTCAAAAGTCCAAATCTTACCCCCAGTAAACCTCCCAATCCCAACTAAAATAGGTTCTAAAATGGGTGGTGCACCTACCCCAAAATGGTACCATTGGTTTTGACCCCCAGCCAAATGAAAGTCTTATAGCACGCAATGGGAAGCCAAAGACGAGGGAAGAAGGCGCCTCAACTTCCTGCAAAATTAAGAACATGCGCTCTGGTCCGCATGGATCCCACCAGGCTCCTGCCCGAAAATTGTCCTCCAGACCCTTTTTGCAGCAAGCCTGTGTCAGGGTAATGTCAACCCTGAATATCTCCATATCCACCACCCCACCGGCCCACTTATTGAGGAGCGGTCCTTTTGAGTGGGGTTCCTGTATTTCGAGGAGAGCCCCGACCCCCTGATTAATCGCTGGAGGGGGAGGATTTAGGAAGAAGTTATTTCACCACTGGAGTAGCAGACAGCTCTTCGATCCACGGTTTTGGATGCGCAATATCACAGAACGTGCCTACATTCAAGGGAGAGGGAATCAAGGCGCAATGCCACAAATTTTGTTGTCTCCACCGTCTTGCTTCTTTCAGATTCCAGGTTGTCTTTGGAAGGGTAGGCTCGTTTTGGGTATTGGCACCCCAAAAAGGTATGACAGGAACCTGCGAAACACAAATGTCTTTTGCTTTGGATCCCGTAATTTATCCGACAGGCTGATTGTTGTGCAGGAGCCGACATGCAAAGAGGCTGTGAGCAGGAAACCTAGCCTTTAGCCGGAGAGGGGTTTTGCCCGAAGCACTCGACCCTTGGTTCCGTTCCCGGTTTCCACGCGAAAGTAACAGGGAGGGTGGAAACCCACCTCTAGTGGCTATGTGGCGGTTCTGTTTGCGTACGGCATGGTCACAATTTTCCCTCAGTCCCTCAAGGATATAAGCGATCTGGGGGGTTCTTTTTTGTTCTGTGACATCCTTGTCTTCTTTTGTTTGGTAGCACCCACAAAGCATCGTGAGCCCCAAACAGAAATGGTCCTCTGTTCAGCTGAAATCGGGTCACTGGTTGCAAGGGGGTGGTGGTGAATATTGTTTTGGACCGAGGTACAACTGGGCTCGCACTGAGCTCATGCCAGAGGGCGACCGACGGGTGTACCGCGAGATTGCCGACGTCTTCGGTGTGCTACTCAGACGGAAGCCAATGTGGCTGCGGGCCGAATCACAACACGAGGATTTGTGGAGTAAGCTCCTTTCTGGGATTCCCCCCATTTGGGTTCCATGTGACAACTGAAGCGAAAGGCTTTCCTGACTGAGCACCGCGACCCGCGCCCAGGACTCCCTGTTTAGCGTGTCCATCACTCGCACGAAGCAAGAACGCTGCTTCCACCAAATTTGGGGAAGCTAAGGAACCCTTTGGGGGCAGTGGCGCATCTTGCGTTTGATGATTCCCCAGCCTAGGCACAAACCCTCAGGGGGCTGTTGACTTAGAATGGCAACATTGTGCCGCACCAGTTGTCCAAAGGCACAAAAATATGGGGGTGCCTTTTGAGGGGAACCCACACAAATTGTGGTGTTCCCTTTTGGTTTCCCTTTAAAACCCACCAAGGGGGTCCCCCAGAAAAAGAAAGACGTGACGAGCCACCCAATGTTGGTGCGTTGAGGACGGGGGTTATGAAATTGGATGCATTGAGAGATCGCCCCTTGCAAAACAGACGGCCTCCCTTTGGGTTGAACATGTCTATCGAAGATGTGACTCTTGTGGGTAATGTAGACCCCATATTAATCAACCTCTGGTTGATTCATAACGGGGTGTCCGATTCTGGGTGAACAGAGGTTGGAATCAGACCACTTTTGGAGGGGCCAAAAACCACCCTCCTAGTATTAAACTGGGGTTGATTATAATGGGGTCAACATTCTGGGTCAAACTATTCACAGGGAAATGGACCGCTGGGTTCTTTTCATTTGCCGACGGGCCCATTTTGGGGCTACCCTATTTTTCACCCACAACCTCATGACCTCCAGCTTTCTGAATAGGAGCAAGCCCAGACAATCCATCCAGGAATATATACCCCACATGTACCGACTCCAAATCGGTGAAATGTTGGTATGCAATATATATATATATACACACATATATATATATATAGATACATACACATTGCCTACACTGGATTGTCTGGGAATGACGGGTTTTGCAGCTGCGAAGCAGAAAGTTCAACATGTGTCAAAGGCACGTCCCAGTTGAGGCCCCTCCCTGCCAGCTTGCATGCAGGCTACCAGAAGTTCGGCCCGGCCATCAAAACGGTTGCCGGGCCCTGAGGGGTCTTTGAAATTCATTCCTAGCGGTTTCGAAACCAGACTCTCTTGTGCGAACTGTTTTGCTCACAACGCTGCACTTCAAAGTTGCTTGGGAATGGTTGGACAGAAGTGGCTCCACCCTGGCAGGTTCCTGGCAGTGGCTCCAATCGCGGAAGGTTCCCAAGTCTCCCGAATCGACTCACCCATCTGAGACCCACCTTTCCAATTGGCCCCATCTCTCCGCGAGGATAAAAAAACTTGGACCCCCCTTGAACAACCCGGTAAAAGGTGGGTTTTCAGATCTTTGCTCCGACCCGCAATTGCGCTGGTGGGTGGATTTGCGTGGCATCCCCGGGATATTTTTTCATGGGTGGCCGACAGTGAGATAGATGTTGGGGCACGACTTTTCTCCTTTGACATTTCTCGACCGCATCTAACCCTCTAGCTTCCATTTGGTGAGAAAGATGTTCGTGTTGTCCTGCTGGTCTTTTTCAACAGGACACGATTTCACTACTGGAAAATGTGGTTTTGATGTGTGTGTATATATATATATATATTTGCCAGGGGGCGAAAAAGCAAATGGAAGTTAGGACACGGGTCGATTTGCTCTTCAAGGTGCAGCAGTCAAGGCAACTCAAAGCCAGGTGGCGCTTTGGTGTGGATTGGTTCGGGGTTCGAACCTTTGGCTCCAGTTGATCTAATCGGGTTCCCCACCCCACCCCCAAAAAAAGCCACGGCTCCATGCCAATTTGGCTGTGGTTGTCAAAACCGTTTTGGGATCCCGGTTTGGTTGGTAGGTGAATTCACCACTCATTTTAGGACCTATTTTAGTGGTTGGATTGGGATGTTCACTGGGGGTACGATTTGGGTTTTGACCCATGGCCATTTGGGCAAACCAAACCACGGAGACTGATCAAATCGCCGTACTCGCTGAGGGCTACACCGCCACTGGGGAGTCGGATGACTGGATGTATGGCGCCAGGTGGGCGCGGGTTTTGGTCGCCGGCGCGGCTGCTTTGTGTCACAAGTCAGGCGGACGATCTGACTCACTCCCTGATGGACTTTTGGGGTTGAACCACTTTCCCTGGGGTTCACCATTAAAACAATGGGGTTCATAGAACCACCATTTTTTTCCTCAGGATGTTCATCATCCCAATTGGGTCAAGCATTCTTTTAGCGGGGGTTAAACCGCAGGGGTGGTGGGAAACAAAAGTTCAGACTTTGTTTGGTCCACTCAGGAAGGAAGATCTGCAAAGAAGAATCTGAACCCGGATGTGGGCTTGTTGCATTCAGCCGGGTAGACCACAAAGCTCCCTTGTTTTTGCATTTACATATGGGTTTTCAAGCCAACAATTGGTAATCCATGCGCGGCTGATGTTGTTTCCGAGCAACAGAAAGTAGATTCCATGGTGAAGTGAGAAGTCCTTTGCAGCCTAGTACTTCCCCCTAACAAATGTGATTTGAGGGGGAGCGGGGGCAACACCCAACCACGCCCTGTCTACTTGTGTTTTGGGGGAGGGGGGAGTCTTTTGACAATTCTATTTGCAGCGACGCCTCCCTTCAAGACGTCCCTTTGCCAACTGAAAGGCAGGTGAGCCCTTTAGCAACACCCGGATAGATGAAGGTTGGGTCGCCCGAAAATGGTCGCTGTGGCCTTCGAATTTCCCCAGGTCCCTCAGGTCGAGAACCAGCGCCATTTGCCAGGCACATCATTTCCATGTCTCCGGAGGCGCTTGCGTATGAAGCTTCCAGCCAGGGATCTTTGGCGCCTTCCCACACGTGGGTTACGGACTTTTCCTTTCCCTACTTGCCATGTAATATTTAGGGAACCCGCGTAAAATCACCGTCTCAATCGCTTCAAGAATCCTTTTCAGACAGCCTGGGAAATAGATACGTTCTACAACCCACTTGCTGTGCATAAGGAAATATTCACGACAGTCATTGTCTACTTTAGGGTGTACCTTCCAGCATTTACTAGCTGGATCTAGCTGGCAAGACGAAGGCGTCTTCTCGCTGACCAGCAAGTTAGACTACTTGCTAGCTAGACAAAAACACGTAAGTTCGCTAGGACATGTTGAGGCTTGTGGGACTTGATTTGAAACTTACTTGCTGGTGATAGGCAGGGAATGAGACATGGAATGACCCCTATAAACCCTCCAACTGGTGTTTTCCATTAAGGGCCCCCCGCAACGGTTCATTCCCTCATTCCCTGCGCACAAGCAAGACTAGTTATCACCGGCAAAAATGGTTCGGTGCGTCTTGGAAAGGTTTTCCAACATGGGCCTGTGGACCCGGTTTGTCATGTCCGGGTAATTGTGAGAGGTCCCAACCAACTAGAGCGTGTCCTCTGAAAGTCCTTAGGCTTACCTGCAGACCAATCAACCCGAATCAACCGGATCTTACCTAACCTGGCAATAGATGGTCATGGGTGTGTGTGTTGTTGTGTGAGGCTAGCCTGTTTGTTGTTGCTTTAACTCTAAGCCAAAGCGTGACCACGGTTTTGGGATCCTGGTCCCGGGTCCTCCCCTCTCTCTCTCTCTCTCGCTCTTGCTCTCGCTCTCTCTCTCTCTCTCGCTCTTGCTCTCGCTCTCTCTCTCTCTCTCTATCCTTCTTTTTCTCTCTCTTTTGACACATACCCTCATTTGGAACCCGCTGCGGCGGGATTCCGGTTGATTCAGCTTGATGGTCTTTGTATCGCCATGTAGGAAAGTCGACCGCCAACAAAGAAAGATACGATGGACTCTCCAGCCATTGGGCGAAAGAGGGCCAAGCTTTTCCCAGATGAAGATCTCATGGACCTGGGGTTCCGTGGGGTGTTTCTTTACAAAGCCTCAAGGGCCTGATTCCTAGGTTTCGCCAGGGATCCGATAGCCCTCCTCGTGGGTGAGAGCTTTCTTGAGGGTACCCTTTACCCTTAAACCAAGGGAAGCCAGAAAGACACTTTTTCGGATCTAGCCCTCCCTTTTGCTGGATTGATTACTTCTTTGGAGCAAGCAAGTTTCGTGGTATAGGAAAGTTCGGACTTTTTCTCGCACGGCAGGCCCAATATATCTGTTTTCACACACACACACACACACTCACAGACAAATGGGCGTTTCTCAAATTAGAAATCCCCTAAGATGGATCGTGTCCTTTTGGTTTCCCTTGATACCATAAGAGGGTCCACTATTTCGAGAATCTCCCGAATTGGTTTACAGCCAAGTCCACAGCAAACTGGTTATTTTCCGCGGGGGTGTTACTCCCGTCGAACCCTACAATCCCTCAAAGGGGGTCTAAGGAGATTCTTGCACGGGAGTAAGCATGTTCAAAACGTCTTACCTGGCTTTTTCCTGGCACATCCCCATTTTGACACGTCAATCCTGCTCTAGAAAACGGTTTGGATGTGGATATCACCGGTTCGTCCTGTTGGTCCTTTTCTATGGTGAATTTTCTAGCAGTCTGTTAATATTCTAGAGGGGTGTTCCTGTTGGTCCTTTTCTATAGTCAATTTTGTAGTAGTCTGATAATATTCTAGACGGGTGGATCCACAAAAGTCCTATCCAAGACGTGTTCTTCCTTTAAGGGGCCCCCCAAAGAGGGGAACCCCCCGGAAATGGTCCCGACGAGGAAGCCTAGCAGACAGACCATATTAGTCACAAAAAAGCGAAACAAAACCCTATTGGGATTGGGGAATCAGGCCCTGTTGGGGGACCCTTGACAACCATAGCCCTGGAATTCAGACCGTCAAAGCTTATGGGCTCAGAAAAAAAACGGATTGTCATCCAAATTGTGCCAACCATTCCCCAGTTGCCCAGTGGTGCCCGTGTCTCCTTTTTGGGGGGAAGGGGCCCCCTTTAAAATCGAAGAAAACCCCAAAAAGATGCCCTTTTTTCCCCTAACAGCTTTTCTTGAACCAATGGAGGCTCATATAACCGCCATTGTTTACCTGAGTGAGGATTGTCATCATCCAAATTGGGTCAACCGTTCCTTTAGTTCGGGTTGAACCCTAGGGGATACCTTCTTTTGGGGAGGGGTTCCCCTTGAAAGTCAAAAACAGAAAAAAGCACGTTAGGATGCCCTTTTTTCCACAACAAAAACCGCGTCTGGCCCTTAGGGATCGGACGTCTGGCCCTTTTAGGGATCGGACGTCTGGCCCTTCGCCAGGTGGGCCCTGAGAGCGGCGGCTTCTGGCCGCCCTCCCGGGAAATCGAGGGCATCGACCGCCGGAACTTCGGACGGACCCTGCGCCCGGGCGATCGACTCGGCGCATCGACGGTTGCTTCGACTGCGGACGGCCCCCGGAGACTTGAACATTTGCGGAAGAATTTGTGTTTTACCTTTCCCTTGTTACGGTTTTTCTTCCAATCTATCACTACTGGTTTTTGGCGGACTTTCATTTGCTGAAGACTACGTCGTTTATCAGTGCCCTTCTCACCCCTTTTTGGCTATGACGAGGGCCAACAAGCTGCCGAGACAATCCGACTGTATACCAACATAGCCCCCGTTGGAGGGTAAACGTGGGAATTGTATCTAAGTCCCCCAGTTAGGTGCCCTTTCTCACCCCTTTTTCGGTTGGGAGGGTTCCCCTACTAAAATAGACTACCGAAAAAAGTTGGTACCCTTATTCAAACCTCTCTACTGGAGGACCTAGCTAAGAATTTGTTTTACCTTTCCCTTGTGGGCTTTTCCAGGAATCTATCACTACTGCACCTTCTTTTTTTTCAGCGAGCTGAAGCAGATAGATGAAGACCTTTTGGAAACATGTGGGTGCCAAAGTGGTGGTTTTCCTTGTGGTTCCCCTTTAAACCCACCAAGCACCAGCAACCTCACAAAAACTTCACTGTTCTTGGCATTGTTTTAGTTGTTTAGTTTGTTGGTTCTGTTCATTTTTACTGGGGGTCTGCAAAAAACAAGTTTCTTGCTACGAGATGGAAACACACACAGACATGGCGCTAAGCCGTCGACCAGGCGTGTGCTGGTTCTCTTGGTCTTGGATCAAGCAGACCGGGTCCCCAAATACTGTGGATGGTTGCGACATCCATTTCGCAGCACTTGGAAGTCATGGGAATCCAGTGTTTGTTGGTATTTGTAGGGGAATCGGAAAAAACAAAAAAATCCAGGGTGTCTTAAGTGGTGCCGAGGATTTCGCAACCATCCACAGTACTTCCCCTCTCCTGGTGGCTTTGAACATCGGTGGCCGAAACCGGTGCCAAGTGGCAAGGCCTTGACCGTGGATTCCGAGGCTTCTTTGCCAGGGTTTCCAGTCAAGAGCTCCTGCAAGCCTTCGAATGACCACCAGGATAGAGAAGTGGTATTGCCCAGTGCTTTCAGGCAAGCCAAGTCTTGTAGCCAGGGTTTAAGTCATGAACGGTTTCCCCTGGTTGCCTACAAGACGTGGCACGTGTTTGAAGCGTCCCTGGGGCCAGTTTGTATTTGCTCTATGTTTCCAGGGACGCACTTGACCGTGGAGGTACGTCGTTCTGAAGGCTGGCCTGGAGTTGAAGGTGCAGTACGCGCGCGCCACAGCAGCTGCCGAAAAGGGTACGGCTCTGGGTCAACGCCAGGGCTGTGTGGTTTCCGGCCGAGTGCTTTCAGCTACCACTCCAGTAGGCAACCAGAAGGAACAGAGGACCAGGTTTAGTCCTTGTTTCCATTTACTAGGGTACCATTGTGGGTACGTATGTTTGACCCACAGCCATGTGAAACCCAGTGAACATGCCGAAGCCTTACCTGCTGCAGTGGGCACTTAAAAACACTGGACTTCGACTTCGATGTGACATGTTTAGACTGTATAGGAGGATTCATCACATATACGTCACTAGATATGTTGTTTGCCTGTGGCAAAGACAGTGAGAAAAGAATTCCTAGGTGTTGCAGTGTAGAGTTGAGCGTTGAACTATGATTTGAGCTCCCACCGACCTTCCCCCATCCTAAGGCATATCAGAACCTTCAAGCGGCCCTGCTGGGACGAGTGCCAGCAGGCGCGGACGGAGAATGGATGTTTCAGGGCATTTTGTCTGCCGCTAGGTGGACAGAGGTTGGAGTACACGCTGACAAAATGCATTTCTCTAAGGCCAATCTGCCGCGATTTTTTTGGCTGAAGCGATCCCGTTTGTTTGGAAGTGTGCCAACCCTGTCGCAAGAGAGGGCTCAACCAAGTCCAAAAAACCGGGGCCCTTGCCTCGTCCCTACGAGCTCGTCAGGCTTTCTTGGGGCCTAGTCCCACTTGGAAAAAAGACGTCGGTTCTCCACGCGAAGAGCAAAAACACATCGCGGGGTGACTGTCAGCCCAGGTCAGCAGGCCCCCTCCAGGCCCTTGTGTTTTCGTGCCTCGAATTGTTCCAAGAGCGCCTTGGAAGGAGAGAGGTTGAGACGCAAGAGAGGAACTCACGCCCAGCGAGTGGAGTGACGCCCCCCCAAAAAACAGGCTCCCGGAACTTTTGGCGAGTGTGTCGGAGCTTAGGAGTCCCCCTGCTGGGGATTTTAGCAAAGCCTTTATGCAACTTCTTTGGGAATGGTTAGAGGTGCGGATTTTCCCAGTGCTTTCAGTCATTGCCGGTGGATTCCCCGGTCCTTCCGGCATTTTTTTGGCATTCAGACCTTAGTGTCTGGCGCTAAAGCCGAAATGTTCTTTTCAACCATCAGGTTTCGATTGGCGGTCTGGCTCTTGTGGAGGGTTAACCTCTACCACTCCAAACCAATGAGGGGGCAGCTGAACCAATGGGAAACCACCCCAGACCTCCAAGCTGAGGGAGCTGAATTGCTTGTTCAAAACCCTTAATCCTTACTGTGGATGGACGAAATCCTGCACCACTTTGAAAGCATGGGAAAGCATTGTTGGTCGGTATGCACAGGGGAATTAACTTCTCTTATGGTGCAGGATTTCGTCCATCCACTGTGTGTCATTTTGGTAGCACCATGACTCAATGGGTTTTCGGCGCACGGCAAGTTCAACCTTGGTTAGGCTTGGATGCTTTGGCGGGCGGTCCACCAGAGCAGGCATTGCGGCTGAGGCGATGCACAGCATGCCGTGTGGGGAGAGGGGGAGTGGCAGGCTGACAGGAATCAGGGAAACCAACTAGCAACAGGGGGAACCAATTTGATACGGGAGGATTCCCCCTGAATGCACCTTGACTAAGTTTGATATGGGAACTGGCGCCAAGTTGGAATCCCCCCATATCCCCGCTCCCTCCGTATCCCCGCGGAAGTTCGTTTGTCCAAAGGAAGGAGCGCGCATGGGTCTGAGCAAAGAACGAGCTCACCCGAGGGGTCGCCGACCGAGTGTAATCCGGGAAGATGAAGGTTAGTAAGGGACAATCCTAGGCATAAATAGCTGCGGCCGCCTTCTGATCTCTTGAAGCATGGTTCTGGGGATCGACAATTTTAATACCGGGTTTGGAGCAAGTGACTCACCTGAGGGGTCGCCCATAGGGCGCGTGTCCTGATTTCCGGTTTGGGAATCATGTGGATGAGAGGAGCCTATCCGATAGGGTCTTTCGTGTAACGGGAGAATGGTGGCTAAAGTCTGGCATGATGGCTGGTTTCTCTCGATGCCTGGGGGTTCCAGCAGGGCTCCTTAAGAGATCTCCATTTTGCTTGCCCATTTGCATCATGTTGCTTCTTCCACCAAAATAAAGTTGGAAACCACCATTTACAAGTTGCAATGTTCAGGTGTTGTCATGCATCCGGATCCCTGTCCAGGTGGCCAAAAACACGTTTTGGGAAGTGAGCCACAATCACCACTTCCAATATGACGCCAGGATCTCGAACCTGGGCCTGTCAACGAGTGCCGGCAAGGCAAGCCAAGCCGCGTGGGACCTCTGGGCATTTTCCCCCAAGGTCCGGCAGAAACGACGAGCCAACCTCCCCCCCGTTGGGGAGGTTGGCCTTCCGCCCAGTATTCCAGGAACGTTCAATCCGCTTAGGTTTTGATGAAGCGGCAAACATATGAGGCTTCTTTTCTTTTAAGAGCACGCTTTGTGGCTCGTAAGGGAAGCTGAGGGAAACTTTTGTTTTGGAAGGGGTTCCCTAAATCGGTCATGAATCATAACAGCTCAAAGAGGTTGGCCGCCAGAGAGCATCTGGAGGGGTTGAGTCATGGGAAACTCTTGTTACGAGAAAGGGGTGACACACAAGCTAGAGCCCGAAGACCAGTTGCCCATGATTCCGCATGTGTCTCTCCCCCCTGTTGCAAGCCTGTGGGTATGTGTCAAAACAGGGACACCCCAACAGTAGCGGCTGTTCAGTTCTGTTCGTATTTTCATTTTTTGAAACCTCTCTTGCGCACCCACTTGGCTTTCCAATTTTGATGGGCGCGAAAGGGGGGCAGTGGGTCACATATGCTCAGTCATTCCAAGCGTTTTCCTATTACACCCTGGAAGTATGCTCTCTGGGGAATCAACTTATGTTACCATATTTCCAGATACACCCTGAATGGACTCTTTGGGGTCATTTCCCGCGGGTGGAATCCCAGGGAGTAACAGGAAGATCCTTCGACACATGTGCCGGAGGCACAACAAGTCGAGACGGGTTTGGCCAAGCTGCTCAAATACTGAGATTGTGGCTTTCATTCATGTGGCCATACATTTTAATAGGGGACGTCCCATCGGACGCCCTCAAAAGTGGCTGGGCATGAATCCCCACCTACTGCTGATGTCCACCATTTCGGGTCCCCCATTAAAATTCACACCTAGTTGCATACCAGGTTTTAATACGACCCATGTGAGTGCTTCTCCACGAAAAGGATCCCGTTTTTGGATGGTTTGAAAAGGAGAACCAAATGGAAACAAGCCATTTCGTTTGACCCACCTTATCACAGGCTCACGTTGCACAAAACACACGTTTGACCTTGCCTTCGACCGTAGGGGTTGGCGCAAAACATTTGGCTCCAGGTGCTTGGTGTGGCAGTGCTCGGGGCCGTCAGTGGAACAGGCGGTGTGGGCGCGCGCGGTTCTCTGTGTGTGTGTGTGTGTGTGTGTTTGTGAATTGCCGCATAGATTCTGCCGAGCCAAGCCCAAGGGCAACATGTGTTGGATCAAGGGCAACAAAGGCTCGACCGACTCGGTCGAGACGAGCAGGTCCCTTTGTGAATCAAAAGCCTGGGGCGAAGACAGCTTAGTTCAATGGCATGGTGTTTTTAAACATTGTCACTACTTACATGCGCTTTGAAGATTAGATAAGTCCACGGCGAAAGCTTTACCTTGGGCTACTTGATGCATCGGATCTCCATGAGCTTTCTGAAGGCACGGCTCACCATGCTCCCTATAAAATGGGTCTAGACCATGGCACGGAGCCAAAGCAGTCCTGCACACATGTCAACTACACCCATACATGGCTAGCTGATTGCCAATTGGCTGTGGCTCAAAAAATGGTACCCAAAATTGAACCCTGGTAAGTGGTAACATAGACTAAAACCTGCGGTCCCCTGGCGGTTTAATTTTGATCCATACCCATATTTCGGACAAGCCGCGAGTTGACTGAAGATCATTGAATGATCATTGGCCAGCGGTCTTGGGCCTTGCTTTGGATGTTTTCAATGATGGTTTGTGTCTGTCAGGCAATGCGGGCCTCCTCCTCAGCGAGGACAAGACCTCGAGATCTATGTCTATCCATACTGCTTTGGCAGGGGCAACCCATTCCAACTCATACGCTTTCATCCCATTGACGCAACGACGTGAAGGAAAGCGTGCATAGTCAACTACTGTTACCCATGTCGTTGTTGCGAGCAATCCCAAGGGGCAACTGGCCTCAGCGTTACGTTGCCACAATGCCGCAAAAGCCGTGTATGCTTTGCAGAGGCTGGCCTGTTGAGGGCTAAGTAATCAAACCCAGATTCCATTTCCTTGCAGGAAATTAGTGGAGCCAACCCTTTTTCAAAACTAAGGCTAACAATGGCTGGGATCCGGGAAAAGGAAGGACATCTTAGCCAGGGTGGCGCTTGCCATTTCCGAGCTGCTTGACGAGCTGCCCGAGGTAGCTCCTGTGCCATAGTCACGGTTGTTGTTGGGAAACAAGCTACATTTTTGCTTATTGTGGTTTTGTGGTTGAACTCCAACCACTTGACTGCTAAAATTTGAAAATGTGTGCTCCCCTTCCAACGTCAACCAAGTTAGTCAGACCAGTTCCTTTACTTGGGGTTTGCCTGTGGGCCCGGTCATCTTCACAAGAGGTCAAGCACCTACCTAGAGTCTCCGGATCTGACCCGACTCAAAAATGGTTGGCCATTACCCTTAATTTGTGCCTATTTTTAAAGGGTCATGGAGACTCCAGGTACGTGGACGGAGGGATGGACGGGAGGATACAAGCTTTCAATAGATGCCCGGGCAGCTGACTTCAGTTTCTGTGGTTGCTAGCGGTGAAGAAATGAGGAGAGTGTCTAAAGATTGATCTGCCATTCTTTGCAAATGGTTCTGTTTGAAAAGCCGCTAACACCACTCTTCTTAGGCTGTGGGCCACGGACCCAAAAGGGGGCATTTGGTTCCAGGGCTGTCCTCAGATCCTTTTAGATTTTAGTGGGTTAAATGGACACCCCCACTAAACCCAGGGGATGGCTTGAACCACCCAGGTTCATGCTCACAAGGTAGGGCATGCTTGTAAGGGACCCGAGAGACATCGCAAAGCAACTCCGAACAAACAAAAGTGGGAATTGTTTTTTCCCACCCTGTATATGTTCCTTTGTTCTTACAATAGGCGGACCCTCAAAATTTGTCATGTTTGCTTTGGTGACCCTATCAAGATGAGCTTAGGGCACGTTTAGGTTTGGGGCTGGTTGAAGGTGGCCTCAGATTAGCATTTGGCCGGGCTTACAGGGCTCAAGAGGCGATGGCATCTTTGGGGACTTCGGATGTGGGATAGGACTCAGGGAATTGAAGCCAGCAAGGGTATCCTAAAATCAAGAGATAGATATGGCGGCGAATGGCCAGACACGTTCTGGCTGTTCGAACGGCAAGGAATGAGACATGGAATGAGCCGAAATTATTTATCCATCCAACTGGTGTCCTTTCAGGGGAAAGCCTGGGTTCATTCCCATTCCCTACTTGTCGCACGGTGGATCCATTTCCTTAGCGATATACACGCCATAAGGAACATGGCTGACCTGGGATCTGGGCTGCTTAGGGCTCCCTCCCCCTCCCCTCCGGCCCCATACCCACAAGAACACGAACTCCCAATGTGTCAGTTCTAGTTTTTTCTTTGTTCCACCCTGTTGGTTTTAGGGAATCCACTTCACCACTGGACATATGGCCATGGGTCAAAATCCAAATCGTAGCCCCGGTTCTAAAATGCTTGGTGCACCGAAAACCCCACAATGGGATCCCAAAATGGTTTTGACCCACACGTATGTTCTCATTCTTTCCGGGGGAAGCAAATGGCAGCTACCGTCGGATGGGATCGTTTCGGGGAAGCCCGCAGGACAAAGAGATGGCCCTGGGCGTCGACGATGGGATCGCCTTCTTTAAGGCCGGGGGGGCGGGGGAAAACGAGAATCTGGAGTCTCCTTCTGACCCTTTAACAATAGGTCCATGACCCAATATGACCCAATTACTTAGGGCAATGATCAACCATTGTTGAGTCGGGTCATGGAGACTCTAGGAAGACAACAGTGGGTCGCTCTTGGTTGGTTGTTTTGTTCAGGCAAGAGCTTGGTTGACAAACAACAAATGGCTCGGGATGTTTGCTTTTTTTTGTTTTCACACTTTTTCCCGGCCTTTGCTGTGGTTGCTCTGTTGGTACTTGACCTGCTTTTTGGCATTCTTCTTTGTTTTGCCTCGCTTCTTGGCTGGACTGGTGGGTGGTTCTTTGTCTGGGCACGGGAGCGGATTCCGGGGAAGTTCTGGGCATATATCCTACACCTGCTTCGGTTGCAAAACGGAATCTTGACCAGGTCTGCCGTATCCTTGATAGGCAGCTGATCGTTGGAATGACTTCATGGTTTCCTAGAGATCCCCCGTTTTTTAAGATCCCTTTTTCCCCACTGAGAACCAGCAAGTGACTGCGCTTCACAATCTGGGCTCGGCATCAGGTGGATCCTGTCTCGGCACGGAGTTCTCGAACGGTGCAGATTCTTCCAGCGAGGCGCGTAGCTTTTCTCTGGGAAGGTTTTGGATGGATGCCCTCATGTGCCCCCCGCAATCTCAGGTCTAACTTGCATGAGTGTTAAAACATGTAATTACTTCATATTACTTCCATATGCATATATTGTTTACCAGTTTCTAGCATAGTGTATGGAAGGTGGGACGCCCGACCCCTGTATTTGGAAATCCATGCTAGGACCAAGGAGAGCGCGTCCAGTTGGCGTGAGGATTTTCTACTCGGAGGAAGCTCGTGCATGATACGTTGCATCCATTGCGGAAGTCATGTGGTCATGGATGCCGCTCTGCACCTAGAAGAGATACATTAAGTAATTCGGAGGCTGTTCTGGTGCTCTAGCGCTCTGTAGTGCTATGCCTGGCACAGTTTATGGATCTCATCTAAAATGGCACCCCCTACTGTGGATGGACGAAATCCTCTTAGGCACCACCTAAGCAACGATGGTTGACACCATTGTTTGTCGGTATTTACAGGGGAATCAACATTCCAGGGTTTCTTGGGTGGTGCAGGATTTTGTCCATCCACAGTACAATTCAGCAAGTTTGTGAATTCTGGGTTACCGCCTGTATTGGAGTAGAAACAAGAGCTCGCACCCAAAGACGAAAACGGCTCAGTGGCCAACCCATAGACGAGCCTACATATGGTGGTAATGTTTGGCAACTATCAACGACAAGCTCCCTCAAACTCAGCACGGTTCTGGAGAAACCCTTGCTGCCTCTTTGTGGCTTTTTGAGGGGGGAGACAGGGGGAAGGGTATGTTCAAACTCTAGGCAGCAAGAAAAACCTACCTGGGTTTGAGTTGAATACCTGCACAGTGGTTCTTAATCAAATGCTGCCCAATTCGATCATGACTTGTTCATCCTTTATGTTGGACGCTTATGTCCTTTTTTAGTTTCGGAACTTGAAACTCTTTGTCAGGTCCAACCTTCATTTTTATCATGCCAAGTTCAGTCGCTTTGTGTCAAGGTTGCTCAATTCGAGCCGGGCAAAAAATGACCATAGGATCGAAGATTGGTAATGTTAGTCAAAGACAATGCGACTGTAGGCAATAAACACCAACATAACTGACGCGTTTAGTGTTGGTAAATGCTTGATAGCCGTTGGGTTGGATCTCTAGACTTCAACGTGTTGAAATCAGGGGGTTTTCCACTGAACCCACACAACTTATTCACTTTTTGCATCGGTGTCGTTGCAGCAACCAACAATGCATAAAACCTACAGTCGGATTGTCTGGTCCTTTTAGATTCCTTTTCAGGGACCATATTTCTATCCAGCAGATCGGCGTTTCTCATGCGAGCCGCTCGACTGAAAGTCGCCGGGCCCAAACGGTTCGTGTCCATGAAAGCAAGATCTGCAGAATGGCATTATGCACCTGGACCCTCAAACTACACTTAAAGATTGGGAAAATACCTGGTAATGTTGGGGTAATTATGGGTAATTCCTCTTGTTTTCTGCGTAGTTTGAGGGTCCCTCATGGGTTTTCCGAACAGAAGGGCCCCTCATGGGGGGGCTTTCTTTTTTTTGCCAGGGTTGCCGAAAGGGGTGGGCCAAACCCAGAAACGGCCCACCAGCCACACCGTCCGAGCGAGGTCCTCGGAGCCGGGTGCGCGGAGGCTACAGACCTGTGTGGTGGAGGCGATCGGTCAAGTTGAGTCACAACTTCCATGAGTTGTTGTTAGTGTTTAGTGGTGTTTTACATTTAAACCACCAAGTTATTCACTTTTAGCGGGGGAACTGAGGACAGCTCAGTTCAGGTTCACTTCCATTTGCTGTTTTTTTTTGTTTTTTGGCTTTCTCCGAATTTTCCCTTGTTGGCTTTAAAAGGAGATTATCACTACCCAGAGGCACCAGTTCGATTCATCTAGGGCCCTGAAACAGCCTTTTGAGACCCCCAAACACCTCCGGGGTGTCCGATGGAGGGGTCGGGTCTTCCTTTTGAGAGCTCCAGGAGCCTTTGGGTACTTAAAAAATAATTAAAGAATCCAGGGGTCTGAACCAAATGGAAGACATTCAAACCTGGGTAAGTGGAGGCTTTCCACCATGTACCTAAGAATTGTCACCCGAATTGGGTCAACCTTTCTTTTCATGGGGGTTGAACCCTAGGGTTAGCTTCACTGCTCATCCAAGTTGCTTATTTTGTTTGGTTCTATTCATCTAAGCAGAACCCCTACGAAATTGAATATTGGGGTGGTTTTTGGCCCCTCCAAAAATTGTGAATCCCCACTAAAACCAGGGGCACCCCCATAGAAATAAACAGGGGGTTGTTGATCTGGGGTCAACATTCAGGAACAGACCCAACAATAAATAGGTGCGGCGGGCTTCTTAATTCTTTGTAAGGTGGTTAGACCATTATGATGCCAGGTGTTGATTGCGACTCATTGAGTCTGTCCTTGTTTTGGGGAACCGGTGGATGTTGAAGGGAAAGCAATGGAAAGCATCAAAAGGACATTTTGGGTTTGGGGTTGCCCCTGTTTTGAGACAACCCAATCTTGCAAACTCAATGAGCCAGTTTAACATGTCAAACAAAGAACACTGGAGCCATCTCATTAAGCTAGATCACCCCTCGACTGCCGCTGTTACTTGCCCTTGACTCACAGAGCAGACGTAATTCCTAGGTTGATCTTGCTGGTTTCGGGAGGGACGGAAACGTTCATGGCTTCAATGGCTGTGATTCTATGACTCTTCCCCACAAGTCCACCATGAAAAACTCGTTCTGAAATTCCCTCGGAAAACCACAAGGGTGAAGTCCAGTCCATCATTTTCTGAGCAGCAAGTCAATGTGACGGGCCGTCGCCATCACTGCGAAACATGGTATTCCCCAGGAAGAGGAAAACAAATACGTCAGTGGACAAAATCAGTTTGGACATTATCCCCAGTTTTGGACAGTCTTCAGTTGCAAGCCTTTTCGGGACGATCTTTTTAGCGGTCAACGCAAGGTCTGCACCTTTTCCTGCGCACTCCGGAGTAATTTGCACTAGCGAGCTCATGTGGGAGTAAGGTGAGCTCACCTCTGATAAAGGTCCCTTTGAAATGTTGAATTTCCTGATATTGGTTGGATTCGGTCGGCGGGTGAATCCAGGGGACCATACGAATCCAAGAAAACAACTTAAACTGACATACTCCCTCAGTAAGATGGAATTGCCGCCTCAATGGCTTCAATTGTTGGGACAAGGTTGCCTCCCCGAAATGGAAGACACCAAAACAAAGACCTGGCTGTGCCTGTCGGAAAATCAAACATCTCTCTCTCTCTCTCTAGGCCTTTAGTTTTTTACTGGAGTCTCGTCCAAAGTGATTTGCACATTTTGGGGTAGACTAAATACGAAACCAATCAGACAATGATATTTTCTATGTACCTCGGTGGGCCAAGCTTGGGTGAACCTCCTTTGAGGCACAGTACTTGTAAATCAGAATTTGTTTTAGTCTGTGAGGCATGGTTGCTTCTCGGTGCTTTGCCCCGAGCGCCATGGATGCAATGCCCATGCTTTTCATTGCTCCTCCCCTGTTGTTTTGAAAGAGGTCACTAGCTCAATGATCAAGCATTCTGTCTCCAACAACAATGGCCCATGTTTTTTTCCGGCCTGTTCCATATTTGGCTTACCACCCACCCCCCTCCGATTATGCCTCTGACTGGTTAGGTTGAGGACGTGCAAGAGACCGCCGGGGTGTATTGCCACTGCACTACGCGAGGACCTCGCCTGGCAGAGACACTGGAAACTGGTAAGAAACCATGCCCCGTGAATCCATTTGCAGAGGTAGCCAAGGGAACTGCCCTTCAACAACAACAAAAAAAGAAAGGAACATGCCTGGTTACCTACTATAGTGGTGGCTGGGATGCACTGGGATGAATACGTCAGGTTGCGTGTTTTGCAAAGGAGAAGCCAGAAGACATATATAGGACGCTGTCTTAGCGGAATCTGACACGACATGGATATAGATTCGTTTGGGGCTCTACCTTTTTTGGAGCGGCAGGGGGCGAGAAGTGAAAGCACCAAGTTGGAGACAAATCCATAATGTAACACTTCGAGGTGAACAGCAAGACACTCCCAGTGCTTCCTTCCACTACAGCATGCAAATTGGCAATTTTGATCACAGGTTTCCTGGTGACCCACTATCGTGGTAACTGGAACTGGGAATTACAGGCTTCCAGCATGATTCTCGTTCTTTGGGGGAGCCACATATATATATATATATATGTATATATATATATATGGTTCCGCGATGGTTTCGGCCGGACGCGTTATATATATATATATATATATATATATGCGTAAAAGGGAACGTGTAAGAGCAATGATTCGCGTGGGGTTGGAAAACCTTAAGGCGCTGCATGTAGATCAACAGCATGACCTTGCTCGATTTTCCCTAAAGGAAGCCAAAAGGGCAAGGAGCAGCCTTGCGCACCCGGTGAGTCCGTGATCTGAGTTGATACTCCGAGGTTCAATCGGTTGGAGATCAGGACTAGGCTCACTTGGAAGCTCGAAGGGCTTTGGAAGACTTCGTACCATCTGTGGATTCCTTGGTCGCCTTGCGGAAAACAAACCGTTGGTTGCTGAGAAGTGGTGGGCTCATTTTGGATGCCAGAATGGGTGTCCAGGTCCCCCAGTAGTGCCCTTTGACCCTTTTTTGGGGGAGGGTTCCCTTACTAAAATAGACCAGAAAAAGGGTACCCTTATTCTAACCTCTCTACTGGAGGACCTAGGCGTGCTGTTTCGGAGGGTATCCTTTCAGGCGTGACTTTTGCAGAGAAGCCAACCATGCCCACGTTGAGGTCAGATATGGCTGTGGCTGACAAAAAGGTACTAACATGGTATCTTGGTATCTATCTGGAACCAAAGACTAAAACCCGCGTAACCCTAGCTATTTAATTTTGCGCCACGCCCATATGGAACCTTTCCGGAGCTCTTCCGTGAAACTCCTGGCCTTTTTGCTTGTCGGTTCTGAAGAATAATCCTGGAAATCCCCTTAAAGAAAACCAGCTGGATGGTGCAGTCCCATTCCAGCTCATTCCCTTCCTATGGAATCAGTACATACGTGTGCTATGAATAGCTTCGGCCCTTTTTCTTTGTGGTGGGGTCTCCTCCAAAACATGTTTTTTGTATTTGGAGATATTTGGAGGCACCTAGAGTCTGCATGACACCAAAAAAAGTGGGGTCATGACCCAGAAGGAGACTCCAGGTAGGCGAAAACATATTCATACTGTGGATGAACGAAATCCTGCACCACCTAAGAAGCCCTGGAACGATGATTCCCGTGTAAATGCCAACAAACGTTCTGGGTTTCAACCATGGTTTTAAAGTGGTGCAGGGCATGGATTTTGCAACCATCCACAGTATGATTAGTCGGTGTACCCCTTTCGAGTGGGCCAGCTCCAGCGGTACGAGCACGTATCTTCCGATGGACCCAGGGATTAGAGGGACCGGGTCAGCAGACTCGACTGAGAAAAAATACGGGGACATTTCGGATGCCCCAACTGTGGATTCCACCAATTGTCGCACGTTTAACCAAACAAACACGTTTTGTTGGGAATTGTGTTTGTTTGCACTCTTTTCCCACTTTCCGCGGAATCCAGTGGGTCATTCAAAGCAACTCTTCGCCTGGGGCCTTTTTCGGCCGGCTGGTTGCTGGACGAAAGTCGGTTGTGTCGGGTCAAGACTTGCGATCGGTAGGGAATGTGACGAGGTGAAGCGGTTGCGGGGATTCCCGAAAAGGAAACCACCACTTGGTTCAGTAAAAAAGGATCCAGGGTTATGGGGGAATGAACCTAGGGAATCCCGAAATTACAGGAACCCAAATCGGGGAGGGTTTATGTCCAGACTCCAATTCTCATTCCCTCATTCCCTGCCTCCAATTCAGCACCACTAGGAAAAGGTTGGCTTGAACCATGCCCAGACAATCCGGCAGGTGATATATGCCCACATCTACCAACTCCAAATGGATCACATGTGTGTTCATTACCTACATGGATTGTCTGGGCATGAATCCCCACTGAATGCTCATGTCCATTCCGTGTCCGGGAACCATGAGCTCTCACTCGGTTGGGCTTTGTGTTGTTGCAGGCCATTGTGGCAACAAGTCCAAAGATGCTGACGTAGGTCGGGTTTTGAGCCCCAAAATGCTGGGCTACCATCCCCAACCAGGGTGCCCACAAGCAGACCGGCCCATTGGTTTCAACCAGATCGGGGACACCCAATGGAGTGCCTGTTTAGTGCCGGGATCCAGGCACCACTATAGTCACGCGTTGTTTGTTCTTCTTCTTGCCTTCTTGCTTGTTGCTTTTTGTTTGTTTTGTGTTTGTGTTCCCCTCTTTTTATTTTGTTTTTATCCCTGGGCTTTGGGCAGGCCATCATTAAAACAGTGGTTGGGTTAATATAATCACCGTTGTTTCAGGATCTTCGTCCTCCAAAGAGCCCAAGCGCCGTAAGGTTGGTGGACTTCAATGGAGCCACGCAGAAGGAGCCCCACGCCTAAATATTTGGAGCTTCGAACGGCTCGTTTTTCACGTTTCAGCGGGCGGTTCCATGGTGCAAAGTAGAGCAACACGTTTGTTTTGTGAGGGTGTTTCCCTTCAAAAAGGTCTCGCCCCAACATCTTTCGAGAGTTTCGGTTGGTCCCAATGAACTCAGCGTGCCTTCAGTGTACATGATTCCGCCTTGGACTTTTCGGGCTTGTTGCAATGTGTGGGAGGGCATTGCATGCTACTGGGCATTTGGGGGTGTCTCTGTTTAGGAGACCCCCCCCCCCTCCCAAACTGCTTTTGGTGTTCCTTCAACCCTAAAGAAGCACAGAAGAAGGGGTACATACCCTCAATAAGTGACGCAACATTTGGATGGCTTGAAACGTTCGTGGACTCCTACGAGGGCCTAGGGGGGGGCTCGTAAGGCCTTATCAAGAGCTTATCCACGGCTTATCCAGAGATCAAGCTTCATAGACCGCACTTCGGGGTCCATTTTGGGTGTTTTGAAGGTAGGGAAGCCAGAAGATCTGCAAACCAAATCTTACCTCTTAAAACACAACTTTTCAACTTTTTGGGTAACATGGGCTATATGTCTGTAAAAGATTAACTTCCCCAGGGCTTGGAGTTTTAAGGGCAAACTGCGGGTGTTTCGATGGGCAAATGCCATGTCGCACGTCCAAGGTCGAAGCCTCAAAGAAATATACGCCTGATGGTCTTCTTGGTGGGGGGAGATCCTGAACAAAGTGTTCGCCTCAAGGCCGCTATGTCTCTGAAGCGATTCTTTGGGTTTTAGGTTTTTTGTGGGGTTTAGTGGTAATGTTGACCCCGGATTAATAAGCCCCTGCTTATTAATATGGGGGTGTTCCCCTCCAACAGTGATAAATCCCCACTAAAACCGGGGACACCCCCCTATTACAAAAAGCCAGGCTTTATTAATCCGGGGTCAACATTAGTTCCCACAAAGCCATTAAAGGTTAGACTTTTAGCAGGGATCTGGGAACAGCCCAGTCACAATTATTCTGAAAGCCTTGTTCCTCTGAAAGCCAGTAAATTCGAGGGTGTTCCCTTCCAGTTGAAATACTGTGGTGCGGATGGACAAAATCCTGCACCAACTAAGAAACCCGGGTTTCCGATGATTCCCCCTGTAAATACCACGAACGCCGGTTTCCCGCAGTTTCAAATTGGTGCGAAACGAATTTCGTCCAAGCAATAAGACCATCAAGGTGTAATTTCTTTGGAGGGTTCGACCTTGTTTAGTGGTTTTACAGGGAAACCAACAGGAAAACCACATTTTTCACAGGAACCAACGGGAAACCAACAGGACCCACTAACGTTGACCCCATATCAATCAACCAACTTGTTTTTTGATAGGGCGTCCGATTCTGGGTGAAATGCGGTTGGAATCAGACCACTTGAGGGGCCAAACACCTACCTATGAATAAGCCGGCTGGTTGAAATTCATGAGGTTGGAACCCGTTGGCTTTCAGACAATCTGGGGAATAAACCGGTTGGTGGATGAAAATCTGGGGTCAAAATTAATAGGGGGGCGTCCGATTCTGTGTTTCGTGGGGTATCAGACCACTTTTGGAGGGACCACCAGCCACCCCCTATTCATCAACCGGTTGGTTGATGAATATGGGGTTAACATTGTTCTCAGCGACACCTACATGTTAGGGCCATTTCCTGTAGATGTTTCTGTCACCAAACCCTTTGAAACCGGAAAACCACCCACTGGCGAAGGTCCGGGCGCGAGAGCTTTGTGGCACCCAACTCCGGCCGAGACCTGAGCTGGATGGAGGTCAAAACTGCGCGAGGGAACAACTTGCGAAGCCTAATATTAAAAATGAGAAAAACTTAAGATTAAATAAAATGAAGGCTCTTCTTGTGATTTTGATATCATCTTTCATTGTACAGTTACTTATTATCGGTGGGTGGGGGGCTTTTTGGAGGTGGTGCAACCCCGTGTTTTTGAGGTGTTTTATAGGAACGCCTCTCCAGGAAACCACCATTTTCAGATTTTTGGAGTGGGCACCTTTTTGGGGCCCTGTTTTTGAGGGGTTTTCAAGGAACACCTCAAGGTAAACCACCATTCCCCCTGGTTTTTGATTGGTTTGAAAGGAACGCCTCAGAGAAGGTCATCCCCAAGGTTCGTTTCGTGTACGAGAATTTGCGGAGGAATCGTGGACTGCTTTCCGTGAGGTTGCGGAATCAGGCTTCTTTCCTGTGGAATCCTCCCGCAGGGTCCAGCTAGGGCACTGCAAGTGATGGATTTCGACAGGAAGCGCTTCCAAGCTCTGCGATGCAGCTGTTGCGGGTGCAGGCCGTCTTTTGCACGACTGTTTTCGGCGGGGTGTACGGGAGCAAGGGTGAAGCGGTTGTCTCATGGAACTACTGGTGCAACTAGATGGCGCAACTTTCTGGTTTAGGTTTCACTAAGCTCTTTACTTCCCCAAATAGTGCCATGTATTTTCACTCAAGTGTCAGGGGAGTACTAGTAAATGTGCGACGTGGTTCTCAGGCTTGCCATGTCCTCGGTCCTACATATCCTTCCTACACGAGTGTTGGAGTTAAGCAATTCAAGGCGCTGCACCATGACACTTCTCAGCCGCAGCTTCTTCCCAACATGAGTCACGCCTTTTTTGTGAGTCAGCAAGCAGGCCCCGCCTCTTTGCCGCCAGCTTCTGCGGCTTCAAAACTCGCCCTGAAGCCCGACTCGTCTGCCAGGTAAGACCGCGGCTCCCGTGCCGGCAGCGCCTGCAACTCCGGCAGCGCCTGCAACTGCAGCTCCAGTGCTGATCCCGGCCGCTTGTCCGAGGTCATCCATCTGGGGTAGACTTAGGATACATTTTGCATTTTACCAGTGACTCAAAGTGAAGCAAACAATAACTGGACCTAACTCTAATCATGAGGTAACCTTGCAAAAGATAAGATTGGCTCCCACCAATTTACATGGGACCTGACGTTTGGGACCCGGTCCCTTTTAAAGGAAAACATGCCCCCCCTGCCAGGCTCCATGTCAACGTGGCAGGTATGTACTTCCATTTGCTTAAGAAACAAATGTTTAGTGTTGGTTTAAAGGAAATATGTCATTGCTGGAAGTATTGTTTGTTTGCTTTCTTTTTGCCGGGGACTGCAGCAGATGGAAGTTTAGCTTGTTTTATGGCCATCAAATACAAAGCATCCCACCAGGTTCTTGAATACATGAACAACCCAAGTCTTCGGCAAGGACTCTGAAAAAACATTTAAACTAGACCTTGTAGTTGGTGGCTGCAGGATTCGAGGCTTTTCCAGAAAAGGACAACAGTTCCGTCGCTGACAGATCATGTACTTGGGGATACCCCTATTTAAGGACTTTGCAAAATGTGCAGATAAAATGTGAAAGGGTTTGTTTGTCCTTGCAATAATATCAAATGGGGACTTGCAGATCCTGGATTTGCCATGAGCTGTCCTTGGCAATAGCGCAAACCTTGGGTTTTGGAGCGGCTGGTTTTCTGCGATCAAAGGACTCCCTACATAGAGCCCGAGCGGGACCCCTAAGAGGAGATTACAACCTAGGTTCCATGTGAGCAGCAACCAATTCACTGGTGTGACTAGGAGCAGCAAGCCCTATACAAACAAGTATGCAATGTATTCTCAGAACCAAAAGTCACCGAGTTGTCACCTTGATCGCCCCAAAATGGTTTTGCGTGGTGTTTTGACCATCAGCTTCCCAATGGCTTGGATGGACCCTTGGGTGCTCCGGAGCGGTTTTCCATCTCTGCAAGAACGGCCTTCGAATCCCAAACCAATCCTCAGTTGTCCAGTGACCCTGCAAAGAAAAAGGGAACCCTTTTTGGGAAGACCATTTTTAGTGGGGCCACCAAAAAAATGGAAAATCATTGGTGCCACTGAACAACTGAGTGCCTCCATGTGTTTTGTTCCTCATCTCGGCGTGTTCTTTTTGTGTCCGAGGTCACTGCGGCACCCAGGATCGACCGGACCATTCTCTGCGGGGTGTCCTCTTCTTTGTCTTGGTGGTACCCTTTTCTTCCATTTGCTGAAATGAATGTTTTATTATTTTGTTGTTGCCCTGTTGGTTTTAAAGGAATCTATCACTATTGGAGATTGTTTTTTCCATAGGCGTCCTTTTTAGGTTGGCTTGCTAAGGAAATAGATGGGTTCCACTGGTTTAGATGGGTTTTATTCCATGTACCAGGGCGATCTATTTTCCAAAAAGGATACCTGTGGTCCGGGCCTTTTTTCTTTTTCTTGAGGGTACCGTTCTCTTTTTGTTTAGCGAAACCAACCCCCAACTATCCATACACCTGGACCCTCAACCTACCCATAAAAAAGGGTGAAAACACCTCATTATTTTGGGGGCCAACTACCTATTTTTATGGGTAGTTTGAGGGTCCAGGTATGCAATGTTTACCAGCATTTGTCCTCGAAATGGGTCATTGTTTGGTGTATATATATATATATACACATCATATCATCTACAGCCGGATTGTCTGAACAAGGGAAAACCACGACTTCCTTTGGGGTTCCGGGACCCCTAGTTCTTAGACAGACCCATCAGTAGGCGAGTTGCCAATCGTCTAGGTTTCGAGCTCATGGATCCGGGGGAAAAAGAGCTGGCCATGCAGGTCCTGTACTGGATCCTGATTTCTGGGGACAGCTCGCAACAGGTCGCAACAAGTGTTCCTGAACCCAAATATTGGGGGGTGATGTTCCGCTGTGGGTAATTTGAGGGTTGATGGTTTTTTATTGTAGACTTTGCCAATTTGGTTTGGTTCTGGTGAATCGCTTTTCTCCTTGGAAATTCATCCTGTCAGAGCCTGAGAGAAGCACTAACCAGACAATCGATATAAGTACTATATATCAACATTTGCCGCATTTGGAGTCTAAGTGTGGGTGTATATATATATATATATATGGTTACCCCCCCCCCATGATCCACATTTTGCCTCTTGCAAGCAAAAAACACTGGAAAAACACATGCAAAATGCTTGTTTTTGACCACCTGTTCCAGGATCAGATTCTGATCCTGGAAACTTGGGTCAAAAACAAGCATCATTCTTGATGAGTAGATTAGTCAAAGATTGCGACATTCTTGATGGACAGATGTTAGGCAACTTGAAGCAGATGCTTACAGATGGTTTGTGTGGACAGCCTTCTGGAAAAAAAGTTAGCAGGGAGCAGATGGAACTTATGGAAGCAGCATGCAGAAAGTGCTGTACTGTCCCTAAAATCCAGGCTTTGGAGGCTGAAAGTGCTGTACTGTCCTTAAAAAACCTAAAAAAACATTCCAAAAACAGTCTTGGGCACACAACCTCCTTCTGGCAAGGAATTTTTGGTTTTTTAGGGACAGTACAGCACTTTTTTTGGTTTTTTAGGGACAGTACAGCACTTTTTTTGGTTTTTTAGGGACAGTACAGCACTTTTTTGGTTTTTTAGGGACAGTGCAGCACTTTTTTTGGTTTTTTAGGACAGTACAGCACTTTTTTGGTTTTTTAGGGACAGTGCAGCACTTTTGAGCATCAGCATGCAGAAAGTGCTGTACTGTCCCTAAAATCCAGGCTTTGGGCAAGGATTTTTTGATTTTTTAGGGACAGTACAGCACTTTTTTGGGTTTTTTAGGGACAGTACAGCACTTTTTTTGGTTTTTTAGGGACAGTACAGCACTTTTGAGCATCAGCATGCAAAATGTACTGTCCCTAAAAAACCAAAAAAAGTGCTGTACTGTCCCGAAAAAACCAAAAAATCATTGCCAGAAGGAGGTTTGTGTGCTCAAGACTGTTTTTGGAATGTTTTTTAGGTTTTTTAAGCACAGTACAGCACTTTCAGCCTCCAAAGCCTGGATTTTAGGGACAGTACAGCACTTTCTGCATGCTGATGCTCAAAAGTGCTGTACTGTCCCTAAAAAACCAAAAAAAGTGCTGTAATTTTTTCTAAAAAACTAAAAAAATCCTTGCCAGAAGGAGGTTTGTGAATGTTTTTTTAGGTTTTTTAGGGACAAAGCCTGGATTTTAGGGACAGTACAGCACTTTCTGCATGCTGATGCTCAAAAGTGCTGTACTGTCCCTAAAAAACCAAAAAAAGTGCTGTACTGTCCCTAAAAAACCAAAAATTCCTTGCCAGAAGGCAAGACTGTTTCTGGAATGGTTTTTTAGGTTTTTTTAGGGACAGTACAGTCCAAGGCCTGGATTTTAGGGACAGTACAGCACTCTTAAGCATGCAGAAAGTGCTGTACTGTTTTTTTAAATTGTGGATGTGGGAAGGCAGTAGCAGATGTTTGTCACTCCGACGAGCTGGCTTGCATTTTTCTTGCCTTTTTCCTTCGAGCGCATATCCGGTAATCACTGCTTGTGCAGTGCCTGCAGCATCTGGCCGGTCACCTCCCACATATTAGCGCGGCGATGCCAGTATTCAAACTGTGCGGATCTCAGCTTTCGCAAGAGAACCTGACTGCCGGGGATTCTATTCGTGTGTTTCAGGTGAGATCGAAGGGTGTTCCAGAACCGGTCGATGATCTGGGTGCCGCTCTTCACACGCACCTTCTTCCCGTCCGGCAGCTTGACGTCGTACTGCTTGGTGTAGTGGGGCTTCACCCAAACGGCCTGACAGACAGGAATAACAGAATCAAGTAGATCCCTTAAGAGGCAGTTAAAGCAGTTTAGGTCAGAGTTACTTGCCTTGCCGTTGATGACGATGCGCTTCTTCTTGTGCACGACGTTGCAATGCCTCACGTCCGGCAACCTGAGCTTGTAGGCTCTGGCCCCATCGCTGTGGAGGATGACTTTCCGGCCCGCGATGTGCTTTTTCGCAATCGGCTGCCAGTCCCTCTTCCTGATGGGACCTGGCCCCGGAGATCTCTTTTTGGTGAGGATGGGGTTGAGCCTGAAGAGCACCAGCGAGGATGGCCTTCCTCGCTCCATCGGCTCGTCTTTGGCATCCTGCGCATTCTCGTTCTTGATCTCCTTGAGCAAGTTGGAAGAGGACTTCACAGATCGAAGCTTCTTAGTGGGCGGCTCGTCGACGGCAGCGCCAGCATCCAGGTAGTACTTGGTCTTGCCCTCAATGCCCGCGAGTGTTGGTCGATCTTCAATGACGTACTCCCTTCCTGAGAACAGTTCTTTCCCACGGGTGGTCGCACAATAGCGGACCTCCTCGCCATCCAGCGCAGCCTGCAGCAAGTTCAAACTCCACTGCATGTCTTTGTCATGATCTGCCGGCAAGTGAGAGAGGTTACCGCGCTTGTAGGCAGCCAAAAGGGGTCGGGCAGATGGAGAGATCATGCCAATATCCCGCTCTGGCCAGGCATACCGGGGAACGGGTTTGCGGTCTGTGCCTGGCACACGTACGTACATGCCCACATCGGTGAAGACGATGAAGGTGGATCGCTTGAAGACACCGACAAGGTCCTCTTCATCGAAGTCCCTGTGGAAGGAGGGGCGCACGATCTTGTAGAACTGCTCGAAGGTCACGGTGTCCTGAGTCGAATTGGCGTCCATCGGCGGCTCTGCAGTCCTGTCATAGGGATTACTGCAAATCTGGCATAGCTGATTCTTCGCGTACGAGGACGCGTTGTATCTTGCCATTGTCTTCCTGTCGACGCCGTCCACCTCCGTCACTGCCTTAACACCTGCGGGATGCTCCAGGTTGAGGTTGCCATCATCAAACACCCTCGGTTTCGTCCGCCTGCCCTTCTCCTTGCGGAAGTAGTCGAGGTGGTTGCATGTCTGAAAGCAAGGGCTGCCCTCCTTCTCTTCCTGAATCAACCAATATGCGGACACCACAGATGAGAGGGTGTAGGACACCGGGCTTTTACCCACCTGAGACTTGCCAATCCAGATAACGGAGTGGGACATCACATGAGGAAGAATCGGTGCAAGGATAGTGTTCAAAGCCCACGGCGTGATGCTCTTGAAGGTGAGAGGCCACTCCTTGATCGTATTAGCTTGAGAGCCTTGGTCCGCGAGGCACCTCAGGAACTCCTTGATGGTCGCCTTGTCCCACTTGTGGAGCGGGCCGTTCGGATCGTTGACCTGCTCCTCCGTTTACACTGTGAATTGCCCGTCGGAGTTTTCTTCCGGGCCAAACTGACGGATATAGGCGAAGCCCTTGCGGATGTCCTCCGTCTCTTTGGGCATTTTGCTCAAGGCACCGGCGGACACGAGCTTCTGGTAGCGGACCTGGAAGCCGCCCAGCCCCTCGAGCATGTACTGTAGTCCTCGACCACCATCGCGGTACTTGCCCTGCAAGTCGATCTCGAGTGGAACGCCCTGGCACATAGAGATGATGGAGCTGTGGAGGACCTTTGCACCTTCTAGGAATTTGATGTGCTTAATGATGTCTTTCTTGCCCCCTTCCTTGGGGATGATGAAAATCTGCATGTTGTAGGGGGCCTGGAAGTTCCCCTTCATGCGCACGGGCTCGGGTAGGTCGGCATACCGTTGTTGAAGGAACATTGTCTCTACCGCATTCAAGTCAATAGGCCCTTCGTGGTCAGCAATGACATCGAGGAACTGCGTCTTCTTTTTCACGGAGTCGGTGATTTCCATTTTAGCTGGCAAATCGCCTAGCTTAATGGAACCGGGCTCCTTGTTCACCACCATTGGCTTCTCCAGGTAAAGGATCTTCATGCCGTCGGTGTGGGCGATGGCTTCCTCCAATGTGCAGTTGCCGTCCAGGTTTGCGTTGTCGAAGGAACGAGCCAGCGACTCAGCACGATGAGGAGGCACAGATGCCATGATTGGAGCAGAAGGGAGTATCAGGAAGTTACCTCAAATTGAAATGGCTGCAGCAGAGTACACGGAAATTTGATGAGCTTGAGATGCAAGCAGTATGTTAATAGCCTCCATTGGGAGTTGGGCTAATAGTACTTCAGCCATTAGTTACACACTGCGGGGTCAAACTAAGGAGCCAGAGCTGAGACCACACACTGCAGCCATACCAAATGTGGATCATGGGGTTGGAATATCAGAAAGTTGCCCAGCTTTGCAATGGATGCAGTATAGCACAAGGAAACTTAATGAGCTTGATATGCAAGCAGACTCAGGCGTACATGGTCAGCAGGCTTTTTTCCTTGCGGCTTGGAAAACTGAGAGAGTAAAAGCAGTCCTAAGGACTGTCCCATAAAAAACTATGGCAAATGCCTCTCACTCATAATCAAGCCAAGTTCATTCTCTTGGAGGACGGTCTCCTCGCTCGCGCTGATCTTGAAGTGCAAGCCTTCGAAGCTGAACACTTCCGATCCTTAGATGGGCAAGAGCAGAAATGACAGCAGAAGGACCCCATAAGAAACTGCAGTTTTCGACTCGATGAAATCGGCCAAGTAGCCACATGGTAGATAACCTACTTTTGTAGGCCATCTGGATGGAGCGATAGGGCTCGGCGTGGCGCTCGTTGCCATGGCTGTTATTATTTTAACAGCCTCCATTGGGAGACGGGCTAAGAGTACTTCAGCCATTCAAATTAAGGAGCCAAAGCTGAGACCATACACTGCAGCAATGCCAAATGTGGATCATGGGGGGGGGTGAGCATATATATATATATATAGAACTAGAAGAGAGGAAAGGTAGGCCTTGGGGGGGTGGGGGTGACCATATATATATATATATACACATATATTTATATATATATGTATCTATTACCTACATGGATTGTCTGGGCTGCTTCTCAGAGTCTACCATAGGCTTCCTCGATGTGGTTTGCCATTTCCCCCAAAGCTCCCGCTTCTCTTTCAGGACTGCGACCCTTGCACCGCAGTCAGCGACCTGGCCTCAGTTCTTGCAACGTGGACTAGCCCGGGATGGTGGACCAGACTCCCTGGAGTGGCCGTGAAAGTGATGTCCGTGAGAGGGCCAGAGGGTCCATTTCCAATTCGACGAGTGTTCCCATGGTCGCAACATCCTGTGCTTGAGCTTGGGATGGTCACGGACCTTTCAGGGATTTTCGACCACACGTTTGTCGGGTTCCTCAGGTGCCTGACCCACAAACACGACGTTTCTCTAGAAAAACAAAAAGCAAAAACACATATACGTGACATTGAAACCGGGGCTGGGGGAGCGAAGAAAGGGAACCACGAGCAGTACGCCAGTTCGCTTGCCCCAGTTCGATGCAGCCTCAAGCTCTTTTCACCTCGCCGCGCGCTCAGGAAAAAAAAGTTGAGATCTCCAACGATGGATTCGGGGAGTTTGGGGGTTACGGGGCGGCCTAGATGTCAGCTTTTGGGTGAAAAATCCTGGCTGGTCTTTGGCGTCACCTTGGCCCCATAGACAACTTTGGCAACAAATTGGGTGTGGGTCAAAATTGAACCACTAGGGACCTGCAGGTGTTCGTCCATATTTCCATTTACCAGGACTCCATTTAGGGTACCTATTTTTGACCCACAGCCAATTGGTGTTGCATTAAAGCTACAAAGGCTTAGACCTTTTGCTCAGGGAAGAGCGACCTAGTAGATGTCCCGTTTTTTGGGCTTCAAACATCAGCTGGGTCAATTCACAGTGAGTGTCCTTTAGGTTGGGTCATGTTGACTGAGGGAAATATGGGGAGGTTCAGGGTGAAAATCACATCAGTGTCACTCCTTCCGTACCACCCCGTTTCTTTTTCAGTGGCTTGCTCACTGAAGCACAGGGTTGCAACCCCACAAAAGGATGCCGGGCCTTTCGGGTCAGTGGGCTGCGAAGTGGAAAGAAGGATCTATATGTCCAAGTTTGGCCTATCTTACCTTGAAGCCCAGTGCTTTTTGTTGGAAAATCTGGGGGTTGATTGCTTTTCTATTCTTTTCAGCCTTCCTTCTTTTTCAAAAACCAGATCCATTTCCCCCAGGGATTTTGTCGGTTTTCTAGAAAGAAGGATTCCTGGAAGGAATGGGGAAGTTGCCCCTGGAATCTCACCTTGAAGCCCATGTTGAAACCTGGTGAAACAAATACCGATGGGTTGCCTACTAGAGGTGTAGCTGCCATATCTTGCCAGTTTAGGCCTAGGATCCCAAAAGGTGATCACCTTTCATGTGGGTGTAATTATCTTTTTGTGAGGGCACCCCTCCTCAGATGGTTTCAAAAATAAAAGAACCCAAAAAGGGAAACCACCCTTTGGGGGGTCACCAAAAAAGACACACACACACACCCACATATCCATTCCAGATCCTTTGCGCTCGTGTGAGGTAATAGGTGGGGCAAAAACGGTATGCAATGCGCTTGTTTGTTTTTTTGGGACTGCCAGAGTGGCCCGAGTCTGTGATGAAACAAATGGGAACACTTGTGGGGCCGATCGCAAGGTGTTTGTTTTTCAATGTCGGCTTCCTCGAGACGATCCATGTAGGTTGTACCTCCACAGAAGTCGAACATAACTCTAGGGGCTGATTCCCCATTCTTTTCAACCATCGCTCTTTTCAAACACCAGCAGGTTTTCTAGAAAGAAGGATTTCTAGAAAGAAGGGGGACGTTTCCCCTAGAATAGTTCGGGCTATATGGCCTGCTCTGGGATTGGGTAAGCATCCGGTCTCCGAGGCACTTGTTCCGTTGGGTTTTCGGTGTTTTCAAGCTTTTGGGTGGGCAGGTACACACTATGGCCTGAACCGTCCACCCATGGATTGCCCCAAAATCGAAAGCGAGCCTCGGTGGTTCCCAGATGTATGTTGGTAATGAATACCCCAACATGTTTGACACACTTGAAGAGTAAATTTGGGTGTATGTATATAATATAAGTGGACTCGTTTGGTGAGTTTGACCTGCATATATACAAATACATATATATATATATATGTACATATTACCTCCCCGGGTTTGTACCCCCAGAAATCTGTGCGGCTTCCGTCGAAGAGTACACCTCGCTTGAGGCCTCCAAAGGGTGGCGCGGCGCCGGAGCTGGATACTCCAGCCCATGCAGGTGGGGGTGAGATGGATTTTGCCGCTTCTCGCATCACCGAAGCAACCCTGGAATGATGACTTTTTTGTAAATGCCAACAAACCCCGCGGGTTCAAACCCCCACTCAAACAATGGGCTCTCATATAACCACCAGTGTTTACCTAAGGATTGTCATCATCCAAATTGGGCTCGACCTTTCTTTTAATGGGGGCCTTGGGAACCCTAGGGAAACGTTATGGGGAAAAAAAAGCAGGGTTTGCAAGCGGTGCGAAATGGTAATCGCCCCAGTTGGTGTAAACATCGCCTGGGCCGCCTGAAAACCGATTCGGGTAGAAGGTGAAGGGATTTTTCTTCCAACCTATGGCTGCGGAATGCCGCCCTTTGAATGCCATACATGGTTCTGGGTAGACCATATTGAAATGCCAGGTGTTCTAGGGCTTGATTCCTTTTCCATTCTTTTCAACCATGTTTCTTTTCAGAAACCGGCCGGTTTGCCTGGGTTTCTTGTTTTCTAGAAAGAAGGATCCCTGGAAAGAACGTGGAAGGTACCCGTAGAGGTGTTGATGACTCACCTGGGAAAAAAAAGGCGGTGAGTCCTAACTGGGGCGATGGTTTTTGTCGGGGAAATATAGCGAGCGATTCCAGCGATCCGGGTTCCGGCAAACGAGCGAAAGCCTTCAAGGTCCTTGGAGAATAGGTCCGGGGCTGTTGGGGATGCCCTTTGATTTCTATTTCTGCGGGAATGATCAGGAGGTCCCTCTGGGGGATTTGAATTTCTGGCTCTTGCGGAGAGGTTAAATGTCTGGTAAGCCAATTTTTGTAAGCTCCAATCTTAATGTCCACCAAGAAATCCAAATGACCTTGTCACTTCGCCAGTTGCCTCTAGTCTTAGTTCTTGTTGATGAGTGTCTCTTTTTTTGCCTCCAAGTGTTTCGCCACTAAAGGTAACCCAACCCTTGGGTATATTTGTCTCTAGGTTTCGCACGATGGTGTTCATTTGGTTGCCCGCCGTAGTGGCGAAACACCTGGAAGCACTGGGTACAAGAAGTTGTCCATGTTTCCCTTCAAACCAACCAAAGAGAGTTCGGAGTTCGAATAAAAATGACACACCCGTACTAAATGGAAACACTGGGCACAAGGTGCACCTTCCGTGAAGTGCCCAGTCGCTTTGTTCGCCTGCGAGACGCAAAGCGCCAGGCAAGGAAAGCGAGGCAGAGATGGGGCGACGGACACGGGTCGGCAGAGACGCTCGGTTGCCGTTCGGCTTCCCTTTGAAGCAAACCAACAACAAGACAAGTCTTGAAGTTTTAAGTGGGACCTGTTGGTACAGTCATAAACCACGTGCTTGTACCTAATTTTGGACCCGAGAGAAACAATTCAAGTTTAATGAGGACCCAAGTTTAGGCCCCTCGGGTGTTTAGAGGTTCATTCGGGGGTGATTGGGTGCATAAACAGAACCTACTTGAGCAGCTCTAACAATATATGTTTCATGCCAAGCAAGATTTGTGTCAGCACTTTTGGCGAAACATGCTGCATAAACACCTGCGTAAGCTCTGCTTCCTCCTCGAAGTCATCCACGTCTTCTGGCGGCTGCATAGTAGAAGGAGGCCGCGTCAGCAATTCTTGAGGGGATGCGCTCAAAACGCTGTCACGTTGCGAAACACGTAAGCTTGACATGCTCGCTGACTCCCTCGTACTCTAGCACATTGGTCGCGTAGGCAAAGTGCAAGCTTACGCGCGAGGGGTTTTCCACGACATAGGCCTCGGGGGGTTCATGTCATGTGTATAAAGACTTGGGAAGGTATTTTTTAGGGGACCCCAACAACAATGTTGGTTTCCTCTTGGTGTCCCTTCAGCAATGAGAGAAAAGGGTAATGTTAACCCCGGATTAGTAAACCCCTGGTTGATTAATAGGGGGGTGTCCCCTTTTAATAGGGATTCGGACCACTTTGGGGGGGAACACCCCCCTAATAGTGGGACGGGTTCTACTTAGATCCTGGGTCAACATTGCCCTCAACAGAAGACAGTCCTTGGATCCTCTGTGCTTCAGATGTTTTCGCTTCGTGGGTTGAAGACCGGTGGGTTCAGGGGCCGCTCGAACTAGAATCCAGCAACCGCCAAGTTGATTCGTTTCCAATACAAGGCCAAAGGGCCAATGCCCGTTTTGTTTGTTTGTTTGTAAGTACCCCCGAACACTTGCTGGTGCTCAGTAGGAATGTGGGAGTGAACCCAGGGATTCCCTCAAACGAAAGCACCAGTTGGATCCTGCAGCTCTCACACTAATCGCACATTTTCTTGCTCATGGAATGATCCTTCCCTGTTCCAAATTTCTGGGGAGTCAACAGGTTCTTCTCGGGGTCCGCGACTTGCCGGTTGCAGCTTGGTGGTTCGATTGGTGAGTTGGAACAACCGAAAAATCGAGCTGAACCTAGTTGTTGAAGGAGAACCCTACAGGGCTGTCCCGTTTTTTAGGAGACAAGCCCTTGTGTATATGGATCCGTTTCTTTCCCGAAACCCCAACGATTGTCTGGGTTCCAGCTCTAGTTGTCCTTTTCCTTTTGGTGGTTTTGTTGGGCCAATTCGAAGTGATGATCCTTTTCCGGGTGATGTTTCCCGCGAGAATTGGTGTGCAGGTTCAAAGGATCAAAGGCAGACCAGAAGGAAAACATGTTTTTCTTTTTTCGGGTTCTCCTATTGTAAATATAGGGAGCCCGGAGAACCAATCGCCACCGTCTTGAAAGGACCCCTAAAGATATGGTTGCCTGCCCGTAAAAAGTGTACCCTGAAAAGACACGCTCATTTCTTCATGGCTATTTTGTTGGGTCTTTGGACTCTAACTTTTGCAACGGCGGGTATGAACCCACAAAAGGTGAAACCCTTGTTGCATAGCTTACTTTTTGCTTGAAGCAGTGGGGATGTTCCCTATTGGACCCCGACTTTTTTGCCAGTGGTCGTTGCAGCAACCAAGATGTTTCATTATTGATAGAGGGATGCGGGCCCCTCCAAAAGTGAAGCTCCACAAAAAAACGAGGCACCCCCCCAACACCCATTCTTCAGTTTCAACCAGTTTAGCGGTACACAACAAGTTTGGTGAACATTTGGCGGCCTTCCTAAATCCGGTTTGTTTCTGTATAAAAATGGGGATCGCAGATCTTTGGTATGAGGGTTGATGTTTGAAGCCATCTCGTCTCAGCTTGAGCCAGGCTGTGGCGGCGACCTGGGTGCTCCTCGCGCTCACGGCCACCTTCCTGGCGCCTTCACTGCGAGCGAGCGAGCGGTTTGGAACGAGGGGCGGGCGTCTTCGACTTGTTTGGTGTTGGTACCTAGAGTCTCCATGGCCCTTGAAAAATGGTTGGTCATTACCCTAAATAATGGAGTCATGGACCTATTTTTAACGGGTCATGGGAGACTCCAGGTCCCCCAGTAGTGCCCTTTTACCCTTTCTTTTTTGGGGGAGGGTTCCCTTATTCTAACCTCCCTACTGGACTAGGTGTTGGTACCCGTTTTTGGGGGCTGGTTTGAAGGGAAGACAAAGGGAACCACAGCAGTTGTTTCTGTGTTTTGGGGGGAGAGTCCAACGATAAAAACAAAAAAAACAGACTGAGCCACTTGCTTCCTTTGGGCGCTCGGGTTTCAGTGTTGGTTTGAGCTCAGCTTTCCTTTGAGGGGCCGATGCTTTCCCAGGGATGACTTTAGCCAGGCTTACACATGTTTGATTTTCTCAAGCATGGGGAAGGTTGAGCTTCTCATTTGGGAGTTGATTTTTGTTGTTTTTTGGGTGATGCCGAGGGGAATTCCAAAAAAAGGCACTTCCCAGTGCGGAAGTTCCAGACCAAGCCAAGAAACACACCTTTTGTGCAAAGGCGCACCCAAAGCATGTAGGTAGCATATATATATATATATATCTATGGATACACCCACATCTATCAACTCCAAATGGGTGAGTTCTGTAACGGTATACATATATATATATATATATATTATGTTCCCCTCCTGTCCAATCTTTGCCATGGAACCCACCAGAGAAACGGGCAAAGGAAACTAGTCCAAAGCAAAGCTCCCCCAAACCTCAGATTCCAATGTCAACTCCAATTCCATAGGAAACTCCACGGGGCCGAGTCGAGGCGCCGTGAGTAGCTTCGGATTGTCAGCGATCGCCGAGGGCATGTGCCTCTGTCTCATGATGCAGAGCTACGTGGTTCCCCGAGCCGCTGGGGCCCTGGAGCCCTGGAGCTTGGCGACATGGGAGATTCTTCACAGCGCAGCTAGGAAGGTCTATACATATATATATATATATGTGTCCACATAATATATACGGGCTATATACATACTATATGCATAACATATGTATATATGTATATACATAATATGTATACCTCCACCTGGACCCGAAAGAACTACCCAGAAACATTGGAAATCACTCATAGTGTTTCGGCCATTGCCGTTTTTAGGGATAGATTGAGTGTCCAGGTAGCATCTTCGTGGAGCCGAAAGTCCACGGGATTCGGGTGCTCAATTGCCACTCTCTCCCACGTGGAAATTGGTGGACAGCCCCCTGGAACCTCCAAAAGTGAAGCTCCACTAAAAACCGAGGCTCCCCCAACACCCATTTTTCGGTTTGATCCATTTTATTGGTACACACCAAGTTCGGTTACCTGGAGTCTCCTTCTGACCCGACTCAAAAATGGTTGGTCATTGCCCTAAATAATGGGGTCATGGACCTATTTTTAAAGGGTCATCAGGAAGACACACGTTCATGTTCAAGGGGCCTCAGGCGTCAGGTTCCCTGTTTCTAGAAGGGAGGCTAACTGGACATAAGAAAATGGGTCCATGGGCGTTGACCAAAGATGTAGACCAAAGCCATCAGGTGCCGGGAAGATTTAAGGAACAAATCAGCAGAACAGAAGAAAAAACAACCAAGCTCAGCAAATCATCCCGCACCCCCTAACAAGTCGAAGTTTCCCATGTCCAACATGTTAGCAGTGGTTGTGCTGGATGAGCCCAACAACTTTAGAAACAACACAGGCAGAAACAACCCGCGTGCAAAACCAGTGGTTGCTGGATGAGCCGAAACATCCCATCAAAACAAACAAACTGCTTGAACAACCAGTCTCAGTTGTTCAGTGGCACCATTTTTTCCACTTTTTTTGGTGACAGCCCCACTAAAACGGCTCTTCCCCAAAAAGGGCTCCCTTGTTTTTCCCAGGGTCCCTGCACAACTGAGAGTCGGCTTGGGCATCGAAGGCCTGGTTCTTGCAGAGATGGAACACCGCTCCGGAGCACCCAAGGGTCCATCCAAGCCCTCAGGAAGCTGATGCGAAGAACCAGTTTGTGTCGATCAAGGTGACAAATGCCCCCTACACCCAAGACCCGGCCTTTCTTCTCACGGTATCATGTCGACCCTCTACTAAAAAACCAGGTATTTACCATGGAAGCCCAGGTTCTCCCAACAAATACCCTGGAAAAAGGCCGGGTATTTGGAGTAGGGGGTAGTAGTTGGGGCTCGGGTGCTGGACCGCCTTCAGCCGAGTTCCTTAGGTGGCAAAGCGAGCGCCTTCCGTGGCGGACTACGAGCGGGTGCCCGGCCTGCAGGCAGGGCCTGGACAGGTCGGGGGAGCCTCGGGCGGGCGTTTGGCATCGATTGGACGTCTGGACCGCAAAAAGGAAACCAACTAGGTCCCCCAGCGATTGGTGCCCTTTTTTACCGTTTCTTGTTCGGTTGGGAGGGTTCCCCTGGTAAAATAGACTGCAGAGAAAAGGGTACCCTTATTCTAACCTCTCTACTGGAGGACCTAGACCCAGCAAGGCTTCAAAGGGTAGAATGCGCCAAGGGGGGGTGGGGGTTTCCAACACCTGCCCATGTGTGGCTGTTTTTTTTTTGAATTGTTTTGAGTTGGTACCTTCGTTTTGGGCTTGGTTTCAAAGGGAAACCAGCAGGAACTCACTTTCTGTCCTTTTTTTTGGGGGGGGGACCAAAACATGGAGACACATCGAAATCCCATTTTGAGGTACCGCTGTTCTTGCAGCGATGGATATTTGCCCTTTAATTTGAAAAGGACCACTCAACACCAGGTTTGATTTTGACTCGACTGTAGCGGAAACTTGAGGGTTCAACACTGGAAGCTCCAGATGAGTGGTGCCCCAGTTTTCATTCGTTTGGAAGGGGTTCCCTGCGCTACTCCTGACCTTTGCGAGACCATTTTGACAATGGAGACGCCAGAAGTGGCTGCAAAATCGCCCTAGTTCCCTAAGATCTCCTTCTGCCCTCCCCAAATTACCAGTACAAGGAGATAGATGGTTGTTGGGTTTTGCTTGTTCATTTGTTTTATTCCCATGATTTCTCAATCGTGCGGGGTATTTGTTAATTTCTGGTGAGTTGCTTGCTCAAGCATTGTTTTCATCATTTTGGTGGTTGGATTGGGCAGTGCCTTCAAGAAAGCTTGCAACACCCTCCTACCCACCGGCGGAACCCATCAGACGTGGAGCATGAAAGCTCCGAGAAAAAAACCACGCGAGAAATCCGATCTGCATACCCATGCGTGCAGCCCACGAGTTTCTGGACTTCCTGAAGAAAACCATTTTAGTGGTAAACACACAGGTTGGATTGTTTTTTTCTGCCAATCCAGTGAGGTCTTGTCCCCGAAGAGCAGAGTAATTACGTTGCAATGGCTTCGCTTAGTCGGGGGCAACTTTCTTTATGCCGCGGAGGCTTGGGAAAACCATCGCGTAGGCAGTCGGCGCGTGCTGTTCCAGAAAATGCAGCGCAGGCAGGTTCGTGTAGGCATCTTGGACTTACACAAACTTAAGAGTAGCGCGCGACAAACGCCTGGGTAGGTGCAACAAGCGTAGGCGCTTGTTGTCATATGTTTACACACCCGCGGAGGCTCCGCATGGGCATGTCTGCCAGCGTATAGGGCTGATACACCCCAAGAAGAACTTTGCTCAGATAGACTTGGGAGTGGCGCAACGCTGAAGTTCTTTTGAGGACACCGATCCCAGTTGTCCAGTACCCTTTGTCCCTGTTTTTTTTCAGGGTTGCTGGGTGCTAAGCTGCTAAATAGCAAAGTGTTTAAATATTTTCTCAAAAGGAAACCACAAGGGGATGGATAAGTTGGATGTTTTCTCCAGATGCCCTTATTGTTCGACAGCTAAGGGGTTGGCCAATAAACGCCCAAAAAGAGCTTATTGTTTCCTCAACAGCTGAAACTTGTCTTTGCTCAAATAGGCTCTGGGTGGTTTGGAGCAGATTCCAAGGAAGGTTGCGGAGGGTTTTGGAGGGTTCTGGGGCTGTTGGGGCTTATGTATCATCTTTGAGTAACTAGGCAATGGTGCCTTTCACAATCCACATTGCAGGTTCCTCGACCAGCCGAGGACGGTCAAAGCCAGTCAAAGCTCTGATTTTTGGTTCGGAAGCTGAAGGTCGCAACTTGGTTGGGTTCCCTTTTTGCATAGCCCGGGGAGATGGCGGACGATTCAGATGACAGATCCATGACACAGCTGAAGCTATGGGTTCTCCCAGATTGGTTTGGGATAGTTTGGGGTAGCTTTCTGGGAGGGTCTGGAGATTCATTTCCAGGTTCATTTCCACCTAGGCTTATCTTTTACAACCTTTTTCGCCAGGGGTGCAATTTAACACCAGCCAACAAAAGCCGGGAGCAGAGCTTTTAATGGCCAGCGGGCTTCGGGAAAATTCGAACATGGAGGCAATTGACATTAGCCAATCGGATGGATGCATATGAACCACAGGTGTGTTGTTTGTTTAAGAGAGACTGGTCGGAATGTTTGGAGTTGTTTAGTTGGAAACCACACGGACAATATTTTGGGATTCCCGCATTTAGAGACGAATGGAGTGTTCTGCTCCTGGGATTTGCCGACAACTGATTGGTATCTCCGATTTGCCACTATCTTCACCTGCAATTCGCTGGTGAAAAATGTTGCTTGCAGCTCTTCTTTCTCATTCGGTGCCCCCCCAAAACGGTTTGTTTCCCTTTGGTTGTCAAACAAATAGGTTGTTTCCCTTTTGTTTCCCTTTGTTGTTTTTCTTTCGGTTTCCCTTCTCACTGGCCCAAGAAGGATACCCTCCCACCAACTAATTAACATGGAAGCGCACAAACCCCCTTTCCAAGAGGAAAGTCGTCTTTCTACGGGGGTCTTTGCACTTCCATGTTAGTCGTTGGGAGGGCACTTTTCAAGCGGACCAGAAGGCTTTTAATACCTTAGCCCGCTGAGTGAAACCTGAGTTCCCCTGCATGTGGATGCTTCGGGGGCGGAGAACCTTTGGCCAAGTATTTGGCCCTGAAAAAAGCCTCCAACCAATCCCAAAGACTCCGCACAAGATGTTTACCCACATTTGCCCGTGAAATGTGGGTACCGGTACTTGCCCGTCCAGGAAGAAATTATTTGCCTGGAGTCTCCATGACCCTTTAAGAATAGGTCCATGACCCTTTATTGCGGGTGCCTTGGCCGACGGAGTCTGGCCCAAGCCTGCGATTTTCGGTTGCCATGGACGTGGAAGCGCGATGAGACCTCTCCGGGGCGCGGTGGTTTTCATTTTCCTGTGCCATTGCACAGCTGCACGGTCGAAAGTCGAAACCCCAAAGCACCGCTTTGCCGAGGTTGTTCCCTTTGCTCCAGGTTTCGTTGTTGGGAAACATGCTACATGTTTGCTTATGGTGGTTTCATTAAAACAAAAAAACACTTTATAACTGCTAAAACATGTTTTTTGCACCCCTTCGAACGTCAACCAAGGTTTTCCCGGTCAACCCCCGGATCAACAAAGCCCGGTGTTCCCTGCGCATCTTCTTGGCCGAGCATGTTTTCCCGAGATTCATAAACCCCTGGTGGATTCACCGAGGGTGTGCCCTTTTAGTGACGATTCCTCACTTTTGCAGGAAACACCAGGATTTTGTTGATCCATTTTGTTGATCCAAGAAGGTGAGCCCTGGAATGCTCCCATTGAACACTTGGAGTCTCCATGACCCTTAAAAAATGGGGGCATGACCCCTTTATTTTGAGTAAAACTCGCATTGTTCAAGGGTCATGGAGACTTCAGGCACTTGATGCTTTTCTCCAGTAAGGTTTACAGCTGGACACAGCCCCCTCGATGGGCAAGGCTCCCCACATTCGCCGCAAAGTGGGCGGCCAGCGCGGCCGCTTTCCCGGCCGAAGCTGCGGCCAGTTTAGCTGGAGATGAGGATCTGGAGACGGGCTTTGACGTGCCGCAGATCAAAAGCCATTTTTCTTCCCTGTTCTTGGATCAAGCTGTTTGGTTAGTTTGAGTTTGTTGTCTTTCTCCGTTTTTTGTTGGCTCTGTTGTCAATTTTAGTACGCATCTGCTTCCATGGTTGTTGGAAAGAGGGTACCACCAACAACAGGCTGGTTGTTTGTTCCCCCGCTGAAGGTGAATTTTCACATTTAGCCCCCAAATGGGTCAAATGCTCCTGGAGTCGCCATGACCCTTTAAAAATAGGTCCATGACCCCATTATTTAGGGCAATGACCCCATGTTTAAAGGGCATGGAGACTCTAGGTTGGTATATATTACCTACATGGATTGTCTGGGGCTGGTCACCTTTAACTTTCAGTTCGTTTGGGCAGCTGAGTTCACCTCTTGGCCAAAGCCAAGCTTTTAAGCTGCCGGCTGAAAGTCATCTTGCGACTGGAACCGACTCAAGAATATATGGGGGGTATCCAATCAACAACTCCAAAAAATCCTTTACCATGGTAGTCAAACTGATAGAACCTCCGATGCCCAGTGGCCATGGATTTGTTTTTCTAGGGGTTGGATTCCTTTTCCATGATTGTGAACCATCGTTCTTTCCAAAATCCGGACCCGTTTTCCCTGGGTTTCCGGAGGTTGAAAGAAGGATCCCTGGAATCAATGGGGAAGTGTTCCCTTCTAAGCCCCTTTTCAATTTTGTACCAACGCAGGGCTGTTCCCTGTCTGGGCTTGTTTTCACCACAATTGGTGATTGAAGACTAGAAGAAAATAACATCGGGTACCATTATTCGAACCTCTCAAATCTGGAGGACCTAGGCAACCAAATCGGTTCACCAATCAGCTTCTTGAAGCTCCGCGCTCGAAGCAGAGACGCAGGTCTTCAGCTTGCTGCCCTTGGCGCTGGTCTTCGGCTTCTCGGATGTTGAGCGACCGATGTGGCGTCTCAGTGATATTTGTCCAGGGTCTATATGGTGGTGGGTCAAAAAAAGGTACCCAAAATGGAACCCTGGTAAGTGACAACATGGACCAAAACCTGCGGTCCCCTGGTTTAATTTTGACCCACACCCGCCCCCGGTGGTAGTTTTGAAGGGACATGAAAAGGACACCACCCATTTTGTTTTTCCAAAGAAAGACGAGCCATATACTTGTGCACTGTAAGTGGGCTTTTGAAAGGCTGCTGGTGGCTGAGTCAGATGGATCATTCCCTGCTGAGAGTTTTGCTGCGAAGTGCAAGGAGGTCCCCCAGCTAGGTGCCCTGCTCTCCCCTTTTTTTTGGGGAGGGTTTCCCCACTGAAATAGACTACCGAAAAAAAGGGTACCCTTGTTCTAACCTCTCTACTGGTAAGGAGGTAGAGCTGAGTTTGGGCTACAATAGACTACAGAAAAAGGGTACCCTTATTCCAACATTTCTACTGGAGGACCTAGGCCTTGATGCGATCATGTAATTACTCACAAAAACTGGTCAACATTCCTTATGTGGGTCTTTGTCGTGGTTCCCTTACAAGGAAGCGTACAATGGTTGTCAATGCCATCCATTGCTTAGGATATCTTCTCTACTCCTCCCCCCCGACACTCCCTTCCCGCGCTGCGTGAAGGCCCTGCCCAAAAAGGTGCGTTTGGTTTTACTTGGGCAGTCCGGGCCAATTCGAAAAGTCTGAGCACCCTTGTCTGTGTCCAGCGCTGCTTGGTTTCGCTGAAGTACTGAACCCCAAATACAAAAGGCGAGCACCTTTGGGGGTCATAGCTAAAAGGGGCCCAAAAAGGGGAAGCTGAACGGTCAACAGGTCGGGTTCGGGCAAGGGAGTTCTACTTGTTAAATTTTAGACCCCTATGGTCCCTTGGTGGTTTGACTGGCTTGGGGATTTGAACCCTTAGTTCTTGTACCCTCCGAAAGTGAAGCTGATTGGGCTGAGTTTTCCCTGGGAATCGGATTGGCGGGAAAACTTCCATTTGCGGAAATGATCATGTTTTATTGTCCCCTGTTGTTTTTAAAGGGAATCTATCACTTCTGGACATCATTTTTGTCCGGGGGGCTTAATGAAAGGGTCAACTTGCAGGAAAATCTACAGAACACTCTAATTTAGCTGTTTTTTTTTCCAGTCGAGACCCAACCCTTCGACTTAAGCTAGGTCCTCCAGAAGTGTCCTTTTACCCTTTTTGGGGGAAGGGTTCCCCTTTACCCTTTTTTGGGGAAAGGTTCCCCTACTAAAATAGACTACAGATAAAAGGTTGTAGCCTTACTCTAGGGGTACCTTCCCCATTCTTTGCAGGGATCCTTTTTTTCAGGAAACCATCAAAAACCCAGGAGAAACAGATCCGGTTTAAGAATAAGGATGGTTGGAAATTATGGAAAAGGAATCAACCCCTAGACTTATTCGGACCTAGTATAGGAAAATCTACTGAACACCCTAACTTGTAGAGTTCTTGCCTTCGACTTAAACTCACTTGCTCAAACCCGTTGCCCATTTGCCCTCTACAAGAAGTAAGGGGTTCCGATCCCCAAGCCAAACCACCAAGGGACCATAGGGATGCTAAATGAAACCAGTCGAACTCCTTTGCCGAAGCCCGACCTTTTGGCCTTTTAGCTTCCCCTTTTTGGCCCAAATCTTTAGCTATAGCATCTATAACCTTAAAAGGTGCTCGCCTTTTGACCCAACCCTTCGACTTGGGTGTGGCTGAAAATTAAACAGCAGGCGTTACGCAGGTTTTGGTCCATGTTTCCACTTACCAGGGCAAGCCATTTTGGAATTCCGGTTTTTTTAGCCACAGCCACTTAAGCGAATGAAAGCTTTATCCAAAGGGTTGGGTTTTCCAAAACATGTCGAGGGCTCTTTTTGTTTATGCAAATGAAGGCTATCCCTCCCTTCGACCCAACCATCCGAGGGCTTTTGCCGAGGCTTCATCGCCGCGGGCCTGTCCTGGGTGGCCAAGCTGAAGCCTAAGGAGACCGAGGACGGGTTGCCCCGGTCCACGTCCCTCTACCGCGTCTTCCAGGAACCGACCGGAGGGGGGGGGGTTGAGATGTTGGGTTGGTTTGGGACTCCAAAACACACCCCAAATGTCTTGACTGCTATTGGGTTGGATCTTTAGACTTTAACTTCTTGGTTGAAATACAGGTGTTTTCCACTAAACCCCCAAAAAGTTCAACTTTTTGCAGGGGGGTCTACAGCAACCGGAAACGGAACCCTGGTTTGAATCTATCTTGTCAAGGTCCTCCACCCTAAGGCTCATGCCCCCTCATGACCCCTCCAATGCACTCCAATGAAGAACCCTGACTTTTTTAGGGGCCCTGGAAAACAAACATGTTGAAAATGATCGGGAGCCTTCGGGCAGTGGAGAGGTTAGAAGAAGGGTACCATTTTTTTCGCAAGAAAGAAACGGTAAAAGGGCACCTAGCTGGGGGACCTAGTTGGGGGGTTGATATTTGTTCGGTCAGAGGTTTGGGACTCCAAAACACACCCAAATGTGTGACCTTGAAAACTGTTTGCCTGCATTGGCCAAAGGAAGCTTGCGGTTGGAGAACACTGACCTTTCGGACTGCATACGTCCAATGTGTCAAGATAAAAGGCTACTAGGTCCCCCAGTAGTGCCCTTTTACCCTTTTTTTGGGGAGGGTTCCCCTACTAAAATAGACAACAGAAAAAAGGGTACCTTATTCTATCCTCTCTACTGGAGGACCTAGATTACCTTGAAAGCTGTTTGGCTGCATTGGCCAAAGAAGGCTTGCGGTTGGAAGAGAACCCTGATCTTTCGGATTGCATACGTCCAAAGGCCAAAAGGCTACAAGCTCCCTAAGGCTCCCGATCATTTTTGGGCCGTCAACATGTTTGTTTTCCAGGGCCCCCAAAAAGTCAGGGTTCTTCATTGGAGGGCCCCGGGGCCTGCATTGGAGGGGTCATGAGCCTTAGGGCTGCTTGAATCGCTCCTTTTTTTGCGAAGCTTCGAGTAGGTGCCAGGTGCCAAATCGGATCCTTGCTACATGGCGCCAGGCCAAGCTTCGGGCGGGGCAGTTTGCGGAGGGCGCGCCGGCGCCCGAACCGGAGATCGGCGAGAAGGATGAGAAGCTAGATGCGTTCGTCGACGCCTACGTGGATGCGCTGGAAGAGGACCCGATCCCATGGTTGTTGTGTCACATTTGACATTTTACATGATTGTTATTGGAAACATGCTACATTTTTGTGTATTGTGGTTGAGTGGTTGAAATCCAACCACTGAACTGCGAACTCTTAAAGTCTTTGCTCCCCTTCCAAAGTCAACCAAGTTCCGAAGGGGATGCTTCGTGGTCCCGTTGTTCCCCGTTGTTTCCGGTAAGGGGAACAAAGCCCGAATGAGATCTGCCAAAATGGTGTTGTTTCGGAGAAGAAAAAAAAAAAGGCGGACCCAACATGGATTCCTCCTCGTTATTTCCTGTTACGATAGGGGGAAAAAAACAAACCCTGCTGGATCAACAGAACAGCGTGTCCCGTTTTCTCCCTGGGGAAATCCAAGGGTATCATGCGGAGGACGTCGAAAAGACGGGCGGCCCGGAGAACAAGCAGAAGACACCGGAGAAGTGAGGCATTGAAGAAACCCTCATTAGCTTTTCGCTGGATGAAGCGATCACGAGAGATTCGCGTCTCGTGCTTTTAGCGGGCAGCATGCCTCCAAAGCTGGGGCAGTCAAGCCTTGCCACATCGGCGCGGCACCAGACCCCCAGTGGCCCCCTATTTTCCTTTCTGTTTTTCTGGATTCGAAGGGGTTTCCCTTGAACACCAGAAACCGGGTGCCCTTTTTTGCCCACGGCCACTGGGATCCCGTTTGGGCTGTGAAGCTTGCCTGCAAAAGGAACATGCGCTCCGATTCGTCCGATTTGGAGCTCTCAGGATTCACCTCCGAGTTGAAGTGAGATTCCCTTTGTTCGGATGTTGGGGCGATATTTTGGTCCCGGGGTTTAACTCCCCCTGAAAAGAATGAATGACTCAATTTGGATGACATGCCCTAGATGAATAGTGGTGGACATGTGAACCCGCTTTGATTTGCCGGTGGCTTGGACTCCAGGGATACCTTTTCAGCATACCCCAACCCGTGTCTGATGATAGCTGTCATGTGAGGTCCGGGGTATGATCAAAAGGATTTAGGAACCCTGCAAGAGTTGTTAAGGAAATGACGTATTGTTTGCAGGTCAACGAGAAGAACTTCAGAATATGGACGGCGAGGGACACACATCCATCTTGCACAACTCGTCTTGACAATCCTATTCGGGCGCAAAAGTAGGGTAACAGGCCGTAACAGGCCTGGCAAGTCCACCCAGCCGTTTTCCACAAGCCTTTGGGGCCTGCGACATCAGGCCCGCACGGCTGTTTAAAAATCAGCCCTTGGAAACCATTGTGGTGCCGATTAAACTTCCGATCGGTGCGAGAGATGCATGGGATGAGAATTGGAATGACCCTAAACCATCCCTTGTGGTTTCCTTTGAGGGATGCCCTGGGTTCATTTCCTCATTCCCTACTGAGCACCAGCAAGTTGTTTTGACTTTTGGGCAGTGAACTTTCACACGAATCCTGACAGCTATGCATGTGGGGGCGAGAGATCTAAAGCAACATGTGCTGTTGAGATAGGCGTTTGGGCGTGCCGGAGTGCAGTTGGACCATAAACAACTGTGACGGGGCGGGCAGCTTAGCCATGTTGACCTCGGTTTATTCAACCTGGCGAATCATTAGGGGGAAGGTTTTCCCCAAAAGCGAAGGTTTCCCAAAAGCGAAGGTTTCCCTCTAAGCTGGGACTAAGTCGTATTCATTCATCCTTGGTTTCCATCAATGTGCTGTTGACCAATCATGCACCGAGGGCACGTCAGCATTTGGACATGCTTTGGCGCAGTTGCGCGACAATACGCTTCACTGTTTTCCCTGAAGGTTTTAGATGTTTTTGACAGCAAAGGATCCCTGGGACGAACGTCTTGATGGTTTCCTGATGGTTCCTGATGGTTTCCCTTGTTTGGAACTAACTCTCCAAAAGGAGGTTCCCTCTTGTAGCATACATGCTAACCGCCCGCAGTTTTAGTCTCAGGCTTCAGAACCTTGGCCTCACCAAACTGCGCCTTTGCTCTTTCGTGCCGCTCAGCCGAGCGTTTTGAAGATGACATACGACATTTGCGTCAGGCAGGGCCAATTCGCAGCCTGATGGGTGCAACCTATTTACCCCAATGCTCTTAAGAACCTGAATTCCCTTGTTGGTGTTAAGGGGAATCGATTTCACTGCTGGAAACAGTTTTATGTTTGCCAGGCGGCTTCATGGAAGTTTAAGTGGAGGCATGTAGCGGCCAAAGTAGCTAGAGCCTACTTGGTTCAAGGGGGAAGGGTTCGAACCAACATCAACGAGTTTTGCATAAATAGAGGCATCATCCGAACGGAACCACTAAAAGCAGCCCATGGCTGTCGATTTTGGCCAGACTCGAAATGGGCTTGTCTCAAATCAACGGGGCCTTCAATGTTCCTTTGACTTTTTTGGCCAAAAGAAAGGATACCCAAACAAGAAGAGCCACACCCAAATGGTTGTGGGTCAAAAACAGGTACCAAAATGGAGCC